TTAAGATGTTCATTGTTTTCTCAGGTCCTACAGGGCTCAGTGAAATTCACCCCAGTTGGCCTCAGTGTTTGCTTTTCAAATGCAGTTGTTTCAAACACCTTGGTATATCTGTTGTCAGGCACCCCCATGACTACACCATGTGCAGTTATGTGTGGAAATATATGTTTGGGTGTGTGTGAAGGAATACATCAAAAAGTACAGCATCTTTTCTCTGACAGCGACCATGCTCTCGTGTGGGAGACAAATCCAGGTAAGCAGGTGGTGTTGGCACGGGGTTCCGCCTGGCCCAAATGGATTCGGTGTGAATGCAGTCAGTGGAAACAGGTATTTTCAATTGCTTCTTACTTTCTGCTTCTGGCAGAATTAAAATCAACTAGCAAAGCAGGGATTGGTGGTGGTGTTTTTGACGAACGCAGGCTTGGTGTGAGAGGTCTTCTTGGGGAAGGTGTGTCCCTAAAGCATGTTGTAGATGCATAACAGAAAGTAGCGATTTAAGTGCTTTAGTGAAAAGGAGGTAGATTTTATGGCTGTCACTGATGGGGCTTGGGCCTGGGAGGCAGAGGCTCAGTTCCTAGCCCCAGTCTTTCCCACAAAGCTGCGGAGGACTTCGGGAAAGCTGTTTACACACACTGGTTCTCAACCTGGGCGTCTTGAGCGGTAGGATGTCCGGTTTAGGCTTCCATATGGCATTTGCAAGGCTAATCCTGTGAATTCTGCTACCCATATTGTTGCTATGATTAGTAGTGAGTCATGCCTCTCGGTGTTGCTGAGTCTGACACGTGGTTGTTGGTGGAAACAGGAAGAACACCCAGGAGCTCATGGTGGTGAATTCGTGGGTATCGGCTCTGCTTTAGGGATTCAGACTCTGTTTTGGTTCAGAGTCTGCTAAAAAACAGCACCCACAGTTTTCCTGCACTGTTTACAGCTCCTGATCAAGTTTTAATTTTCCATTACATGGGTACGTTTTACCACTTGATTTTGGAGTTGGTGGTGTAAAAAGGTAAATTCAGGTTTCCTTTTGGTAACTCTGGCTCACAGGGCATTTGCCTGGGGGTCTGGAACCAGACGGCTTTAGTGAAGCTGAAATAGGGAACCTGAAAAACCAAGCTCACTGGTCCCGCTGTGACTGTTCAGGCTTCCTGCACTGAGAGTAAGCCTCATAGGTTACATCGCTGCTAACGGTGTTTTGTTTATTTCATCAGGATGTACCCACACAAGCGGTAGGACTGGATTCAGCCGTAGTTGATTTGGTTTGCGGACAGCTGGTCAAAAGGGATTGGGAACCAGTGGAGCTGAGAAGAGTGAAATCAGCAATAGTGGGTTGGCCAGAGGTGAAGCCATAGTCTTTGGATTGGATGGCTATAGCATCAGTTATTCCAAACAAGATCCATTCCTGAAAATTTAATATGAAATCATTAACACACCTCTAATATCATTTGTCATCAAACAAGTTAATGAAGATTAATTTTAATAGCATTTGGATTTTCCTGCTATTGTGACCTGAGTCTCCTGGTCTGGAACTTGGAACAGGGAAAGGTGTGACTGAATTTCGATTTGGAGGTTGGGGTTGGGTTTATTCGGTGACAGTAGCATTAGTCCAAGGACGGTTGAATGAAATAGAATGGGTCGTTCTGGAAGATGTGTTTCAAGCCATTACTGTCTAACTTTTGTGCACAACTATTTCTGAATATTGCATGTTTTCAGTATACTCTGTGATGATCGTTTTCTGCAGCTGATTCCAGTGTGAGGCGTGAGAGTCAAGTTGTCGGTGGCAGCTCAGGAAATGTGAGACCCAGCTTAGGGCTTGTGGTGACTAGGGATTGGGGAACAGTAAGGTTGGTGGGAATGAAAAGAGTGGCAGTGGGACCGCTGGGCTGGACTCCAAGGCCTTGGGTCTTACCAAGTAGAGCAGGTATTCCGTGCGGTCTCGAGGTCCCCAGCTGCACTGCAAATGGCTATTCCTGTGTTTAGTAATATTTTAATGGTTTGTTTTGGGACGCCCTGGGCTTTTTGAATTCGTCTTAGGAGGAAAGAGGGTTGGACTTGAGTTTGCTTTTGGAGATTCTGGTTCCGAGTGTTTGGTGACAGTGATCACAGTGAACATGGAATGAAATCATTCCACTGGCTTGGGTGTTGATACTTAATCTGCGCATAAAGAAGTTTCACTTGTAACCATATTGAAATTAATTTGTATGGTAATCATTGTATATCCTGAAGGTGGTACCAGTACAAGAAGTAGGGATTGTTTGTGGTGTTAGACCAGAGAATCTGGGCTTTGGTCCTGAGAAATTTGGTCAGAAAGGGTTTGGAGGCAGAGTTTGATTGGAGTGGGAAGAGCAGGGTGGATCTGATGCCATGGCTTAGGGAGTCCAACTTTGGGCTGTGCATCACTGAAATCTCAGTTGACTTCAGCCTTCCACCTGTGATTTTATTAACATGTGACTTCTCTGCCGGTGGGAATCCTGGCTGCTTGGTTCTGAATCTAATAGGAAGAAAGAGTATAGTTGAACTGTGGTTTGAGAATTTGGGTGTAAATCAATCTGGTGACAGCAGCTTCGGTGAGAATTTAATGAAAGGTAACTGAGCCTCCAGTTCCAATGGCATGGTTGCTGATACTTAATTTAGATGTATGAAGCATTTCTCAGTTGTAAAAAAAAGTGGCTTAAACATATATTCTGATGATGACTATTAATGTCTTCTCAGGAGTAAGATAGATAGAGGTGGGGATGGTGAGCATGCTGATGATTCTTGGGAATTTGGAATCCCGTGGGAGAACATGGGGTGACGAGGAGTCTGGAGGCAGAGGAGGGCTGTGGGCAGCAGCGTGTCTGTTGGGACTGGGTCCCCACATCACAGCTCTTACATCCATCACTCAGGCATCCCACCAACGTGTGCTCTCTCAGTGAAACTGAGACAGATTTCACACTTTGATCATTTAAAAAATAAATTTAACTTTTCCGTTGGATGAAAATACGGGTGTTCTAGCTATGGGAGTGGAAGAGGGAAGCGTGAAGGTCAGTTTGGTTTGGAGATCCTGGAGTGACTGGACCTGGTGACAGCAGCCGTAGTGGCAGCGGCTGTGACGGGAGTGCAGAGTTCCAGTCTCTGCAGTGCTGTTATTTCTCTGTACAGGGCGGTTCTGAATCATGCGCTGGAGGTGATGTTGTTATTTTGTGTTTAGCAGTTGACTCAAGTGCACGAAGTGGGGCTAAGGTTGGATACGGCGGTGATGTCTCTGAAGACTCAGGAGTCGGTTGGGGACCATCCAGTCAGCAGGGTCTTGGAGATAGAATTGTTGGGAACGGGAAGCATAGCTGTGAAGCTGTGGGGGCTGGACTCTGTGACCCAGAAATCCCAGTTAGCTTCTTCCTGCTCTGTTCCTTCTGTCATATTGTGATTTTCCATAAGGAAGAAACGGTTCTGGGAGTGATGGAGGAAGGAGGGTGCAGCTGCATCAGGTCTTGGCGCTTCTGGCTTTGACAGGGATTTGCTGGCACTGGCCCTGGTGCCACAGTGCCGGTGATGCTGGCAAGGATGTTTTTAGGTCTGGTTCCATGGCTTAGGCATTGAGCTTTACTTCTCAGCATTAGAACGTCAGGATTCTCTCACTGTTCCGTAACTGTTAACATTACCAATTACTATCAATGGCAATGTAAAAAGCAAGGCATAATGTTGAAATGTGTTTGCATGAGATCAGGCAAAAGGCACTGACCATTTTGGGCACAGATTATGGAAATGGTTTCCCGGCTGTGAACACGTTGATGTGATTCCTTTTGTTGTCTGTGCAGAGCTGATTTGAAGTCCATGGAAGGGATGGTTGGAGAAGCAGCTGATTTCTTGAGCTCTGGCGTTGTATCTTGGCTCGGAACTTGGTGGCTTATGTTCTCTTTGCAGGACCACCCTTGAGAGGAATAAACAGGCTTTATGATCTTTGAAAATCAAATAAAAATTGATATTTGCACTTCATGAAACATTAGACTAAAGGGTCATGCATTTTTTAGTATGAATATTTCCAGTGGTGTCTTGCTGTTGGCACGGGAGAGTGTTGATGCTACTGGAGGTGTTGGAATACATGTAGAATGCATGACCACACAGCTGCGGGCAGCCGGCCATTTCTGATAAAGGAGCCACTCTGCCAAATATACAGGAATCATCAGTGGCGATCAGTTTTAGGATAATGTTTGTTTTTAAAAGTGAAGTAAAGTTAGAAAGAAATAAGGTACACTGTGGAAATGGTGGATCTAACTCAGGACTGGTTATTAATAAGACCAGTCAATTAAAAGTTTGGTCACACCAGAATAGTGGATATTTTGTTTTTGTGTTTGTAATCTTTTGACATCAGTTTTGAAGTCAGCACTTCAATGGAACAAAGAAATTAAAAATCATTCCTGGTTTATTCCCACTTTTTTTTTTTCTAGTTGCACTTGGTGCAAGTGGTCTAAAAGACAGTGGATTTCCAAGTCCTAGACTGGCTGCCGTTAATTAGGTCAGGTGTTCAAATGTAGGTTTGCCCCTGAGAAACGTGTTCAGAATTCATTGCCTCTAATCTTTGCTGTGAAGCAGTTGGTGTTTTGAGGTTTTTCTCTTTTTGGACGCCAGATTTTGACCGCTATGATTTTCCCGATTTTAGGGAGATCTCTATTCAGCAGTGTTCAGTCTGTTCCGTATCTCAGGGCAGTGATGATGGCTCCACAACAGAGGGTTCTGGATCTCCTACAACTAGAGATGGTGTCAGCCCACCTGGGGTTCGGTGGCTTCCATACATCCAGTTGCTGTGAATGCAGAATCCTGTGTTCAGTCAATATTGTGAAATAGTGCCTCGATGATCAAAACATAAAACAACTCAAAGTGGGAATAAGTTTGGTTGAACCCCTGGGGTGAGCTACCTGGAACCCCATTTACACAACGCTTTTCTCTTTCCCTACACAGGTTTTAAGACAGTCACCTGGGATAAATCCGTTCGCTGTCAGTTACATTAGCAGCAAGGCGTTTAATCCTGTTACTCCAGCAGGTCATCTCGTTGATGATGTATTTATTTCTTTTCTAGCTTTTCATGGTCCGAGTTTGCTAGCATGAGCTCTACTATTCTTGGATCTTGCTTTATCCATCAGATTTAAAAATACCACGTTTTACCCAGTACAGTTACACACAGCAAGCAGCCTAATCATTTTATGTTGCTACAGGTGTCACAGGCTCATCTGAACACAGTACGTCTGGACCACTCAGTACTCCAGGTAATTTGACTTAGAACTTCGTGTGTTTAAACAGACCCAACCCCACACACATAATCATAAAATCTCTGTAGATTATTGGTTTACCCATCCTTGATATCAGTGTGCTTCTTACCCTGAGCTTCTAAGTGCTTCTGTTTGAGCACTAAGGTTTAGAAGACCAGTAAGCGATTTGAAACAGTTTCATGAATACCAGAGAAAAAATTGCATCTTAAGAGAATTTGAATAAAGCGGAGCATTTTGGATACATTATGTGAAAAAGTAAATTCTTGTAAGCAAATTAGGAATTCATTCTGTTTCTACTCTCTCTGGTTAAAGATAGCCTGTAGTAAAGACAGACGCTAAACAGCAGTGTAGAAAGTATTTTAGGATCCTACTACAATACCTGCTGTCGTTACTGTTGTCCTCATCACTTTTGGGCTTTGACATGAGATTTCTTCTGAACTTAGTCCTTTACATAAAAGGGCCATGGCAGTAAACAACCAGGAGAAATTTTCACAGTATACAGATTCCTCATAAATGGGGAATTGAATTAGTAGCATTGGATAATGGACAGATTGAATAAAATGTACCCTAGGCCTACTTGTAGCATGGTTTCCGATGAAATGGGGGTTGCAGTGTTTGACTTTTGAAGTTGAGAGCATAGTTGTGTGTTAGTGATTGTGCATAACTCCACGTGAATATGCTTTTAATGATTGTTCATTGCGCTGTAGCCGCTGATTCCCAAGAACATATGGACGGCAGGGATGATCATGCATGTAACGTTAGTAAATCCCAGCTTTCACAGGCTCAAATTATTTATTCAGGATCAAGATAGCCACTGCTGGTCTTTAATACCCACCTCTAAATTCCCATGTAGGATCCCCATTATCTTGTATACTTAAAATTAACTTGTGTCTCCAATGTAAATGACTTATGTCTTGTGTTGAATAGAAAAAGGATCCCATATTCCAGAAGCAATTCCAACGTACTCAGAAACAACCACAAATGTTGGTAAGTAAAAATGGCTCAGGTATTCTTACACATTTTTATGCCCAAGTCAGTACCGACACGAGCTCACAAACTTGTCAAAATTTGAAAGTAGATTTAAAAATGTGCCCACCTCCATCTGTTTGTTCATTGTAGGTTTGAGTGATGTCACTTTCTTCCAAGGCCTTTATACACATGTAGATATATACACACATATATGTATATATATCCACATGTATATGCGTATAGCAAAATAATAAAATTTTTTACACTCATTCAATATAAATGATACCTCCCATACATGAAATCAGAAAAATGCTTTACACGAGCAAAGCAAACAAATACAGTTTCTCTCCAGATTTCTTTTTCCACATTAGAGACAATTTCCTTGCGTGGAAGCAATGTGTTTTAATTTTTTACTGTCTAAGCAGAATAGCCAAGTTGGGGTATTTCAAGGAAATACTCAGTATTTTTAATGTTTTAATGGTAGGGAAGGAAAGAAAACAATGATTTGCGGGGGTTGCAATGAGAATAGAAACTTCTCGAGACTTCTTGGCCTCCAAATGCTTTCAGAAGCAGTGGGGAGGTAGCTAACTGTTCCTGATTCTGGGTGCTTGGCAGGTGAGGCTTCAGCCTGGGGCGCTGGGGTGTACAAAGCGTTCAGCGGCCGCATCTTCGCCTTCGAGTCCTCGTGCGCCTACACCTTCTGCCGCCACTGCGTCGAATCCGGAGGGGATTTCAACATTGAGATCAAGCGCAGTAATGACAGTGAGATTGAGAATATAAAAGTCCTAATTGACGGCTATGACGTCGCTATTTCTGGCGATGTTATTTCAGTTAATGATGAAAGGTAGGCCGCAGAGTGTTTCAGGTAAATCCAGTGACATTAATTCGAGTACCCAGAGGGAGGGGAAAAAAGGAAAGAAAAACAGTTGAATAGAGAAGAGATGGTATTCTCTTCCTATTTTGATCCTCGTATGGAATTTTCTCATAAATGTTTGGGCAGGAGTTTGATACATGCACAAGACTTGGCTCTGTTTGGGATTTTCAGATGTTTATTGCTAGAGCAAGAGGGACCCGGGGGAGCAGCTCTGTTTTTTGACTGTTCTTAGCATCTGGATGTGGGGTAACACAAGCTCAACAGAACTGTGAACACAATACTTCAATTTTCTCTTAAATACAACTCTGAAGTTTTACAAATTAGCAGCTAAAGGGGTTGAAACTCTTAGATGGTTATTTTTAGAAGTAGCAACTCAGATTTGGAAGAGATGACACATTGAAGATTTTTCAGGGTAAGACAGTGAGACATGATAGATATTCTGCTTGTGAACATTTCAAATTGCTTGATCTTTTTTTTCTGAGACTGAACCTTACTAATTTCTCTTAATTAGCAATGTGTCACTTTATTAATTCCTCTGGATTTATTATTAATCTGTGAATTGCTTCTTAAAAGCTTTCCAGTATTTAAAAAATCCATTGTGTCTCTTATGAGAAATAAGGAACACTTTCATATTTGCTACCCAGTATTGTGTCTCGAAGGTAATAAATATAGAGACATCCTTTATCAAAAATGTTATAGTAATTCTGTTCTTACCTTGTACATTTACTTTTATTTTATATTTTCAGAGTGCAGATACCCTACAACAATAAGTTGGTTAACATTATAAAATATGGGGAACATAATGTTCTGAAGAGCCGTAGAGGAATCTTGTCTTTAATGTGGGACAAAAATAACAAACTCTCAGTAAGTACTTCTGTAATTCTCTTATAACCTGGTGCTATTTGTTCTTTAGCTTCAGTTATAAAAATAATACATTATGAAGAAAGAAAGAGAGAGGACTTATTGAGAAACCTCTACATGTTAGCCACTATCCTACCTTCAAGTATATCTCATTATTAATCCCATTTTGCAGATGGTAGAACTCAGGAAGTGTAGGCTAAGGGAGGATGAATAACCCACATAAGACATCTGGTGAGTGAGGCGGAGCCCACACAAACTAAGCCAGTTCCTTTAAATAAGGACCCCCAAGTCATCCACTTAGAAGGATTAAATTTGAGAGTGCACTGTCCTTTGGTTTGGAAGAACTTTGCCAGGAGATATTTTCAATGCTTTATTAACATATAAATGTGATTTTGTTTTTTAAAAGCTCACACTTCACAAGCAATATCCAACCTGTGGTCTTTGTGGTGACTTCAACAGCACAACAGGTAAGATTGCAATGGAGTATGCCTAAGAAAATTGCTTGCAAAAAAATTAACAAGTCATCTCTGATGTTGTGATAACTCTAATAAAATTCACATTTGCTTGAAGAATATGAAGTTTTTAAGTGAAAAGCATATTAATGTTGCCAAGTCTGTAAGTCGCTTGAAAATAATGTGCATCCGTGATCGGTGGCCTGAATAAATTCATGCTTTCTTTTGAAGGGCAAGACATCAATGAGCAAATTGCCAGTAGCAAAATTCCTGGCGATTGCCCCAGTGCTGTTAGTAAAAGCTTAGAAGTTTGTGACGATGGAGTCCAGGTAAGAAGTTGTTATTTCCTCTGGTCGCAAATTTTGGCTGTATTCACCTTGGTTTCTTTGTGTAAAAATAAATTTTATTATGTGTATTTAAGGTATACAATATGACATGGGATGTATGTAGACAGTAATATGGTGACTGTAGTGAGGTAAATCAACATATCCATCATCTTATATAGTTACCTGTGTGTGTGTGTGTGTGTGTGCATGTGTGTATGTTGGGGGGGGGCAATACAGCTAGAACTACTCCTTTGTCATGACTCCCACATACAGTATGATTTTATTACTCATGGTCATGTTCTGTATTAGGTCTCTAGACTTGTGTCTTCTACACAGATGCTACTTTGTACCCTACGATTTACTTCTCTGTGTACCTTCCACCCCACACCTCAACCAGCCCTTCTGAATGCTGTTTTGTTCTGTTCCTATACATTTGAATGATTTTTTAAAAAAAGTATTCCACATATAAGTGAGACCATGCAGTATTTCTATCTCTGTGTGAATGCTGTGTCCTTTTGTCTGCTAATGGACGTTTAGCTTGTTTGCATTTGTTAGCCGTTGTTCCTAACACGGAGTGTGGAGGTCTTGAGCAGGTGGTGGTTTCATTTCATTGGAGATCTCCTGGAGAAGGCATCACTGGGTCATAAGGCAGTTCTGTTCTGTTCTGAGTTTCTTTCGGAACCTGCACACTGTTGTCCAAAATGGCTGTACCATTCTGCATTCCCAACAACATTATATTAGGGTTCTCTCTTTTTTCACACCCTTGCCAACATGTGTTAACTTCTGGTTTTGATATTAGTTATCCTAATAGGTATGAGGAAGTATCTGATAGTGATTTTTTTTCAATGTATAAGGAAGAGAAATTTATTTGGGTCATGATTCTACTAGCTGGTGGGTTCAAATAGCATGTCAGTGGCATTGTAGCTAAGTGTGTCTTAGCTATGCCATAGCAGAACAGAAAGGCAGAAAGAACCAGCAGCATACATGTTATAAAGTGTAGCTTTTTTTTTTAACTTTTATTTAATGAATATAAGTTTCCAAAGTACAGCTTATGGATTACAATGGCTTCCCCCCATAACGTCCCTCCCACCCGCAACCCTCCCCTTTCCCACTCCCTCTCCCCTTCCATTCACATCAAGATTCACTTTCAATTCTCTTTATATACAGAAGATCAGTTTAGCATACATTAAGTAAAGATTTAAACAGTTTGCTCCCACACAGAAACATAAACTGAAAAATACTGTTTGAGTACTAGTTATAGCATTAAATCTCAATGTACAGCACACTAAGGACAGAGATCCTACATGAGGAATAAGTGCACAGTGACTCCTGTTGTTGACTTAACAAATTGACACTCTTGTTTATGGCATCAGTAATCACCCTAGGATCTTGTCATGAGTTGCCAAGGCTATGGAAGCCACCTGAGTTCACCGACTCTGATCATGTTTAGACAAGGCCATGGTCAAAGTGGAAGTTCTCTCCTCCCTTCAGAGAAAGGTACCTCCTTCTTTGATGACCCATTCCTTCTGCTGGGATCTCACTCATCTCACTCGCGGAGATCTTTCATTTAGGTGGTGTTTTTTTTTTTTTTTTCCCCAGAGTGTCTTGGCTTTCCATGCCTGAAATACTCTCACGGGCTTTTCAGCCAGATCCGCATGCCTTAAGGGCTGATTCTGAGGCCAGAGTGCTGTTTAGGACATCTGCCATTCTATGGGTCTGCTGTGCATCTCACTTCCCATGTTGGATCGTTCTCTCCCTTTTTAGTCTATCAGCTAGTATTTGCAGACACTATTCTTGTTTATGTGATCCCTTTGGTTCTTAGTCCTATCATTATGATCAATTGTGAACAGAAATTGATCACTGGGACTAGTGAGATGGCATTGGTACATGCCACCTTGATGGGATTGAATTGGAATCCCCTGGTATGTTTCTAACTCTACTGTTTGAGGTAAGTCTGCTTGAGCATGTCCTGAATTGCACCTCTCTTCCCTCTCTCATTCCCACTCTTATATTTAACAGCGATCACTTTTCAGTTAAGTTTCAGCATTTAAGAAGAATTGTGTATTGATTACAGTATTCAACCAAAAGTATTAAGTAGAACAAACAAAAAAATACTAAGAGGGATAACATATTAAGCTGCTCATCAACAGTCAGGGTGAGGGCTGATCAAGTCACCGTTTCTCATAGTGTTCATTTCACTTTAACAGGTTTCCTTTTTGGTGCTCAGTTAGTTGTCACCTATCAGGGAGAACATGTGGTATTTGTCCCATTGGGATTGGCTTATTTCACTCAGCATAATGTTTTCCAAATTCCTAACAGGGATCACTTTTCAGTTAAATTTAAATACCTAAGAATAATTGTGTGTTAATTAGAGTTCAACCAATGATACTAGAACAAAAAAAAAAGACTAAAATGGATAAAGTATTACATTGTACATCAACAGTCAGGACAAGAGCTGATCAAGTCACTGTTTCTCATAGTGTCCATTTCACTTCAACAAGTTTCCCCTTTGGTGCTCAGTCAGTTGTCACCGATCAGGGAAAACATACGATATTTGTCCCTTTGGGACTGGCTTAATTCACTCAGCATGATGTTTTCCAAATTCCTCTATCTTGTTGCAAATAACCAGGTTTCGTTGTTTTTGACTGCTGTATAGTATTCTATAGAGTACATGTCCCATAATTTCTTTATCCAGTCTTCTGTTGATGGGCATTTGGGTTGGTTCCAGGTCTTAGCTATTGTGAATTGAGCTGCAATAAACATTAATGTGCAGACTGCTTTTTTGTTTGCCAATTTAATTTCCTTTGGGTAAATTCCAAGGAGTGGGATGGCTGGGTTGAATGGTAGGGTTATATTCTACTAGTTGTTTCATTTCAGTTTGATTCCTCCTTAATATTTCATTTTCACGAGAGAGATTTTCTATCTTGTCCATTAAGGATTTCTGTAGTTCAAGAATTTGTTTTTGAGAACTTCTTAATGTTCTTATCACAACTCCCAGTTGTTCAGAAATATCTGATTAATAGAAAAATTTATGCTCAAACTACTGCATCTATACCAATGGCCAACAAAGGTACAAGACATTTTGTTCAACCCAGAACCTAGACAGCTGCATTTCTAGCACAAAGGAACATATCATCTACTGAGAAAGATGCATAATGGATAATGGATAAAGTAATCTTGGAAGATCTTATTTCCTTTATTTTTTTACCTCTCAGAGAATTGTATCAGCTTTCCTATTCTTAATTGATGCAAATTAAACCTTTAGCAGTAACTTTTGTTAGAACAGAGAACAGGGATGTGGTAGTTAAAATATACTGAAATTTGAACTTGTAAGATTCAGTAATACTCTTACTGATATGAAGTAAATAGGATATTTCATCATTCATAGAAAAGTCAATTAAAAGATAAATTTATTTTAACGCATTTTTTTAAATCCTGCATAGTTTTTTTGTAATCATATTGCAGGTTTTCCGTGATTGTTTTAAAGCCCTCATCTATGTTTGTTTGCAGAGCATGGGCCCCACCGCATTTCATGATATTATGCTCATCGAACAGAAGCAGAGCAACAGCTGACAACATGCCTTCTGTGCAGTAACGCTGTTAGTTCTGCCCGAATCCCTGGCACTGACCAGTGTCCTCTCAGCCTTTCATTTTCTCAAGTTCCAAAATTCTTGTCTCCATTAGAGTCACTTTGCATAAGGTTAGGTGCAACAGTTTCTGAAGTCACTGTATCACAATGCAAAAGGCAGGCGTGAGGAATTCTTCTTAGCAATTTTACAAACTAAAAATATTTCCAAGCATCCAGTGTCCCACAGCTCTCTGCCAAAGCCGCAGGATTTTATGCAGATGCAGAACACAACCACATGGTCTTCTGGTTTTCTCTTCCCCTTTTCCCTGGTCTTTGATTTGCAGCACTGCAACAGCATCATAGGAACCTACTTCGAGAAGTGTGGGAAGGTTGCCGCCCTGGCAGGGGACTACAAAGCCGTCTGCGTCGATGAGTTCTGCAGCAGCGGGAAGGGGCAGTCTCCCTGTGGCACCTACTCGGAACTGTCCCGCCTCTGTACCTCGGATGGGCCCGGTGTTTTTGAAAGCTGGCGAGAGGACCCCGACGTGGTTTGTGGTGGGTTTTTAATTTGATCATAACTTACCAATGAGTAGATTGCCTAAGCACTTTAAATTAAGCTGCATTTCAAAATACTCGTCCTAAATGATTCCAGACCTTGGTAGGGATCTTGCAGATGATGAAATCTTGACTCTGACATGAGCTTTTGGGGAAACTGAGACTTGTAATGGTGACAAGACTTGCCACAATTTGCAATGCTTGGCGTTATGATTTTTGTAGAAAGATTTATTCATTTATTTGGAAGACAGAGTAAAAGAGAGAGGGAGAGAGAGAGAGAAATCTTCATTTGCTGTTCACTCCCCAAGTGGCCACAGCAGCCAGGGCTGGTGTGGGCTGATTCCAGGGGCTTCTTCTGAGTCTTCCACATGGGTGCGGGGGCTCAAGGACATGGGTGTTATTCTGCTGCTTTCCCAGGCATAATTGCAGGAAGCTGGATCAGAAGTGGAGCAGCAGAGTCTTGAATCAGCACCCATCTGGAATGCTGGTGTCTCCGGTGGTGGCTTAATCTGCTGTGCCACAATACCGACCCCAGTGTTATGATCTTAATTAGAAATTTTGTTGTTAGTACAGTCAGTGAAATTCATGGGGGAAAAAAGAGTACTTTCTGTAAAAGTTCACTGACAAAATTTATCAAAAGTGTACTAATAGCACTATGATTTTCTTTCAGATAGAGTAATAAAATATAAATATGAGCTTTGTACAAATAATAATACACTTTCTACTTAGGCTTGGTCCTTATAATGCAAGTTGTATAACTCAGGTAAATAATGTACAATGTAGATCTCAAAATTAAATATGTTATTATGAAATTGTGGGTGAGAAGTTGTCCTAATTGTATTATCTTTAAAGACTGACATGTTGAAAATCAGGTGCGCAGGTTCTCATTTGAGAAGCTCTTCGCCGGAATGCTGTGCATCTGTCACGTGAATTTTTCTCTAATTTCTGTACATACTTATTTCTGCATTTCTCCAGAAAAGCCTACTTGCCCAGAAAACCTTATCTACAAGGAATGTGGACTCTCAAATCCTGCCACTTGTTCTAATGTGGCTCCTTTCCAGGACAGTGAATGTGTGAGTGGCTGCACCTGCCCAGAAGGTAACACGGCTGTGAGAATATTACACTGAAACTCGGGGATCCGATTTGCAACAAGATGCTCCAACGTTTCAGCTGTCATCAGTCTGTCCTTCTCTTTGGAGGGGAGGCTGGGAGAGACTCTCAGAGCTGCTTTCTGTCTTATCTCTGTGGTGCCTGAAGGCTCCGCTACTTCTCAGAATGTGTGCTAGTCCTCTGTTGAGCTCGGTGGTAATGTGCTCCAAGGAGCAGTAGCTCAGGGTCAGAAACTGGTGGTCGCTGCTTGTGGTGCTTCTCAAGGGAGGAGGGATCGCTTACAGGTGGAGTCAGCATTTTGTGGGCATGTATACACTTAAAGAGCTCGGGGGAGTGATTGGGCAGCCCTGGGGACCCCTTCTCACGTTTACCTGCTTTCGAGACTCACTTTATATGATGTTGACCAGGTTATCTGTTGGATGACATTGGAGAAAAAGCAAGTTGTGTCTTGAAGGCTGACTGTCCCTGCGAATCCAGTGGGATAGTGTATCAGTCAGGAGAAGTCCGAGATGGTCCCTGTGGCTCTCAGTGGTACGTGTGAGCTTTCTGTCCACATTGCATGAAAGAGGCTGGAATCGGGCCGGCGCCGCGGCTCACTAGGCTAATCCTCCGCCTTGCAGCGCCAGCACACCGGGTTCTAGTCTCGGTTGGGGCGCCGGATTCTGTCCCGGTTGCCCCTCTTCCAGGCCAGCTCTCTGCTGTGGCCAGGGAGTGCAGTGGAGGATGGCCCAGGTGCTTGGGCCCTGTACCCCATGGGAGACCAGGAGAAGTACCTGGCTCCCGCCTTCGGATCAGCGCGGTGCGCGGGCTGCGGTGGCCATTGGAGGGTGAACCAATGGCAAAGGAAGACCTTTCTCTCTGTCTCTCTCTCTCACTGTCCACTCTGCCTGTCAAAAAAGAAAAAAAAAAAAGAAAGATGCTGAAATCTTGTTTGTACTTTTATCTCACTTGAAAAAGTTTGTGAGGGTTTAAGATAAACTTCAAATATAAAAGATCAACAACAAAGAAAATGCAACTTTCTTTGTTGTTGATCTTTTATATTTTTTTTATAAAGGTACAGTTAGAGTGCTTTTTTGTTTTAAGGTAGTTGGATTTTCTCTTTGTCTTTAAAATTAATGCTATCCACTAATGGAAATAATGGTTTGAATAGCAAATCACTTGGTAGTTGCAAACATAAGCAAAACAAATACAAGGCTTTGCTTATAATAATGAGATAATAATGATGCCCATTCTGCCCAAACATTGAATAAAATGTGCAATAAGAAATAAGTGAATGCTTTTCAAATAACTTTTCTATGCAACTACATTGGTGAAGATAAATAGTAGATTTAATCTAGAGTGAATTTTAATGTGCCAAAAGTTAGTGTAGATTATTTCTTTATTGCATAGTCAACTTGAGCCTTCTTTTTGTTTTAATGATTTAATTATTTATTTTGAAAGGCAGAGTGACAGAGAGGGGGTAATGGAGGAAGTGGAGGAGAGGGTGAGGGGGGTAGGGAGAGGGGAGAAAGAGAGTATCTGGACCAGGCAGAATCCAAGAATCCATTTGGACTTCCCCATGGGTGGCAGGAACCCAAGTTCTTGGGCCATCATTTGCTGTGTGCCAGGTGAATTGGCAAGAAGCTTGGACAGAAACAGCAACCAGGACCTAACCAGGCACTGTGATACAGGATACAGATGTCCTGAGTGTGGCTTAGCCTGTTGTGCCTCAACGCCTGCCCCAGTTTGAGCCTTCCATTTGAGTTCAGCATTGAGGCACTGAGCAGTGAAGATTCCCTATTTCTTCGTATGTTTCCTCTGAAAGTCCAAGTTTCTTTAAGACTACCAAGGAATTTTCTAGAAATGTGTAACGTACCTGTGGAGAAGCAATCCTCATGAAAAAAAAATCTGCTATAATATTTATAAATAGGGCATGTTTTGGTAGTGTAATAGCAGCGTATTCTTAACAATTATGAATATCATTAGCTACGATTTACTGGATGTCTGTAACACTGCTGCCCAAGAGAAATACAGTGTGAGTCATACATGTGATTCTCATATGCAAATGTGCATTCTTTAGCTGACACACTTTTAAAAAGTAAAAAGAAATAGTTGGAATTAACTTTAATCCTGTATTTTATAGAATCTGATATATTCAAAATATTATTTAGATATGAAATTAATATAGAATAAGAGATTATGTGATGTTTTTTCATGTTGATTTCTCAAAGTCTGTGTGCACTTGACATTCACGGCAGACCTCATTTTGGAAAGGCCGCATTTTAGAAGCCCCGTGGTTATGTGTCTCTGTATGCTACTGGGCAGTGTAAGTCGACAGTGTGTGTGGCTTGTAGCAGATACTTTAACATTAATAATGAAATGTGATCCATTTAAATAACCTATTCAAATCCATCTTACAAGTTTATTCGTTTTTTACAAGCTACATTTATATATTTGAAAGGCAGAGTATAAGAGAGAAAGGGAGAGATTTTCCATCCGCTGGTTTGCTCCCCAAACAGCAGCCAGTTCGGGAGCAGGTCTGAGCCAGACATTGCAGCCGGGTGTCCCACGTGGGTATGAGAGACCCGAGTACTTGGGCCATCTTCTCCTGCCTTCCCGTGTGCGTTTGCATGACGCTGCGCTGGTGGTGGAGTAGCAGGGACATGAACTGGTGCTGCGACACGGGATGCTGGTGTGGCGAGTGGAGGCTTACCCCTCGTCCCACAGCTGCCGCCCCTCCATGTTTTCATATCTTTAATTCATGTAGAAGTTACCATTGTGATCAGTGGAATCCACATCTTTTAAAATATCAGGACAGCGCCCTAAGTCAGATGTCTTATCAGAGCTGGGCTGTTGGGTGGGGAATGAAGACAGTCAGAGTTTAGTCAGAGCTTAGCTGTGGTTTTTCGGTGTCCTGCTGTTTATGTTCTCCATCGAGAAAATCTGATTGATGACCTTCATGTCTCCTTTCATTGAAACAGCACGTGCCAGGATGCAAAATGGTCCTGCACTGAGGCTTCGTGTCCCGGGAGATGTAAGGTGGAAGGAAGTTTATTCACCACCTTTGACAATAACAAGTACAGCCATCCCGGCAACTGTCACTTCTTGGCCATTCATGTATGTACTTGCTTGATCACCCTGGAGAAAACTGTTAGAGGCGCCAAACTATTTCCCAACCAACCTCAAATGCAATCTGCACGTTGAATTATCATTTAAAGAAATAAGAAGCAAATAACCTGTCAATTAGAGGTTACCTATTTCTGCCAGATACTGACTTTGATAGAGTTCTTGGTATTGGATCAGTATTGCCTAGGCTCCCTGGAAAGTTCTTGCCACAAAGAAAACAAAACAAAACAAAAAAAAAAAAAAAGAAGGAAAGACAAAAATGAACAAAATCCTCTTCATTCACTAGTAATCCTGAGTTTGCTGGAAAATTAATTCATTCTTCTCCTTTAGTTTTCCTGTGTCCGACTCCTACTTCAAGCAAGACAGTCTGCTGCCCCCCATGAAGCATCTTCCCCATTCATCATTACTTTGTATTTTTAGAATCAATTGGTTCTAGTATGAGGCTAGCCTTACATTTAGATTCATTTCAGACCTAAAATTTTAAATAATCCGAATTTCAGTTATAAAGGTGGTTCCATTTTATAGTTTGTGTCTTTGGTTAGCATGAGAATAAACAATTTTTTATTTCCTCTTTCTGATGAGAAATGAGAAGCAGATTTGGTCAATCCTGGAGTGAGAAAAGCAGGATGAGTTCTTGTCAAATGTAAAATGGAGTCGCCACTAACAATCAGGTTTCCAAGTTACAGCTTCCTGACTGTACCCCAGTGTAATCTATTTTTCCTTCTTTAAATCCTCCCCTCTTTTTCCTTAAACAATATTTTTAATAAGTTTTTATTTGAGAGAGAGCAAACAACAATGAAGGGGGGAGTAAAGAGAGATCTCCCACCTGCTGGTTCAATTCCCCAAAAGCCTCAGACAGCCAGGGCTGGGCCAGGCTGAAGCGGAGAGCCAGGAACTCTGCCTGGATCTCCCGGATAAGTGACAAGAGCCAGATGCTTGAGCTGTCACCTGCTGCCCCCCAGAGCATACGTTAGCAGGGAGCTGGCATCTGGAGTGGCGTCCAAGTGGCATCTGACGTTCTGTGCCGCAGTGCCCGCCCCATGCTCATCTCCTAATCCACATTTGGAGATGGGGGTGGAGCAAATGAGAGGGAAATGCGCAGAATCCTTGGAATTAGAGCCCTGGATCTGGGGATGAGGCTGGGAAGTCGTGCTTTGACAGGACTTAGAGTAACCTTGTGCAACTAATGCCTCTCACATTGGATTGGAACAGACAAGGACGGCTACCCAGAGAGTCCACAGGCCGTTACCCCTAATTCCTGCTAGTCACTCCACCGTTCCCTTGAGGAGAAGACAGTAGAGATAAAAGAAGAAGACGGTGACTGTGGGGACCATCAGTTGTACACTGCGGAGAACTCGGACTGTGTGTAAATCACTTGCCCATTGCTGAGTGCAGTCCAGGGTGGACTGCATTGGGCCACCTTCTCAGAGCAGCCCGATTGTGTGTAGGCATTGTGGACACTTAAAATCCAGACACATATTAGGAATGAATTGTATGGTAATATCCTAAAACACTTAACATTTCAATGAATAATGAAATGCACTTTTCTTAACAGGATAACGATTGGTCTGTCAGCATTGAGCTTCAGCCGTGTCCCAGTGGGCAGACAGGATCGTGCTTAAACAGCGTCACACTAGCCTTGAATTCCGTAAGTCATCAGCTTCTTAAGGTCTTTTTTCAATGTCACATCAAGTCGATTATTTCATAAATCCAGAATTTTTGAGTTTAAAGAAAAGAGGCTTTGTTAAGTAAGCTAAAAGCATAAATAAAGCCTATATCGAATCTCTGGGAGAGACGAATAGTTGCAAGGATCTGGAAGTGTGTGACTCTTGCCATCGGTGTACAGTAAGATGCTTAACCTGTGTACTCACTGAGTTGTTTTTTCTGGTTGTATGAGATACAAAGTAGGAGAGGGAGACACACACACACACACACACACACAGATACCCATTTATTGCTTCACTCTCACATGCCTCCAGTGGCCGGCGCTGGTGGCAGGAACAGGATCAGGTTCCTGGTGTCAGCGGCAGGGACTCAGCTGCTCACCCAGGGTGCCATCAGCAAGAAGCTGGCTTGGGAGCTGGAGGCGGGCCTCCACCGCGGGCGCTCTGAGAGTGGACACGGGGGTCACAATGGCTGCGCCACACACCTGCTCCTGTTCACCAAGTCCTTGAACTCCGGGGACTGTCAGGAAAGAAGGCAGTGGCGTCCCTTTAGAATCTGACAGATTGAGTCAGTACTGAGTCAGTACCAAGTGAGTAGGGAAAACGGTGCCCTGGGGTTTGGCACTTAAAAACCGACAGTCCGTCCTTGGGTTTCACTTTCCTCCTCTGCAAATGAGGGGTGGTGAGTTCGTCCCAGCCTGCAGCACAGGGCCAGTGTGAGCTTCAGATCAAAGTCTGAGAAATGCTTTAAACACAGTCTACATGTTATGTATTCATACATTAATCCTGTACAATTAAGCATGTTTTTAAGGCCCAGAAATTCAAGTTCATATATTACATTAATAACTACTAGTGCAAATTAATATGAGCTAATACATTGTTTTAAATATTAGTCTGTTTCAGTTGACAAATACGTATTCAATAAGAATGGCACCATCACAAATGACAAGATTACTATTCAAGATTATTACTACTCAGGTAAGTTCAGTAACAGCATTTAAAATAAGTGTTAGCTGCATTCACTGATTCAGTTTTAAAGATGTTAAATGTTTTAAAGTAATAAATGTTTTAAAGTGGTAAATAATCTTAAGAAATGAAAAAGCATTCACTGTATTAATTATTAATACTAATAATTTTCACAGATAAAATACAGATTTTCAAAGCCTCTTCTTTGTACCATCAAGTAGAAACATACTTTCATGTAAAAATGCAAATCCAGATTGTTCCTGTGATGCAGTTGTATGTCTCCCTGCCACCCAACCAGTTCACAGACACAGTCGGTAAGTCCTCTGCATTAATTTTTATTCCCAAGGCACAATGTGACACAGTTAATTACCATTTCCAGCTGCTCTTAATAAATAACAGGAATAAATAAAACATTGAAAGCTACTCTTCCAGTCTACATTGTAGTGCAGTAATCCCAACTTGCTTTTCTTGATAAACACACTTTTATTTATCAAGAAACTATTCCCCAAGGTTTTTTTTTTTTTTTAATTCCTAACATTAGATACATGTAAATTTTTATGGAGTACATATAAAGTATTTCAATGCATGTATACAGTGAAAACAGATCAAACCAGGTAATTGGTTTTTCATTTTTTTAAAAAAGATTTATTTAAAAGGTGGAGTGAAGGGAGAGAGAGAGCAAGAGACAGACAGAGCTTCTGTCGGCTGCTTCACTCCCCACATGTCTACATTAGTCAGGGCCAGGCTGAAACCAGGGGCCCGAACTCAATCTGAGCCTCCCACATGCGTGCAGGTGCCAAACACCTGGGTCATCTTTTGCTGCTAGCAGGGAGCTGGATTGGATGTGGAGCAGCCGCTCCTATGGGGTGGTCACATGGCCAGAGGCAGATTTACTCCCTGTGCCCAAGGCTGGCCTGGCTGTTCCATTGCTGTATGTCTCCTGAATGTTTGCAGCTTACTAGCTCATTTCCTTTAGTGTTTACACAGAACTCAGTACGTCATTGTGACGCATTCACCCCACTGTGCTCTGCTGGGACTTGCTACCTGACAGTGTTTTGTTACCCATTACCCAAACACTCTCTAAATCCCTACCTCCCCTCCTCTTGAAGTGCCCCCTCCCAGTAATCCATGTTCTATGTGGAGATCAACTTTCCTTTTTAACTTCCACATAGGAGAGAGTATACATTGTATTTTTGTCTTTCCATTCCTGGCTTCTTTGATTTCACATTAGTAACTTCTAGTTCTTCCATTTTGCTTCAAAGACCAGGACTTAATTTTTTTTTGACTGAGTAGTATTCTACTTGTATGTGTGTGTCTATTTGTGTGTGTGTGTATGTATATATATTATATTTTCTTTATTTCTCCACGTAGGTGCACCTAGGTGGATTCTGTGTGTTGATTCTTGTATGAGCAGCGGTAGACATGGGTATACAGATGTCTCTCTCATGTTCTGACTTCCTCCTTCAGACATGTCCCAGAAGACGGACAGCTGAGTCATAGGGTGCATCTGTTTTTAGTCTTTGAGGAGCCTCCTGTTCTCCTTAATGGCAATACTAACTTTGATTTGCAGCAGCAGTGTGCAAGGGCTGCCCTTTCTCCACATCCTCACCAGGGTTTGTTGTTCGTGTCTTTTTGATACCGTCCATCCTAGCTGCAGTAAGATACCTCATTGTGACTTTGATTTTCATTCCCCTGACAGCTGATGGTGCTGAACACCTTGTCAGGTATTCGTGGGCCACTTGCATTTCCTCTTCTGAGAACTGTCTGTGCATATCCTTTCCCCTCAAAAGGCCTTTTTAACAATGCAAACATTTTCAAACCCTTTGAAAATCAAGTGCACAGTACCTTATCACTGGTCTTTCTGATCGATGGCATGGTCGAACCCTTCTCTGAGGTTGCCTGAACTTGAAGTCCATTCTCACATCATGCCGTGGATTAGTCAAACAACTACAAGCAAATCAATTATGGCGGTCTCACAACGATCTGCCAGTTGATGAGCAGTGCACTGTTCTCCAATAGGCCTTTATGTGACCAGGTAGCTTCATTCTCAGGAGGGTCCCGGCAAGTCAGGCAGATGTTCCTTGCTGGGCTCACGTCTCCATACCAAGATGGGAAAAACGTGCCGGCACAGCTGCTCCCTGCGAGCCTGCTTCCCCTGCACACCGGGCAGACCCAGTATACTTGCAAGTGGTGTGTCAGTGCTCCTGGGACTTAAATGAAAAGGAATCTGGATGACATCGGAAGTGTCATGAACTGTTAGCGCTTGCAGATGGACCACACGTACTTCCGGGAAGCTTCCCCACCCTTTGATTTGAACAACGCACTGGAGTGCGGCTGTGAATCCACAACGGTGTGCGAGTGAGGAGTCACTACTCTCGGTTCTCTGCTGTCCGCAGGTCTCTGTGGCTCCTACAACAACAAAGCAGAGGATGACTTCATGTCAAGTCAGAACATCCTGGAGAAGACGTCGGAGGCGTTTGCCAATTCCTGGGCGATGATGTCCTGTCCTGCGGGGACCTCGGCCTCGTGTGTCAGCATAGACACAGGTGCTCATGCTGCTCGCTGTGGCAGTAGTGCAGGCGCACGAAATACTGGGGTTGTTGTCCCTGAGCTTCGAGGAAGCAGCAGACCAGCAGGCTGAGTCCACTCCAGAAACGGCATCTGTCCATTGTGTTCTGCAGGACCTGCTCTCTCCCTCCTTGTGCAGGTTCCCCATCAATACAGAACAGGGGAGTTAGAGCAGACTTTAAAACCCCCTGGTTTATTATTTTGCCTCCTTTAACTTACTTGTGAAAAATGATTGTGGTTTGAAAGAGGGAAGCTCACTGACACCGCGAGAGACACCTGTGTCTGGTGCAGTGTCCTGACGGCTGTGGTGAGGTGCACCAGGGACACCACGCCCAGTGCAGATGGGAGTCACAGAAACCACACTTGTGTGTTTCGACTTAGGCTTTCACCTTAGCAAAGAGGTGATTATAAATACCAGTTCAATACCAAATAGATACTAGTTCAGTTTACTCCCACAGAAGTTGTGCAGGGCGTGGGTGGGATTCTTATTCCCACTAACAGGGCTGTTGCTCGCGGAGACCACAGTGCTGTACTTAATCAGGACTCAAGGTGAAGCTGCCATCCAAGTCCCAGAATCAAAGTCAAGCAGCTTTGTTTGCTTCTTTGTAACGAAGGGAGGCAGTGGAACCTAAGTTTGAGCACATTCATTACTCGATGTGAACTAGTTGTTCCTGAATTTCCTTTAATGATTTATTTTTTATTTTACTTGAAAGAGCTAGAGAGAGAGAGAGAGAGGGAGGGGGGAAGGAGAGGGAGAGGAAGGAGAGAGATCTTTAATCTGCTGGTTGACTCCCCAAATGGCTGCAACAGCTGGAGCTGAGCCAGTCCGAAGCCAGGAGCTGCTTCCAGGTCTCCCACGTGGGTGGAGAGACCAAAGGACTTGAGCCATCCTCTCCTCTCCTGATTTCCCAGGTGCATTAGCAGACAGCTGATTGGAAGTGGAGCAGCCAGGACTTGAACTGGCAGATGCCAGCACTGCAGGGCAAGGCTTTAACTCACCCTGTCACAGTGCTGATCCCCTAAGCAGATATTTTAAAAATTTTATTTATTTGGAAGGCAGAGGCAGAGAGAGAGAGAGAGAGAGAGAGAGAGAGAGATATCTTCCATGCACTGGTTCACTCCCCAAACAGTCACAATGGCTGGAGCAGGGCTGGTCCGAAACCAGGAGCCAGGAGCTTCCTCGGGGTCTTCCACACAGGTGCAGGGGTCCAAGGACTTGAGCCATCTTCTACTGCTTTCCCAGGCCATAGCAGAGAGATGAATGGGAAGTGGAGCAGCTGGGTCTTGAACTGGCACCCATATGGGATGCTGGCACTGCAGGAGCCGGCTTTACCTTGTTCCTAAATTGACCCACAGTTTTGAAACAAACATTCTGATGGGCGTACAGTTATATGTTAAAATTACCTAGCAGTTGGTTTTGAAAGTTTCATCTACTGATTGTGATATCAGAGATGAGTTGGTAGCAGCATTAACGTAAACATGACAATACATATTTCAGGGACTTTCCATGTTATTTTATTTTGGGAGTTTTGCAATAAAAACCAGTATAATGAGAATTAATCAAAATGATATATTTCTGAAATGAAAGCAAGTTGAGCTGTGTTATTACACAGGTTGCATACAGCCAGCTTGGACACACATGTGACCTTAGCAAGACTGATTCCAGCTTACAGGGTGGAGGGGAGGCACGTGGGGTGCCAGCATTGGTTCGTTGACCAACTTGTTGCAACAGAAACACGAGGACTTCAAACCATTCATGCGTATTCGCACTGTCATTTCATTCTTGCTTTTCATGAACTTTTGAAAGCCCTTTGTATACATTTTGAAGTTGAAACGCATTTCAGAGAAAGGCTGTGTGAATACAAATCCAAAGGTAATAAAGATTTAGCCTTCTAGTCTAAGTTTCTTGTATCATGCTGTGTTTGTACACAGTGACAACAAAGTAGATTTATTGTAGCAAACACTATAAAAACACAGTGGTTTTAACAAAGGCATAATGGCATTAAAAGTGTGCATTTCTCAGCTGAAACGTGTACTATTGATAGCAATCCAGGGCCCACTCATTTTCTTCCAGAAACGTTTGCTGAAAAGAACTGTGGGATTCTTCTTGATTCAAGCGGCCCCTTTGCTGCCTGCCATCCAATCGTGAACCCTAAATTCTATCATGAGGTATGCGGGAGCCTAGCAGGAGCAGCTCTTTCTTTTTAAAATGTAAAGATAAGCAATTTTATTTAACTATTAAAAATTGTAGCTCTAATTTTAAAAATTATTTGATGAGAGAGAGAGAGAGAGAGATCTTAAAACCTCTAGTTCGCTCCTGAAATAGATGCAAGAACTGGGGCGGGACCAGACGCAAGTTGGGAGCCTGCAGTGCAGTCTGGGTCTCCCTCGTGGGTGGCAGGAACCCGGGTACTTAAGCTGTTCTCTGCTGCCTTCCGGGGCGGGTGTTAGCATGCGGCTGGACTCAGAGGTGGACCAGGGGATCCAAACTGTTTGCTTTGATATGGGACCCTAACTGCTGTACCAAACGCCTGCCCTATCAGCTCTTTGGGGGGAATACTTTGGTTATATCAGTGAAAGCATTTTGACAGTAAACATTTTCAGATAATACCTGCTATTAATAAATAAAAGCATATGCTTAAATTTAACATTGTATTTCTTCAAGCATTAGATATGTTCCATTTAAAAATACACAGAATGAGAAAATAACCCCAAATGGGAAAAAGTTTTGATCTTTTCTAAGTTCTTTGACACATGGGTTAATAATTAATTTCTTACTTTGAATATTTAAAAAATATTTCAAAGACAAATATTTTTCAGGGTAGAGGCGTGGTTGTGAAGTGAATCACTATACCTGGCTTAGCTGTCCTGAAGAATTTCCTAAAGCATTCCTTTCTTTGTTTTAAAGGAGTGTAAGAAGTACACCTGCTCCTGTGAAGGCACTGAAGACTGCCTGTGTACGATTTTGGGCAACTATGTGAAGGCGTGTGCGGAGAAGCAGACATACCTCGTGGGCTGGAGAACTGGACGGTGTGGTACGCAGGACAGCAGCCATGGCTGATTCTGCCTCCTCCTCACTGCTGCTCTGTGGTGTGTGTGTGTGTGTGTGTGCGCGATTGTGTGTGTGTGTGTGGTGGGGGGTGTGGTGAGGCACACCTGTTTGCCGATCTGTGCCTTGTTCTTTCAAAATGCTTTTCTGTTTCTTAAAAAAAAATTCTTGAGTTTCTACTTCAAGATTTCTTTCTCAAATTTCTTTTAGGTTGCTTTAATATATTCACATATAAACAAGACCAGAGTAGATAAGCATATTTATAGATACATGATATTTATGTTCAGTTATTACAGATGAAGTTAAATAATGTTCTGACTGCTAATGCACAGTTATAAATTGTTAATTTATTGGAGAGGCAGTGAGGCAGGGAGACAGACACAGAACGTCTGGAATTGCTCCCGTCTGCGGGTTCACTCCTCACGCTCCAGCAGCAGCTGAGGGCCCCAAGCTGGGAGCTGGAAAGTCAACCAAGCTCCCACACAGGGAGTGGAAACCCAGCTATTTAGGCTGCCACTTCTGTTTCCCAGGGTCCGCATGAGCAGGAAGGCGGAGCCAGGAGCCAGGTGCTCTGAACTGGGGTGCAGGCATCTGAACCGACAGTCCAAGGCCTGCCCCAGAGCATTTTTAAATGGCATTCTCACATTGAAAATGCATTTTGAGAAAAATCAAGTAAAATTCGTCAGTAAATTGGAGGCGTGGCTGTCACGTCTGTAAGACGCTGCTCCCGCGTCGCTCTCCAGTCTGCTCACATCTCCGCACCTGCCCCTTGCTAGCTCGAGGAGCCATCGCTGTTTTCTCCTGGGTCATAGCAGTGGCCCTCAGCATGTACTGCTTGTTCCTGCCCATCCATTTTCTATGGTGCAACCAGGGTCGTCTTTAAAGCAAAGGGAAATACGATGAATTGCACCATGTAACACTCCAGTCTAACACGAACCAATGACTTCTCTTGGCTCCACGTCTAAAGCCCACATGCCCCAAGAGGGCTGTGCAGGGTCTCTCCTCTGATTGTCTCTGGCCTCGCAGCTTCTGTTCTTCTACCTTTTGAAAAGACTTATAGTGTCTTCTGACGTGGGCTGTTTCCCAGCCGTAGAATTACCTCTCTGTGGGCTGTGTTCCTGCTGCTCATGCACACGTGCTTGTCACCAAGTGCACACTCTGGCTGCACACTCACAGTGCCTCCACCTTGCTCCTTCATAGCACACAGAGCAGCTGTCTCCTGCCAGGAACACGGATCGCATGACAGCCATGGATTTCCTCTCTTCTTTGTGGACTTGGTCCCACAGTGTTTGAACATATAGTGGCAGTTCCACTTTAGAGTTCAAAATAAGGATAAAGAAAAAAGCGAACCGACATCCTTTAGTTGACCTGTAATCTTGATATGAATCATTCACTATATTATCGGTTGACCTCGTATTGAAGCAAAGTTGCTTATTTTCCTGGATGCATTCGTATTCATTTTTTGTTTGTTTTTGTCCCTATAGAACTCTCTTGTGCCAGTGGCCTAGTTTTCAAGTACAACGTGAAAGCTTGCAATAGTTCTTGCCGATCCTTGTCAGAGAGAGATAGGAGCTGCGATGTGGAAGATGTGCCCGTTGATGGGTGCACCTGCCCCGATGGAATGTACCGGAACAATGAAGGAAGCTGTGTTCAGAAATCACAGTGTGACTGCTACATCAATGATGAGGTTATACAGCCAGGCAAGCTCGTCCAGATTGATGACAACCAATGGTATGGGGTTTACGTGTCTACTTGTTATGTCAAGGAAATCAAGGCATTGCTTCTGCTTCAGGGAAGGTCTTTCGCTGGTGTGAGGTCTCCTTAGACCTGCTGTATTTTGGGCTCTCGTTTCTTGTTAAGGGTGGCTGTGGTTCCCGTGTTGCCTGTGATGCCTGTGCTGCTGCACTGTGTGATATGCTGCCTGCCCGCTCGGAAACCTTAATAATGAGAGCGGCCTGAAGACTAGAAATGAAGTTGCCGGACATTGAAGGCATCGAGTCTGGCCCCACCTCTGCCCCCTCTGCAGCTGCCTCTGTCCAGGCATGACCCCTTGGAGTCCTCGGGACATGTTTCATTCTTTACTGCCTCACAGTTTCACATCTTCAAAGCAGTGGTCGAGTCTTACTCTTCCATCCAGAGCCAGCCACCCCTCCTGTGGCGTTTTCTCTGAAGTCCATAGAGCATTGCCTGTACAGCCCTGTAACCGTATATTATTTCTTACCGTTTGTGGTATATTAAGCATCTTCTGGCAGCTGCGTTTGTTGGCCTTATTGTCCTTGACATTCGATGTTGAGATGTTTGTTTTTCCCTCATTTCCAGCGTCTGCCAGGATGGGATTCTTCTTTGCCAGAGTCCGGTTGATTCCAGCCTGCGTAAGTGTTGAGATCTCGGCGCTAGCCTGCACCGTCTACTTTACCTAAAAGAGGTCACAAGGCCTTTGACTAACAACAGCTTCCTGTATTGCACAGAGAACTGCACTGGAGGGGCAGAGTACATAGACTGCAGTGACCCGAAAGCACAGACGAGAACCGACAGAACATGCAGCACTCGGAACATACCCATGTTCTATGTACGTAACGTGGTATTAGAGTTCAGCTTGTTACGTGTTTGTGTCAAGGCAGAAGGAGACTAAAACGTCCATCAGAAATAATTAGAAGGTCAAGGTACTCTTTCAATTATTTATTTCCTTATTGGAAAGGCAGAGACGGAGAGAGATCTCGCGCCCACTGGTTCTTTCCCCAGTGCTTGCTGTAGTCCAGGGTGAGCCAGCAACCAGGACTCCATCCACATCTCTCACGTGGGTAGCAAGGACCCAGTGCTTGAGCCCCTCATCTGCTGCCTTCCAGGTTGTGCGTTAACAAGACTGGAATTGGAAGTGCAGCCAGAGCTCAAACCCAGGCACTGCTATATGGGATGCAGAGGTCCCCAGTGGTGGCTTAACTGGCTTTTCCAAATGCCTGTCCCCAAGTTAAATTTTTGTGCTATTTTAACTCGTCAGATATTGACCCCAAACTGTATTTAGTATAATAATGTATGGGGAATCTTCAAAAAGTTCATGGAAAATGTGTATAACTAAAAAGCTATGCATGGATTTCTAAATGTTTTGTACCAAAGATTTATTTTTTTAATTCCATTTTTCCCAGGAACTTTTTGAAGTCCTGCAGTGTTCAAGTCAGTATTGGTAACATCACAGGATTGGAACAGTGTCTTACGGGGCTTTCTGTTATCCCCTAGGAGGACTTGCCTTGCAAACGTGGGTGCTACTGTCCCGAAGGGATGGTTCGGAATTCGAAAGGGCAGTGCGTCTTCCCCGATGACTGCCCTTGCTCTTTCGGAGGACGCGAATACGACCAAGGAAGTGTCACCTCTGTTGGCTGCAATGAATGGTGCATAAGAAACGATTATGACTGTTTAATTTGGGATATTAGAACACATACATTCTCCCTTATTTTCATGAGAAAAAAGTCATACTTCGAACTACTTTAAAAGATAATGGGCCGGTGCCATGGCTCACTAGACTAATCCTCCGCCTTGCAGCGCCAGCACCACGGGTTCTAGTCCCGGTCGGGGCACCAGATTCTGTCCCGGGTGCTCCTCTTCCAGGCCAGCTCTCTGCTGTGGCCAGGGAGGGCAGTGGAGGATGGCCCAAGTGTTTGGGCCCTGCACCCCATGGGAGACCAGGAGAAGCACCTGGCTCCTGCCATCGGATCAGCGCGGTGCGCTGGCCTCAGCGCACCAGCCATGGCGGCCATTGGAGGGTGAACCAACGGCAAAGGAAGACCTTTCTCTCTGTCTCTGTCTCTCTCACTGTCCACTCTGCCTGTCAAAAAAAAAAAAAAAAGATAATGGTCACATGTAGTTAGGAAAAGATGCTGCTTTTTAAGTTGACCTCATGGAAGTTGAGAGGAAGATGATGGTAGCCAGAGTGGGGAAGTTTGGGGAGGGCAAGACAGGGAAACATTGATTAACAGCTGCTACATTTTAGTCCTTCAGAATGAGATTCTCATGTTCTGTGACACAGCAAGGTAACTGTGGATGACAGTAATGTCTTGTAGATTTTTCTAAAAAAGAAAGAGTTGGGAGGAAGGATTTTGCTTGTTTTCATCACAGAGAAATGATAAATATTTGAAAAGATAGATATATTTACCTTGATTTGAACATTTCACAATGTATCTATCAAAACATCACACAGAACTCGATAAATAGGCACCCTTTCCATGTGTGAGTCAGAGACGTTGTTTTTTAACAATAGCCACTTCATAGAGCATTGTTTATAATGAACATCGTGCAGTATACAAAGGGGACTGCAGCATTTGAAACAATTTTCCACGTCATTTTGTGCGGCATTACAAAAACAGTGTGCGTGCCTGATGCCAGGCGGAACAGTTACCACATTCTCACCTTTTCCTGTTAGTACATGCACGAAAGGGTCTTGGAACTGCACGCAGGACGAATGTCAGACCACCTGCCACATCTACGGGGAAGGCCACATCAGAACTTTCGATGGACTGAGTTACAGCTTTGATGGCCTCTGCCAGTATTCATTTCTTGAGGTAGTTACACCTGTCTTACCACAGCTGTTTTATTTACTTCTCAGTTATGATGAATTTGCAGATGAGTGCTGGAGAATTTTTAATTTCAGAAGAAGAAGGTTTTTTTTTTAAAATAAAGATGCCTTATCTTTCCCAGGAGCCAATAAAACATTACGTACCCTGACTCCAGAAGCCAGGCTTAGAGTATGCCTCCGCTTGTCAGACGTGTGACCTTAGGGATCCTTGTCTACCTGTGGATGTCTCTGTAAAATGGGCTTGGAATAGGCTGTGCTTGATACCAAGCCAGAGAGCCCGTGTCAGTACCTGCCGAGTGCTCAGCGATTGTTCGATGCTGTCATTGTCACAACTATGGAGCGGATCGGCAGTGACCACAGCTACCGCTGCGCGTGTGCTTGTTTGCTAAGCAAATCCACATTTCACTGCATTCCTGCAAGGCTGCTACTAGCCTTCCTGTGATTCAGGAGAACCTGAGCTTGAGCGAGGTCAAGCCCTTCCTTTTACTAATCAGAACATGTCGCGTTCAGACCTCTCCCTGGCTCCAGCATGCATACCTGTTAAATACAATTAAGCTGTTGCACAAGTAGCATCTACAACAGGTGAAATTTGGATTGCTTTATATTTATTTATTATTTTACCTCTCTATTAAAAGAAGCTAGAAATAAGTTGCTGGGTAAAAGCAGATAATTTAAATACTTATACACTCTGGCATAACTCTAGACTTTAGAGACGTAGTGGGAAATGGACTGGGTTGAAATAAATTAACCACAGAGTACTCAGCTAGGCTACCTACCCATAACTGCAGTAAAGTCACCATCCTTTGGAATTTCCGTAATATGGTGCTTAATTACGTTTAAGGCATTGCTTTTTAAGACGTATTTGGCTGCCACAAGTATCGCACTTGAGTTCCACGTCCCTGATTTTCATGACCATTATTGTAATTCCGATTTGTAAAGGATTACTGTGGCGGCGAAAACGGCACGTTCCGGATCTTAACTGAGAGCGTCCCCTGCTGTGAGGACGGCCTCACTTGCTCAAGAAAAATCATCGTGGCGCTGCAGGTACAGCACCTGTTCTCTTCACTGATGTTTCCTCTCAGCCTCTGACCAGCGGCACGCAAAGGTGGCTGTCCGTCTTTTCATTGACAGGATCAGAATATTGTCTTGCAAGACGGGAAGGTGACAGCGCTCCGAACAACGGACAGTCAGAGCTGTGCGCTGAGCCCAAACTCATTCTCCGTCCACACTGTCGGCTTGTACTTGGTTCTCAAATTTGCAAACGGAATCAGTGTGATTTGGGACAAGAATACAAGAGTGTCTGTGATACTGGACCCACGCTGGCATGTAGGTATACCCCTAAGGCAAGATTCATGGGATGCAAAGCAGCACCGTTACTGGAGAGGAGACAGGAGTTCACAGGTGCAGGGTGGGTGGGTGCTGGGTTTCTGGGACTTCTCAGAGAATGGACGGTGTTCACAGACAGTGGAGGTAACAGAAAAGCAGCGAACATCATCAAGCCCAGGCCTTCTTTCTAGTCTAACCACATCGGGTGGCTTGAGCTGATCCCCTGATAAGATTTCAAGGGTGTTCATGTACTTTGAATTAAACGTATTCCTTGGAGCGAATATTCTAAGAACCTGAGAGTGTTCTGATGTGGAGTCTGAGCCTGGCACATCCAATTACTTGTGGTCCACAAGGCCGTTCCTCTCCCTGGTACCGGCTGGTCTTGCAGGATGGGCTCTCAGCCTGCGCGCTGACGTTCCCCGGGACCTGGGATTTCACACAGATGCGGGAGGCTGCACGCACAGTGCACCTGCTTGCTTTCTCTCTCTCCTCTCTCTGTCCCCAGGGCCCCTCACTTCCAAACGTCCCTTTCTCTTCCCCCCAGGGGAAAGTGTGCGGTCTGTGCGGAAACAACAACGGAGACCTGCAGGACGACTTCACCACCAGGTACTCCTCAGTGGCCGCAGGTGCGCTGGAGTTTGGAAACAGCTGGAAGACGAGTCAGGAGTGCTCCGACACGGCGGCCCCCAGCTTCCCGTGCGACTCCAACCCCTACTGCAAGGCCTGGGCGGTGCGCAAGTGTGAGATCCTTAGGGACAGCACCTTCCGGGACTGCCACAGCAAGGTGGGTGAGCGGGGTGGCCGGCGCGGTGGGCGGGTGGGCGGCCGGGCCTGCTGCGCACAAGCTCACACGCGGTGCTGGCCGGCCCAGGTGGACCCCATCGCCTACTACAACGCATGCGTGGAGGAGGCGTGCGCCTGCGACATGGAGGGCAAGTACCAGGGCTTCTGCACCTCCGTGGCCATGTACGCCGAGGCCTGCAGCGCAGCGGGTGCCTGTGTCTCCTGGAGGAGGCCTGACCTCTGCCGTAAGTGACGCGCCTGGGTTCTCTGTCCTTGTCCTTACTGTGCTGGGCCTTGGCACAGCTTGGGCTGCAGGGTTCCCTGGGGATGTCTGGGCTGCGTCCCCCGCTGGCTTGCTGCTGATGGCACTCCTGGGAAGCAGCAGGGGTGGCCCCAGCATTTGGGCCCCGGCCACCCACGGGGGAGACCTGAGTGGAATCCTGGCTCCTAGCTTTGGCTCCATCAGGGGATGGGACATTCCTGTCTGCCTGTGTGTCTTTCTCACTTCTCCCTGTCTTTCTGCCTTTAAAGTTGAAAAAAAAAGCTTGTGGTCTACTGAAATGGTTTGGTTCGCTCATCTTCCCTTGTGTACAGAACAGTCTAGAATCATTTAGCTGTGGTTGTTTATGAAGGGAAAAGCACCTAACTTTAAAAAAAAATGGCATCTGCCCAATAGTACAAGTTGAGTTTTAATTTCAAAAGTTCTTGCATGAGTGGATGGTGGAATGTGGAACATTGATGGGAAACATCTCTTATTCACACTCAGATGAGCGAAAGACTGCTCATCTCCGTTGGAGGATTCCCACACATCCCTGAGCCCTCACACACTGAATTTTGCAGGAAAATTTTGTACACCCCTGTTGAAAATGAGCTGTACATTGAACTTAATGTTAAGCAAGATATATGTGGCATGCAATAGCCTTATTAGAAATGAGTCAACTCTTTTCCTTCTTAGCAAGGATTTGTGAGAGAAAAAAATACCATCAGTGAGAAGCGTTGAAGACAATACTCATTTTATTCTGTTCATTATACACAGCTTTGTATTATATCAACATCTTTAGATACCTCTCCAGGGAGCCGTCATTTATATAATTTTAAAGGTTAATTTACCCAGAGTTTCATCTTTCCAATTTAATCCTGAAAATTAAAACCATGAATCTAGGCTATGGCCTAGAATATCTCCAAAAGGGAACATTAGTGTTTCTATTTCCAGCCAGTCTCCAAGATTGGGGTGAGCCATGAAAAGGAAGTGCTATACCTACCCACACCCTGTCATCTGACTCATTTTGACTGATACGGAAATTTTGGATAAGGCCAAGGGAACTTAGTAAGACAGAATGCTATATTTCAGGTCTGTTACTTATATCAGCCAAAATTATTTTTAAAAATGCTTTGGAATGCCAGAGGTGGAAATTGTCAGTTCACGAGTGAAGTGATTTGATGTAATTTGCTGACAGCCGTCTACTGTGACTATTACAATGCGCCTGGGGAATGCAGCTGGCATTACGAGCCTTGCGGCACAGTCACTGCCAAGACGTGCAGAGATCAGGTCATCGGCCAGAAGTTCTCTTCACTGCTAGAAGGTGAGTTGCATTTCAACCATGTCCGTGAAGCGGCACGGGTGATACTGGTCCTGTAAAAATGTAAACTATTGTGACTGTCTCCCAGTTGAGTATCTTAGGTTTTATAAATGCATGAGTGGCTGGCGCTGCGGCTCACTAGGCTAATCCTCTGCCTAGCGGCGCCGGCACACCGGGTTCTAGTCCCGGTCGGGGCGCCGGATTCTGTCCCGGTTGCCCCTCTTCCAGGCCAGCTCTCTGCTGTGGCCCGGGAGTGCAGTGGAGGATGGCCCAGGTGCTTGGGCCCTGCACCCCATGGGAGACCAGGAGAAGCACCTGGCTCCTGGCTCCTGCCATCGGATCAGCGTGGTGCGCGGGCCGCAGCGTGCCGGCCGCGGCGGCCATTGGAGGGTGAACCAGTGGCAAAGGAAGACCTTTCTCTCTGTCTCTCTCTCTCACTGTCCACTCTGCCTGTCAAAAAAAAGAAAAAAAATGCATGAGTGGTTGTTTTTCTTTCCTATGATGTTAATCTTTCCACGTTAGAAACCTTTTCTCTAGGTAGCAGTTGTCTGCCTAATAGGGGAGAGAGAACATTGTGGACCTACTGGCAGTCTTTATGCCTTTTATTGGATGGTGTCAGGTGAGAATGCAGGTGGAGAATAGAGTATGTGATACAGTCTTGCTTACAGAGGAGCCAGTTAGCATGTACACAGCGTTGTGGTTAATGTTGTATCTCTTAGAAAGATGTGGCAGACAAACAAGATGACTCCAGAACTTTCCGAAGGTCACATTCGTGTCAACTCTGCTGTTTCTTCTTCATTTACTTTGTAAATGAGGACATTGGGAAGCGGCCTTCCCATTTCAGGAGACATATGATGTAGCAAAGCCTGTCTTAGGTTCCACATTGTGCCCATCATCAAAGTAGCAAATCACTCACATGAGCTTTAGAGAAAAAACATTAAATCAAGTAGAACTTGTTAGAACTTGGGCTGCTGTTTTACTGCAGAAAGATCTGAATCCTGTCTGTCTATGTATTTCCATCATGAATGTGATGTTGCGTTGCTGTTAGCTACTTCAGTTTGTGCAGTCACTTAAGTGACTTAAGTCACTTAAGTGGTCCTGGACCACTTAAGTCACTTAGAAGGCAGGCTGGTACAGTGTAGTTCGATGAGCTTCCGTGGGTGGAGCTGAAGCGTGGGTCACCTTCACACACAGGCTGTTACGCTAAGTGCCCGGAAAGCGCACCCTATCTGGATGAGAACACCATGAAGTGCGTCCCTTTGTCTGGGTGCAGCTGCTTCTACAATGATGTCATACCAGCAGGGGGAGTGGTCCAGGACGACTGTGGAAGAACATGGTATGTTCCACTCACGTTCTAAGAAGTCATTCTGAGTTGTGCATTTTGGAAGAGAGAGAGAGCATCAGTGTGTGTGTGTATGCTTAGTGTATATATGTAAATATACGTGTGTGTGTGTAACTTTGGCTCCAGTGATTTCTGAATGAGAAAGCTCTCATTTCAACAAATACTCTGCTACATCTTTCACTCGATAGTGTGGGAGGCAGGATGGGAAATGTTGCCATGGGTTTTAGGGAGCTGCTGTCATGCATGTCACTTCTGTGGATGCGAGGTCCCATTTGTCAGCTTCCCGACGGTTCCTGGAAGCAGGCCGGTGCGGTCATTGTGGAGCAGCATGGGCTTTGGACAGCAGGCTGCACAAGCGAGTGTCGCAGCTTGGCTGGGGTCCACGCCTGCGGGTCCCAGGAGCTTGTCGGTGGGGTGATCTGGAATCACAGCGCCTCACAGAACACACAGTTTGAGTTGACAGCAGCTTCTGGGGAACCAGCTATTTGCTGTTCTAAGTTCTGTTTCGTTCTCTCCGGGAGACAATTTGTTGTGCTCCGTTTGGGAGGTGATTGTCATTGAGAGTCCACATTTCTGTCTCATGCTTTTTCCTTCTTTCTTCATCAACTTCTAGCTACTGTCTCGCCGGCAAGCTGGAGTGTACTGGTGAGTTACTGTGTCTTTCTCTGGTTGATGTAGGAAGGTGAGAAAAGGGGCCTCCGATCAGCACAGGAGCAGGTGTTAATACTTTGGAATGCTGTCAGGGGTGGGCAAGATTCCTCCCCTGTGAATGCTCTGAGACCAGTGCCACCGAGACATTGTGAACAGTGTTCCATGGGACTCCGGTCAGTGCACACGGGTGGTTCTACTCCAAGCCTTCCGCTGACTTATCTGCAGAATCTGGCAACTAAGGGACTGATGCATCAGTCAAACTGTTGTAATGCAGGGATAGAATAAGGTGAGAGTAAACGGGGAGAAACGAGGGAAGCATTGCTCTTGGGCAGCACCCATCTCAAAAATAAACCCCAGGAAGCTTCAGATCACTCCGGGCGGCTCCTTCTCACTCTTAGGAATTTAGAAAGTAAACGAAGCTGAGGACAGTGGATTCCCAGGCAGTTGACATGGAGGATGTTTTTAAAGCTTTTAATTCCTGGCAGTAACAGGACTTTATCATTATTTCAGAAACGACTACGAATTCAACATCTACAGGTAAAATCATAGTGGTGTTTTAAATGTGTATTTCTGGTTTGTTTCTGTGGATAATCTTGTGTGGTTTCACATTAATCTGTGCCATAAAAAACATAAAGCTGGTGAATCTACAGATGAAAAAAAATGTTAAGTTAAGATGAATGACTACTAGGAAGTATGTTGAAATATTAGTATATTCCTGAGAATTAAGTAAGCAGTATCATTGTCACATATGATAGGCATTCTGCACTTGCTAGCTTAATATCATCTAAACTTGGCATTTTTAGCTAATTGGATTAGTAGATCAAATAGGAGCGTGTGTGTCTCCCAGGAGATAAATATTTTAACATTGTGATCTCACCAGGAACTGGGAACACAGAAATAACCTCATGTGTTTGCATTTTGTCCTAGGGGTGTTTCCTTTATGTCCACTCAAGAGAATGCTAAGCCACATTTAGTTTAAGTTTGGTTTTAGGCCACTGGACTTGCTGGCAGTGTAAATACACTTTGCCTTGTGTGGTACACTTAGGTGTTTCCACCTCAGGAGATTTCAGGAGGGATTTATCGCCTGTGAGCTTGTCAGAGCCGTACGTTTTGATATATATTTAAAGTCTTGTGATCGTCTGTAAAATGCTGTTTAAATTTTGGTTATCACTGGTCACTTACCTGAAGCTAAGTTACCACGTCAGGGTTCTGAACTGTATTTCTTGGTCCATAAACAGGCCTTATATAGTTGCTCTGAGATTTCAGATAAGTGATAGTAATAAGAAATACTGGTTATCTGTGGTGAAACACAAGAAGTCTATTGTGGTACCTGTACTGTTTCAAATGAAATATTCTTAGGTCACAATTTCTGAAATTTTAATTTTAGTTTATGACAACTGGTTTTGTGAACTAAGTTCTCCAGCAAAAATCATGTGGATGATGTGTTCCATAAGTATTGTTTTCTCTCTCAACAGCTTCTGCAACACCAACTGCCTCCATATTAAGCACTGAAACAGGTAAATGAAAAAGAAAAAGAGTTTTTAGATTTCTGCTTCCAAATTAGCCGCAAAGTTAAACTGCAGGTCAGACATTTTGACCCTGTGTTCACATCTGTCGTGGCAGGAACTCTGCCCGGGCACGGTGTTAGGAGAGTATTTACTATAATTCAGAGATTGTCTGTACAGGAATGTTCCGGCTGCTGCTGATTTGGAAGAAGTGGCTACGCCCGAAAACTCTGTGTTCCACTCTGAAAAGAATGGGCAGGCTCTTGGCTCACGTCAAGGCTTGTGACTTGACGTGGTGGTTTGAAATTAAACAATGACTTGTGGTATACAGAGCAGACGGAAATGCATAAAAATGTATAAAAATTTGATAATGTATAAAATACATTTGATAATGTATAAAAAATTTGATAAATGAGCCTAACTGCCAATCCTTTATTTGCTTTCTGGAGATCTCTAAGTAAGTCTGAGTAGAAACTCCGAACCTGTCTTCCAATTCTGTTTTCTCATCTGCTCCAATATCTGTCTCCTCTCTGCACAGCAGTGACGCAGGGTCCCAGCAGCCCTGGCACAGGTCAGCTGTGACCTCCAATGCCCGCTTAAACAGCACAGGCAGTGAGAAAGCGCTCAGCCTCCTCTGGCAGCTTGATGCCTTTGCAACGGAAATTTTAGAGAAAGTCGACAAAAGTTTTGTCTTGAAAAATGTTTTAGAGAAAGCTTTTGCGGGAAGATGATGTAAAATGAGGTTTCTTGACCTTAGAGTCATGATCTGTGCATTTTAAACGTGAATTTCCCGTTGTAGTGTCTATACACAGGAAGGATCAGTTGCTCTCAGTTACTTCACACTGATCCATGTTAGGCATGACCGTGCTGCTCTTGGGGGCATAATGTTCCCTCTACACAAAGCTTCCCTTTTACCGTTGTTTTCTCAACTTTAGTGACATTCATTCCAGGGATTACAACATCAAGCAGTGCAACGACAGGCGAGTCAATCAGGAAATCTAAGTGACAGGTCGTGTTTTCCACACATATAGAAAACGGGGAGTTTTTCCTAGTAGCAGCCCGAGAACAAGTCGTTTTATCTTGCAGAGTCAGCATCAGGTTGATCAGATGTTTGAAATACCGAGGTCTGAATTTCACATACTTTGCACACTTAGCGTTCTCTCCCGTCTTCCTACCCAAACCATCGAATGTGTCGAGTCAGCATCAGTGTCACACACGTGAGATTAGGAGGGCCGAAGACCTTGGGAAGACTGGGTGGCCCACAGTGTAGCTCAGTGACTGCACGTCGTCTTCTAGTTTGTGATGGGGCTGTCTTGTTATATAAATGAATTAATTTTGCAGTGAAAACATAGCTGTTAATTTTGCTTGTTGAAAATTCACATCTGTGCTCCCTGTCATTTCTTCCTGGGGAAGTAGCTGATAAATTTCAGTCTCCCAAATCGACAGTGTATCTCACCTACCCACGTTTCTGTGCTTAGTGCATTTGTTTTCTTCCCACCGAGCTCTGCTTTTCTTGGCCCCACTATTTATTAATCTCTGTAGTATTTTTTTTTTTTTTGACAGGCAGAGTGGACAGTGAGAGAGAGAGACAGAGAGAAAGGTCTTCCTTTGCCGTTGGTTCACCCTCCAATGGCCGCCGCGGCCGGCGCGCTGCTATGGCCCAGGAGTGCAGTGGAGGATGGCCCAAGTGCTTGGGCCCTGCACCCCATGGGAGACCAGGAGAAGCACCTGGCTCCTGCCTTCGGATCAGCGCAGTGCGCTGGCCGCAGCAGCCATTGGAGGGTGAACCGATGGTAAAGGAAGACCTTTCTCTCTGTCTCTCTCTCTCTCTCTCACTGTCCATTCTGCCTGTTAAAAAATAAAAGAAAGAAAGAAATTTGTAACTTGCGTTTTGTGTTTTGGTGCAGTATTGCTGGTGAAGTCTGACTACTGTTTAGACATTAGTTATACTGAAAACTCTAGTTCATAGCTTTTATTCCTTGGAGCTAGGCTTTCTGCAAGATTCAAAGATGTATAAAATTGAGGCTATTTTGGATCATAAATTGATATCAGAATGTAGAATTACTGGTACAAATTTGAACATATTAAAATTCTTAGTATTGTCTTATGTATTAATGTTTTTTTCTATCCTAAGGGAAAATTTATCTCAGAAAGTTGTAGCCATTATAGTTCACAGTTTTATCAAAAATGTCTAAAACAATGTGTTTACTTCTTTGGAACTTTTTCATGGGTTGGCTATCTTTAGCAACACCAAGCACCCAATCGTTCTGTGTAAATCTTACCACGACTGACCTCTCAGGAACGTTAGCTCAGTTCTGTGATCGGTAGTTTATTCCACAGGGCTAAGAATGGCGTATTCCTGTAGTTCTTCTGAATTGTTTCAGATGCATCGAGGAAATAATTTTCTGGCTGCCGATTACCTCATTCATATGCTGTGGACTGATTTCCAAATTATCAGCCTGGTGCTGTTTCTAACAGGATTTTCTTGGCTCATTTATGTAGATTTCATTTACTTAAATCATTCATTCATCTGTTAAAAGTTATTATTTTTGTGGCCATTCACAGAATACAATTTTCCTTGAGTGTGGATTTGATGAATCCCATAGAGACACGTGGGTCACAGCCTGGATAACTGCTTCGTGTGTGTTGTCAGTGGATGATGCTAAGAACTTAGGAAACTAGCTTAATTGTTCCAGGTTATGCATATATTACCTCTACTGCTTTTTCTTTTTTGAGTATTCAGTTTTGAATACAGTGTTCTTATTTTGTCAACACTTTGATGGTGGCAGGTGAACTTTTCTTAGAAAACAGAAGATCTTGAGGAGATTCCCCAGCAGGATTTTTGTGATCAGCTGATGAACTTTCAATGTAAAATAGCTCATTAACTGTAAAATACTCTGTAAATCTTCTCATTCGTCTCCATGATAGCGTTTTAAAAACTGTAAGTCTAAAGTGAGTGGGATTGTAAGGAAGCTTACCTCGATGGTTTCTCTGAATTTATTCGGTATTATTCATGACTTTTAGTGCTTTCCTTTTCTGAATCCTGAAGTTTTATTTGATCTCAGTGAAATTCCAGTAGATACTTCATGTTCTGAAGTTATTATATGAATAATTTACTAAATGCTGTATTTGTACTGTGTTGAAAGAGCTGCTGATAGTACATTTTATTGAGGATTTACTGCATTGTAGTTATTCTACAATATCTCATTAAGTCTCAACAAACCTCTGATTGAGTTCTGTTATTCTCTGTAGTACCTTCTCTTCAACTCTTGATAGGGGTGGCAAAGCAGTGGGCTTAAATAACATTTCTAAGGTAGTAAGAATCAGAATGACAAGGAGATTTCTGGCATGATATAGAGAGAATCAGGAGGCAAAACGAACATTTTCGTGTCTAACTGTGCCATACATTTCAAATAAATTTAATCACATAATTGAAACATATAGAAAACATTGATCATCAAATCAGTAGACACTTCCAGAATTTATGAGTGATGTAACTTGTTATCATTTTCTTTATTTATTTGATAGGCAGAGCAGCCAAGGGAGAAGGAGATACAGGAAGGTAGGAAGAGAGTGAGAGCAAGGGAGAGAGAGATTCCATCCTCTGGTTCACTCCCCGAGTGGCCAGAAGGGCCGGGTCTGGGCGAGGCTGAAGCTAGGAGCCAGGAACTCTACCTGGGTCTCCACATGAGAGGCAGGAGCCCAAGTACTTGTGCCGTCATCCACTGCTGTCCCAGGCACATTGACACGGAGTCGAACCCGTGCTCTGATGCGGGAGACTGGCCCCACAAGCTGTGGCTAAGCTGCTGCACCGCAGCACTGGTGCTGTGCCTTGTTGTCTTATTGCTGGGATCAGTGAGTAAGTGCCTATTTCCCACAGAAACCAAGGCATACAAAATTCTGGCTATTTATTAAATTTCAGTTTAAAAATCGGTGAATGGTGACCCTTGTTTAGGTCTCAGTTCCTCACCCCCACATCTGATTTTCTGAAGATGGACCTGTAGCATATGCAATAGGTGAGAATTTAGAAATCACTCAAACAGTAACTAAGTTGGGACTTGGTTCAGCCATCTTTGTTGATTCACTTAATGGGATACTCACGAATTCTTTACTTCAGCCTGTGTGGTGGGTTCCTACACTGAATACAGTCCATTCAGAATAAAGTCCGTCGTTCCTGAATCTTGACAGCTGTGAGAGATGATGTGTCAGTCGGCTTCCGACGGAGGCACTGTAATAGTTCACACACCGTGAACATGGTAGCCAGGAGAGTCCCCGAGACTGCTGGGTGTGTGTTTACTGACGGTTCACTTTTCAGGCACAATTATCTCAAAGACAGGAAGCTGAGACTCTTTTCATTTTCTGTGCAAGAGTAGAATGTTTCCTTTTAAGGCATACCAGCACGTTTTTTCTTCTCAGAGTATGTTTTTTCCTGAATCCATCCAGTAAGCATCAAAGTGAAAATAAAACAGTTTAAAGTGAAATTGACTTCTCGACTTTGTAACTGTCAAAGTGAACATGAAACAGTGTAAAGTGTTTGCTTTTAAAAGAAATGAGGATCTTCGTAGAGAGCACTTGCCTTGCACAAATTACAGGCTTCAAAGTCGCAGCCCATTCATTTGACATCAGTGTTTTGATAGCTGCAAAGCATTTGACAAATTGTGATGGATCTGTGACTACCTAATGGTTTTTGTGTGTCTTTTGGCAAGCCTTACTTGTTCCAGGATAAGAAGAATGGATTCCATTTAAATGTGGGTGTTTTTTTTTAATATTTATTTATTTGTTTGAAAGAATTACAGAGAGAGTGGGAGAGACAAATAGAGATCTTCCATCCACTGGTTCACTCCCCAAATGGCTGCAACAGGCAGCGTTGGGCCATTCTGAAGCCAGGAGCCAAGAGATTCTTCCGGGTCTCCCACATGGATGCAAGGGCCCAAGCACTTGGACCATCTTCTGCTGCTTTCCCAGATGAATTACCAGGGAGCTGGATCAGAAGTAGAGCATCTAGGACTGGAACTGGTGCCCATATGGGATGCTGGTATAGTGGACACAGCTGTGCCACAGTGCCAGCCCCTTAAAATCTTTTAAAAAAGTAGAATTTTATCATCATCAATAGTGAAAGTTTTTCTCTCTTAATAAATGTCATATCCATCAGTCACACATACTTACGTGGGGATTGGAAAGTTCAGATTACTGTTTTCAGATACAGTGCAGCCAGGAGGATGCCCGCTGTTGTGAACCTGCTTGCTCTCTGAATTGTCTGTAATAGATGGAGTGAATTAATTTAGCCAAAGTCCTTCCACTCTTATTGCCTGCTTTGTCTTAAAAAACATCAACTCAATAAGAAAACCTGTACTTTTTGAAGGCAAAGGTCAGATGTATTTTAAGAAGAGTCTAGGCAAGGTAGGGGCAGGGTCCCCCCTCACCCAGGGCTTTGTTCACCTGTTCATTGGGTGAAGCACTGGTTCACACTGCAGTCCTGGGTAGCAGTTGAGGTGGGACTGCCTGTCAGGTAACAGCATAGAAGTAAAGTGTTCTTTCTGAACACTGTTTAAAAAATTACCGAAAAGTGGACAGCACCAAGTGCAAGATACAAAGGTTCCTTCTCCCTGGGAGTTTTATGTCTGTTCTTTTCTGTGCAGTAAGCGCTTTCAAAGGATTCACGTGCTCTGAGCAGTGCCTGACCAGCCTTACAAATGAGAATGTAATGTTGAGAGGAAAAATTACACAGTCCACAGGGTTTCTCCTTTTTAGATCGGCTGACATTGGCACAAAGCCGATATTCACTGAGCACTGTTGTCATTATTTGACATGTGTTATCTCATTGGATGCAGGAAAACCACAGATGTCAGTATCATACTTTTTATTCCTACTTAAAACTTAGCGAAGAGGTTAAGTTATTGGTGTCAGGCTGCTTGCTGATAAGTGGCGAAGTTAAAATCCAGGGCATCTGTGGCCACATTCCAGTCTTTATGGTTTTGTGTTTTAATGCTTAGAAAAGAGAATAAAGTTGAATTTAATTTAAATCAGTTATTGAAGTAGCAATATATAATTGCAGATGGTGGTTTCAAATTGGACTTGTGTTAATATTAATAATTTACTTTGTGAATTTTTATTAAAATTAAAAAAAAATTCATTGAAGAGATGAGATTCCAATTCAGATGATTCGACAGTGGTCTTCTCTTTTGTAAATCAGTGTCAGCCGTAGAAGGAAAATACTTGCATCACGGTCTGTGGCCAGGCTGTGATGGTGATGCGAGGTGGAGTCCGAGGTTGCCTTCTGTGCTGTCACTGAGCTGTGGACAGTAGTCTGACTCCCTGAGATGCCCAGAGCTCTTGTCTTCTCATCCGTTAAGTGGGGAGAATAGTAATGTCTACTCTGTAGGACCCAAGATAGGAATGGATGTGATACTGCATCCTAGTGTAAATACCAGGGTACTTCAGAACCTCAGTGAGAAGGGAATCAAAAGTTTATTAAAAGTCGTTGAAATCCATGTATATGAGGATGTTCAAAAAGCTCACAAGAGATGTATATTATAAAAAAGTATGTATAAATTTCAAGGTGTTTTTGTACATAAAGAACTTTTATCTTTTGGATGTACTTCTCTGTGATGCTTTGAAGTACCTTCATACTCGGACAAGTCCTTGTATTGCTAGCTACAGTTTTGTAAAGAAGCCCGGGCCAGGCCTAAACCAGGAGCCTAGAACTCCATCCAGGTCTCCCGTGAGGGGGTGGGAATTCAGATACCTGCTGTCCCCTCGGCACGCTGGTAGGAAGCTGGGTCGGAAGAGGAGGCGAGCCTGGAGCCGATGCACTCTGGGACGTGGGTGTCCCCAGTGGCAGCGCCACCGTCTGCTCCACAGTGTTCACCACGTGGTGTTACTTTAACACAATGAAGACTTACCACTCAGTCTAGGCACTAACTGTATTACCAACTGCTCTGTATTGCAGACTGTCTCACAGGGAGGCAGGCTTTCTAGATTCTTCCCCGAGTCCAGGAAAGCTCACATCATTTCCATCTTTCTTATCAGGCACAACCCTGAGTCCTTTCTCGGAACTCTCTACACCAGGTCAGTATGTGGATTTTTCCTTTTATATATGAAATAAAAAGTCTAGCAGTATAAGTTATTCATAACGTGGGCTTCTAAAGAAATACTTTACTTTTTTTTTTTTTTTTGGCAGGCAGAGTGGACAGTGAGAGAGAGAGACAGAAAGGTCTTCCTTTTGCCATTGGTTCACCCTCCAATGGCCGCTGTGGCTGGTGCACCGCGCTGATCTGATGGCAGGAGCCAGGTGCTTCTCCTGGTCTCCCATGGGGTGCAAGGCCCAAGCACTTGGGCCATCCTCCACTGCACTCCCAGGCCACAGCAGAGAGCTGACCTGGAAGAGGGGCAACCGGGACAGAATCCGGCGCCCTGACCGGGACTAGAACCCGGTGTGCCAGCGCCGCAAGGCGGAGGATTAGCCTAGTGAGCCGCGGCGCCAGCCCATAAAGAAATACTTTACATTTTAAACATGTTGTTTACTAGCCTTTGTTTTCCCATTTTTTTAATTTAATTTAATTTTTTTTTAAGTTTATGCTGACTGGTTCCATAGAGAGCTCGGTTTTCATTTCTTCCTTATTAACTGTTACCATAGAATCTACAATAGTACTCACTTTCTCATCATTGAAAAAGAATGCAGGCTGAGAGAACAAATATCTATGTATTCTCGGGTATATTTTGGGTATCTAAGTATAGAAGTGACAGTTACATATTTCCTGAGAATGTTTCCTTCTGCTGTGGTTAGCCCACAGTTATTATGATTAGGACACAAATATTGCTGTATTTTCAAGGAAGATGACTGATCACATTGGAAGGCACAGTGTGAACAAATTCAAATGCAGAAAAGAGTCTTTGTAAAAAATGCAAAAAAAAAAAAAAAGAAAGAAAAACAAGAAAAAGGAAACTAAACCAAAATCTTTGAAAAAATAAAATCCAAGGGAAATCATAGGAAAATATGGGAATAAAGTTGTTGGATTCGTTCATTCTGTTTTCTACACTGGAAGTTGGTTGGGTAGTTAAACACCTACTGGGAGTGGAGGCCAATTGCATTGAGATCTTTCTGTGTTTCCTCAGACGTTACTCAGACCTCAGTTCCCATCCCAACAGCTGGAAGTGCAGGCGTCACAGGGGGGCTGAGCCCCGCCTTCTCCAGCCCTGCGGTCACATCAGGTAAATTAATGCGCCAGCGCCAGCCAAGCCACTGGTTTCAGACAGTCCAATCACGGTAGTATTTATCCCAAGAAAAATGCCCAATTTAGGTGAATATTCCTTTAAGGTGATTAAAATATTTTCAATGGTGACTTTTTCAAATTTTTGAAAGAATTATATATATATTAGAAAGGCAGAGTTACAGGGCCGGCGCCGCGGCTCACTAGGCTAATCCTCCACCTAGCGGCGCCGGCACACCGGGTTCTAGTCCCGGTTGGGGCGCCGGATTCTGTCCCAGTTGCCCCTCTTCCAGGCCAGCTCTCTGCTGTGGCCCAGGAGTGCAGTGGAGGATGGCCCAGGTGCTTGGGCCCTGCACCCCATGGGAGACCAGGAAAAGCTCCTGGCTCCTGCCATCGGATCAGCGCGGTGCGCCAGCCGCAGCGGCCATTGGAGGGTGAACCAATGGCAAAGGAAGACCTTTCTCTCTGTCTCCCTCTCTCTCTTACTGTCCACTCTGCCTGTCAAAAAATAAAATAAAAAAATAAAAGAAAAAAAAAAAAGAAAGGCAGAGTTACAGAGAGGCAGAGGGAGAGAGAGAGTGAAATCTTCTATTGCCTAGTTCACTTTCCAAATAGTTGCAACACAGCTGAGCCAATCTGAAGCCAGGAGCTTCTTCCAGGTCTCCCACATGGGTGCAGGGGCCCAAGGATGTGGGCCATCCTTGGCTGCTTTCCCAGGTACATGAGCAGGGAGCTGGATCAGAAGCGAGGCAGCCAGGACTGGCACCAGCACCCATATGGGATGGCGGCACTGCAGGCAGCGGCCTTACCTGCTATATGCCACAGCACTGGCCCCTGGTAACTTTGTTAAGGCTGTGTGTGCCTATTATGGAGAGCTATGCACTATATTTTTCTTTGTTTATTATGTTTTGTTTTTAAATATTTATTTATTTGAAATTCAGAGTTGCAGAGAGAAAGAGAGAGAGAGAGAGAGAGGTCTTCCATGTGCTGGTTCATTCCCAAGATGGCCGCAAATGGCCAGAGCTGGGCTGATCTGAAGCCAGGAGCCAGGAGCTTCTTCTGGATCTCCCACGCAGGTGCAGAAGCCCAAGGACTTGGGCCATCTTCTACTGCTTTCCCAGGCCATAGCAGAGAGCTGGATCAGAAATGGAGCAGCTGGGTCTCGAACCGGCATCCATATGGGATGCTGGCACTGCAGACATTGGCTTCCCCACTATGCCACAGCTCCGGCCCCAAGCCATGCACTGTTTTAACCAGGAGTTTGTTTATTTTCAAAGCTTCCTCAGGGACCCCGGGAGTAGCCAGTAGCCCCAGGGGTAAGCACAGGCATTGTCTGCGAACAGGGAAATGCCTGTGAGGCAGGGGAGGGGTCACTTGCTCTCTTCCGTTGCTTACTGCCAGAAGCAGTGCTGGGTTTTAGCAGAGCAGCACCTGAACCCTTTGCAATCAGGGCCAAGAGTCAGAGCTGTCCTATCTGTAGCCTTGGGAAAATTCAGTAATTCACATGTATATTGTAGCAAAATCTGATGATTTATATCTACATCACACTAAGATTTCTGAATTATACTCAGATCCATAGTTTGTAATTTACTCACACGGATAGCATGGTGGTAACATCTAATTATTCCCAGTTTGACAATTTGCATCTGCAACACACTAAGTGTTCTGAGTTATGTTAAAATACATTGTAACGAGTCAGCACTCTTGCCATGGAGTAACATCTCCTTATTCCCCTGAAGTGGGAGAATAAGGAAAGTCTTCTTGCTGACAAGACATTCCGCTGATGACATCGCAGAATCTGCGCCCCGTGGGTAGAGGCAGCCCCAGACTGAGATTGAGGATCAGAGCCCGTGCTGAACACAGCGCAGTGAAAACACTGTGTGCATCGTCAGCCGTGTTCCATGGTGGTTTTGGGAGGAAATTGTTCTACAGTCTTGAAGCATGGATAATTTGGGGTCACTGGTGCCCCTCTTGTATTGGGTTGTAATCTGAAGAATCGCTTGGCTTTCTTATCCTCAGCATCCATCCACCTGTGCCCTGGGGCAGGTGCTGTCATCTTCCTCCCGTCCTGAATCCCCTGGCAGCTCCCCTTCCTGACACACAGGTGCCCTGAGATTGCTTCTTGCCTCTGCATCATTAGCATCTTCTGGGGCTGCAGCAGGATGCAGGGTTCTGGGGCCGCTGTCTAGGTCGGAGCTGTTGGAGTGGAACGGGACAGGCAGTGACTGGTCACGTCTCTGAGGGGACTGAGGCTGCTGGAGTGGAGACCCCCGCCTCCACCCAGTGTGCGTGGTCGCAGCGCAGTCCACACCTCTCCGCCGTGCACTTCCAGCAGTCAAGGGGCATCTCGGCTCTGTGCTACTTGAGATTCCTACATTGTTCTGACTGCTTTAAAGAGAACTCAAAGTACCTTTCATTTGCCATGAGCAGCCATTGCTTTGCTGTGTGAATAGATCTTTGGTTTATGTATTCGTTAACTAATCTCCGGCCAGATTTTATTTTCCTTGTACCTGTTTTGACTTTGCCATTTTTGTGGATTCAAAAATGTTGCTGTGAATGTATCTTGGCATAAGAAATACTTTGCACAAACACATTGGGTTGAAAGGTATGATCTCCATGGGCTGCATGGTGGAGACCCTGGTAACTCCAGGGAGAGCAGGACACTGATTACCTCCGAGCCCAGGCCATTCCGTGTATCTTCACTGAAGTATGGGTGAGATTTCTCTGGTAGTTTTGTTACTGGAGAAATTGTAGGGTTCTTGTCTTCATGCAAGAAAGAATTCAGGCGTGAGACAGAGAGTAGTGGGAGGTAAAATAGCAAGGTTTATTAGGGAAGGGACATCCGTAAGGATGGATGGGGAGAGACTGGGGGTGGGGGGTGGAGGTTACATGGTTGAGTGGAGAGAATACACCTGGCCAGACCAGGCGGGCAGCTCAGCAGAGAGGCAGAGGGCTGAGCGCGCAGTCCGGTTGAGGCCGGGGGGTTTTTAAGGAGATGGGTCTCTGTATTCACACATCTCCTCCTGAAACAAATGATTTTATGGCTGTAAATATTAAGAAGCTCCTATCTGAGTTTTCCCTTGAAGGTATCAGACAGGAGGAAGCCTAGCTGGCGCCATCCTGGGTTCAGAGGAAGGGTGAGCAGGACCCCCTAGAGAATGGGGATCCGGAGCAGGGTGTTTGAAATGCAGATACTGGGCTGCATCTGGGAGACTGTGGAAGATTTGTCAGGCAGAAGGGACGGGGATCCCCACCTGGCAGGTTATCAGGTAGGAGGGGGCAGGGCAGGATGTGAACACTGGGCTGCCCCTGAAGCATTATCTGAAGCATAATATTCACATAAGCCCACACCTAACTTCCTGCCTAACAGTTTGTGCATTGCAATCAGTTCTCTCTCGGGTGCATCAGGCAGGTGCGCAGGGCTTGAGAGCAGGGATGTCCAATGTTTGGCTCAAAGGTGGTGTCATCCAGAGGTGTTGGCTACTGGTGCTTGGTGCGAAAAGAACTGAACCAGACAGCAACCACTTAGAAACATAGCAGGTGACCCCAAGATCTATGCCTTTTTTTTTAAGCTTCTATTTTGCGTCATTTTGCTTTTGAAAATTTACTTACTTCTCCATGACATTTCCAAAGCCACTGTATGAAACAGATTGGAGATTTTACAATCTCGCCTTTGGCTGTGGATCGTTTGAGAGTGCAGGTCAGAGATGAATGTCTTCCCGTGTGTTGCTCCTGGGACAGCTGTGCAGAGACTTGGTGATCTAGGGCACGTCCTTCAGCCACTTGCAGTGGCTGGGAATCAAAATATTCCTGGCCCATGGTCAGCACTGTGGCGTAGCTGGTAAAGTCACCGCCTGTGTTGCTGCCATCACAGTATGGCTGCTGGTTCATGTCCCCGCTACTCCACCTCTGATCCAGCTGTCTGCTAGAGGCCTGGTAAAGCAGCGGAAGATGGTCCAAGTATGAGGGCCCCTACCACCCACATGGGAGATCCAGATGAAGCTCCTGGCTTTGTCATAGCTCATCCCTGGCCATTGCAGCCATCTGGAGATGGCTGGCGCCCGCTCTCGCTCTCACTCTCACTCTTGCTCTCTCTCCAGCTCTGACTTTCAAATAAATAAATCTCTAGGGAATTTTTATGGAGTTGAAAGAGCTGATTGAAGTTTGACCAGTTCTTTAATGTATGTTTCATCAGTAGGCACAGAAAGCCCCAGTCCACCCACCCCGAGTGGTGAGGACGGCAGCACATCTCAGGGAGCAGGCACCACAGCGCCCAGCTCAGGGACATCAGGTGGGTCGGACATGCACTTGAGTGTCTAGGACATGCACATGAGTGTCTAGGACACGCACATGAGTGTCTAGGACACGCACATGAGTGTCTAGGACATGCACATGAGTGTCTAGGACACGCACGTGTCTAGGACATGCACATGAGTGTCTAGGACATGCACATGAGTGTCTAGGACACGCACGTGAGTGTCTAGGACATGCACATGAGTGTCTAGGACACGCACGTGAGGCTCCAAGGCTGGGGGCTGCTGGCAGATGACAGGAACGCTCAAGCAGAGTGAAACTGTGAGCCGAGTCTTCACTCTGAACTAAAGACGCGAGGTTTGCAACCACTGCTGCTCTGCTTGTCAGGCACAGCGGGAGCGTCTGTGGGAGCCACCTCGGCGGCAGGCTGGGAGAGCTCGCCTGAATCAGCGGGGACTCCGGCCACCAGCATTGCAACACCAGCGGGTAAGACGGATCCTTCTTTGTGGCTGGTGGGGGAATGGGGGGAGAGTGGGGGCAGCAGAAGACCTTTGAACGTGATAGGGAGGGTAAGAAGTGTTGCACAAGTTTGTGACATGAACAAAACCGTTGAGAATGGTTATATTCTCCGTAACCACGTGCACTAAGCAGTGTTATTCTTCCAATCAGGAACAAGTACAGGAGCAGGTACAGCCACCACGGGTACTGCCGCTGAAGACACACCTGCAGGGACAGGTACCGAGCAGCACGGCAGCATGAGACGCAGGCGCTGGGCATGGGAGGAGTTGGCTTAACATGAACTGAGGGACCCGGTCTCCTTGGCAACCCAGATACTGTTACTTACACGGAACTAGTGTTCCTAGGATCTGGAATGTTCCAAAACGTGTTTGTTGTATCTCCTATATTTCTTTGCTCTGTAAAATATGGGGAAGGGATAGGTCTGTGTATCTTGTTCCACTCTACTTTGCAAGTCAGAACTAATATTTGTGTGCAGGTGGAGGAGGGTGTATGCAGGTGTGTAGGAAGGGAGACGGCCATACAGTCAGAGAGCACCGCAGTATCTAGTGATTAGTCGACCCTAATTAGAAGATATGCTGTAGTGGAATTTGCACGTTCCAGGGTGTCCTGATTGCCCTCATTTACGTTGAAGACCCTCGTTTGCAGAGAATGTTCATGGGGTGAACAATCCATTTTGTTAAAGGAACAGAGCAAATGTATTTCAGGTCAGTTTCAGAAAAGGGTTGTGACTGTATTTTTTATTAAGCTGGTGTTTTTCCCCTGGTGAATTTCCGACACAGCTGGGACATCCTCCCCAGCCACTCCTGGTGCGCTAGGCAGCAGTACCGCTGGGGAGCAGGCACTGGAGCCTCGGGCTCTGCTAAGATCCTCTGGGCTTGCTTTGATCCTCAGGTGCTCTGCCAAGGCTTCCCCCAGCAGGTGCAGCTCTGTGTAGTCAGCGTGTGTCTTGGGTAGGATGCAGGGCTGACGAACGTGCCAAGGGGTGTCTTCCCATTCTTGCTGGAGTCTGTGTCGTCGCGGTACCTGCGTTGATACCATGCGTCCACCCCCTTTCCTTCAACTCTTGCAGTTTCCCCGACCGTGGGAGTTTCTGGAGGAGCCAGCGTCAGCACTTCAGGCGCCTCAGCTGCAACAGCCACGACCTCTGGTGGCATCAGTTCGGGTAATTAAGCTGGAGAACACATGAATGGACAGGTTTTCTGGAGTGTGTGGGCTGAGCATTCCCTGTATGTATATGTTGTGAAGAATGGAGAAGAACAGAGAGAGACGGCGTCAGGCAGCCGATACCCGAACGGCACTTTGCAGGTGGTGTCTGGGCTGGGGCAGACGGTGCGTCTCTAGCCTTGTGCGGTGGTTACTGCCCCTGGCTGTGCTTCTGGGCCTCCTGGCCTGACCTCTGTGGCCGTGAATGTGGAGCGGGGTCATGGTTTGCAGTCCTGGCTGCTGATTGGACAGAATCCAAGATATTCTGGGAAATGCACACTGAAGGGTCCCTCACAGACTGACCAAATCTTGACTCCTGTGGCCAGGTTTCAGCATTTTTTGAAAATGTCAGAATGATTCTACGTGCAGCCTGGGCTACAACAACTTGAATTGAATATGTGTATGATAAACAAGTAGATAATGAAGAAGGTTCCATACCCATAGCAGCAGGTTAATAAGCCAACTCAGTGTTTATGCAGATTGTGCAGTAGTCTTGGCAATTTCTGGGAAACGTGATCTTGGAATGGTGAAATGCGGACATACACTTGACATCTATAAGAGTAAAGAGCCTGATCCATGTCACTTGTCGAAGAAGCTGACATCGGTTTTTGTCTGTTTTGAAAGGGAGCACTGCACCAGCTCCAAGCACAACTCCAGCTCCAAGCAGTGACCTGACATCTCCATCTGCAGCCTCAGCAGGTGTGTGAGGGAGTCACTCAGGGGTCATCGCATTTCTAGAAAGGGAGAGACCCTCACGGAACCAGACTGACTACAGAGTTAGAAGCAGATCTGTGATAACCTAGAATGTCCCAGTTCTTAATGGAGGGACATGTTCTTTAAAAAAGCCACATCTTCAAGAGAATAATATTAGAACAAAATTTAGGAGGCCATGTGTAGAAAGTCAGGGGGCTCCTTCGCTCTGTGTCTGCGGTGGGGACCGTGAGCATGGTCTGAGCACCTGCCGGCATCCGTGCAGACTGCAGGGGAAGCTCCCTCTCTGTCTTTCTCAGGCGTTACTGGGACTTCAGCTCCCATCTCCTCAGCAGCTGGACGTGCAGACAGCACAGGGGGGCTCAGCCCCGCCTTCTCCAGTCCTGGGGTCACAGCAGGTGAATTCAGTTCTGAACAAGTACCCCAGAGCCAGCCGAGCAACTGGTGTTAGGGAAAGCTGCTCAGGTAAGGTTGTTCAGATACTAATGCCAGAAGGAAGTGACGCTTTTACATGCATTTAGAATCGAGTGCCTGTTGCCTTTTCAGAAATCGTTTTCTGTAACTGTGTGGTGCTAATGTTATGCACTCTCACTTATTTGTATCTGGATTCGCCTGAGCACATTTTGTAGCCCACTTTTAATTTGTTTAATCAGGAACAGCTGGAGTGTCCTCAGGTGCATCAACACAAGCAGGCAGTCGCAGTACCAGTGGTGCAAGGTTCAGATCAGGTGAGACAAAGAAGGGGCTTCGTGCTGCCCTCTCTGTGACTTGTTCCCAGGGCTCTGTTCCCCCAGCACAGCCCTAGGCAACACGGTGGCCAACGGTCAGAGCTATCAAGGTCAACTGCATACCTGGGGGAAGATGTGCCCATCCATGGTGAGGTATTTAGAAGAGCTGGTATGCCCATGGCACGCTCGGCTTTCTGGGTTATGCTCGTGTAAGACTTTGTGGCTTAGTCCACATTGAGTGCATGGTGTTGGATGGGAATAGTCAAGGTCTCCAGGCTGACCAGGGATCCCGGTCTCCTGTGCAGCGGGCAGCTCAGGGTCCTGAGACAGGAGTGTCAGGGCAGGCATCCAGCACAGTCCAGCGAGCGTGTGTTTCTCCAGGTGCATGATGGGTTGTATTTTAACCGTTACTGGCTGCATGAGTAAAGTGTTCTTGACGTTCCTTAGGCTTAGATAATTTTTACTAAAAAACCAAGTCAGAGGTCACCCGCGCCCCTCCTCCATCCACAGGGGTCTGAAGACCTCTCAGGTTTCCTTCCGTCTGTGCCCCTCTGGCTGTGCTCTGGGTCGTGTGCTCACCTCCCTCTCTCTCCCTGTTCCCCGGACCCCCAGAGCTCTCGTGAGCTCTCCTTCCTGATACGCGGTGCTCCAAGGATGCTCCCTGTACCTGACTTGGTCCACCTGCTTGTAGTCAGACGTGTTGGGTGGAGCCTGGCAGGCAGTGATGGGTCAGGTGCTTCAGGCAATGAAGAGCCCTGGCTGTGACCAGTGCACTCCTGCCCGGCTCCCTCCCAGAATGCACTTCCGGACCTCAACCATCATGTGCTACTTTAGATCCTTCCATCGTACTGGTGGCTTTGAAGATGCACCCAGACTCCTTTCCCCAGGATGGCCAGTCATTGGTGTAGTGTGTGAGTGGGTCCTTGATGCACGCATTCATTAACTGATCTCGGGTCAGATTTTATTTGTCTTGTTTCTGTTTGCCTTGGCAACGTTTCCTGGTTCACACATTACGGCCTACACACGCCGGGGGAGGAGAGGCAATTCCCTGAGGAAGTGCTGGCTGGAGAGAAGGACTGTGCGTGCGGCAGGGCTGATGAGGAGCTGACGGCTCCCAGTTAGATGAGTGTGCAGACGGGAGTTCTAGGGTGATGAGCTTTTGGTTTCTCGTTCCTAAAATACGAATTGGAGATGCCTCATTTTCCCTTTTTGTCATGATTCAAAGCATCCACGTAAAACAGAGTGGAAATGCTCCGAGCGCGTCCTTCGCCTCGGGTTTCTAAGACCCTGGGTTAGAGGACAGAGTCTGGGACAGGCTGCCGAGGCTTGGCTCTTGCGTGGTTGCTGAGCCTTTGGTGACCTGGGGCAGGTCTGATAAGCAGCAATGACGACATTTCTTGACCCAGAGTATTTTGTAAGAACTAATGTGTCTCTTCATAGCTTGAGTTTTTAATGGTCGTGTTTCATCAGCAGGAGAAGGTGGTCCCACTGCACCCACACCGAGGGAGGAGGACAGCAGCACGCCCAGAGAAACAGGCCCCCCGGCTACCAGCCCAGGAACCTCAGGTGGGTCAGGACGTAGACGTCAGTACCTAGGCAATGGACACATGTGTCTGTTTAAAATATGTACTTTTATGTATTTGAAAGGGGGAGAGAGAGAGAGAGAGAGAGAGAGAGAGAGAGAGAGAGAGAGACATCTTCGATGTGCTAGTTCACTCTCCAAATGGCCAAAAGGACTGGATCAGGATGAAGCCAGGGACTTCTTCCAGATCTCCCACACGGGTGCAGGGGCCCAAGCACTTGGGCTGCCTTTTGCTGCTGTCACCAGCTCTTTAGCAGGGAGCTGGATTGCAAGTGGAGCAGCCAGGACTTAAACCGGTACCCATGTGGGATACCGATGTCACAGACAGCGGCTTAACCTGCTATGCTCCAACACCTGTCCTGGCCCAAGTTTCAAATCAGGTATGCTACTGGGTAGATGCCGGGAATATTCAAGATGCGATGTTGTTTTGAGACTCTCTCTCCCTGCAGAAGCACTGTGTGTTGAAGCTACTGCTACCGTGTGTGTCAGGTTCAGGAGGAGCATCTCTGGGAGCCAGCACGGTAGCAGGCAGGGGAGCTCACTGGAGCAACAGGTAGTGACGCCACCAGCACTGCTCACCCAGCCGTTAAGACAGGGTCTCCACAATACAAGCTTTGCCAAGGCCCCAGACATGATGATAGCCTCAGAGAAACAGAGTGAGGGTAACGATGTCCCTGATGGTGTGAGTGAAACTCGTGGCATGTCCTAGGCAGCATTTGCTTCATAGCCGTCCTCACGCAGTAAGCACCATGGTTGTTCCATCTAGAAACAACAGCAGGAGCAGGTGCAGGCATCATGGGACCTGCAGCTGAAAACACGCCTGCACAGATGGGTGCTGACAGCACAGAGCATGAGACGTGGACGGCGTTTAGTGACACTGCTTAGGGACAGGGTCTCCTGGGGGACCCAAACAGTTATTTATGCAGTGCCTGGCATCCCTAAGATTGTAAATATTCCCACAAGTATTTATTCCATACCTACTCCTGTGCTGCCTGTTGTGGGAAATACTGGACTTACGAAAGTTCTGGAGAGAGGATTTTAAGGTGACGTGGATTTTCCGTGAGTTGTTGGAAGCCTGCTTGTATACCTCTTCTCCTCTCTGTTATCTGGTGAAGTGAAGAATTTGTACCCAAACAGATGTAGAGGCAGATAATACAGAAAGGAATCAAGTCAGCAAAAACTGAGTGTTTGCCCACAACACAGTCCTGACAAGGAGAGATCAGCCAGTTAAATGGTGAACACGGAAGTACCTCTGCGACTGCTCTACCTTATTAAGAGACGGCGCCTTAACGGAATGAGTGTATTATCAGGGTCGTCTCATTTAGCTGCATGAGAAGTTAGCACACCAGTGAAAAAGATCGATTCTGGAGTAGTTAAGTTCAGTAGTTAAGTTCAGCGAAAAGAGCAAACACATTCAGGTCACTTTCATAAAAGTGCATGACTTCATGTGTCAGTAAGCTGCTATTTTCCCCTCATGAATATTAGGCACAGTGGGGGCATCATCACCAGCAGCCCCTGGTCCCAGCAGTACTCCTGGAGCAGCAGTAAGATCCACCAGGCAGGACCCGATGCTGCTCCGCCGTGGCTTGTGACTTGGAGCAGAAAGAAGAGTGTGGGGGTTGGGGGTGGGTGAGTACCCAGGTGTGCGCTGGAAGTCTTGGCAGGGCCAGGTCCTGTCCTTGGGGAGAGGGAGGCACCCTGAAAGACAGAGGAAGCCCTAGAGCCCAGGTGTTGAAGGAGAACGAGCGAGGTGATGAGATGGGTGAAGGTGAGGGTCTCCATGAGCAGGGTGGTAATTCTGAATTGGAGGGTGAAGCAAAGCTCCCGTCTGCCCTCTTTCTTCAAAATCCACCCCAAGGGCAGCCTCGCAAATCCTCTGACCCCCCGCCAGCGGCTGCTGCTCCCGGGGAACCCAGACCCGGTGCAAACCATACAGGACCCCCCCCCACACACACACACAGTCCTGTGAAAAGTGAAGAATTTCCAGATTCTCTGCACAGCTCTTCCTTTCTATACACTTCAAAAAAAAAGTTTCAGCCTCCGCAAGCCGGTTCTCTGAATCTCCGCGTGCGGTCGAGGAGGACTGGGGCACGGACGTGGATTCCAGATGACCAGTGCAGCAGCCGCAGTTGGAGAAAGACATCAGAATATTAGAAACGGAAGTTGCAGAGTAAACGTAGACAGATAGCAGGGAGGTGGGAAACTGGAATGGAAGAAACTTCAGCAGAGGACCTGAAGGAAAAGAAAAATGATCCCCAAATTAAGAGCAAACAGCGGGGTGCCCAGCTGAGGATAATGGGAGAAGAGGCCCCGCACCCAGCACGCTGCAGACCCTTCCACCCTGGTGACCTAGAGCAGACAAGGACCCGGTTATCGGGAATAGACAGAAATACCCAGCACAGGTAGTGCGGCCCTCTCTGAAAAAGAAAAGCAAAGCACTGGAACAAGTGTTTCAGCTGGTAATCACAAACATTTGTCTGCAATTAAAAAAAAAACACCCTAAAACCTACATCTACCTTGTGTACCCAAAATGAACCTGACTGGTCAGTTCTGCAACGTGTTTTAGCAAACTGTTGCACTTGAGAGATAAAGAATGAAATTATATGGCCCCAGAGAAAATGGGTCAAAAAGGTCAGCATTAAATTCGTTAAGAATGGAGTAGCAGGGGACTGTGCTATAGGGTAGCAGATAAACCACCACTGTGGTGCCAGCATTCTGTCTGGCTACTGGTTCAAGTCCCACCTGCTCCACTTCCGATCCACCTCCCTGATAATGCAGCTGGGAAAAGCAGTGGAAGATGGCTCAAGGCTTGGGTCCCCATCACCCACATGGGAGACCCGAAGGAAGCTCCTGGCTCCTGGCTTTGGTCTGGCCCAGGCCTGGCCATTGGTGTCATCTGGGGAGTGAACCAGGAGATGGAAGATCTCTCCATCTCTCCCTCTCTCTCTTCATAACTCCAGCGTTCAAATAAATAAATACATCATAAGATACTCAGAGAAGAAAATGTGGGTCAAGGTTTTATATCCAGCTAAACCTAGTTTAAGTATCAACGCTATAGGAAAGCAGTGTGACATGAAAAAAAATCAGTGAATTTTGTGTGCATGAGCCTCTCATAATAACTTCTCTAGCGGATGAAGGATGAGGAATAGAGAGACACTTGGAAACAACAGGGGTTGCTGTAACCTGTAGGTCTAGAACTAGAACAAAGGTTACAGCCGGCGCCGCAGCTCACTAGGCTAATCCTCCACCTGCGGCACCAGCACCCCAGGTTCTAGTCCCGGTTGGGGCACCGGATTCTGCCCTGGTCGCTCCTCTTCCTGTCCAGCTCTCTGCTGTGGCCCGGGAAGGCAGTGGAGGATAGCCCAGGTCCTTGGGCCCTGCACCCCATGGGAGACCAGGAGGGGGCATCTGGCTCCTGGCTTTGGATCGGCGCAGTGTGCCAGCCACAGCGTGCCAGCCATAGCAGCCACTTGGGGGGGTGAACCAGCAGAAAAAGGAAGACCTTTCTCTCTGTCTCTCTTTCACTGTCTAACTCTGCCTGTCAAAAAAATAAGTAAATAAAAAAAAAGAAAGAACAAAGGTTACAGGAAAGGTGGGAAGCAGCACATAAATGTTACGTACCTTGAGTAAAAATATGCAGATGTAGAGAGAGAGGGAGAAAAGTGGGCAGAAGTCTCGATTGACTTACAGGTGTCAGGCATTAAGCAGTCAAATGAAGTATTTAAAGCTCATGAACCAAACTAGAACCTTACATTAAGGGGTAAAGCAAGGTTTAATGATAATTTCCATTATAATAATTATAGTGAAGCTTTTTCAAAGTTAGGAATGCCATTAATATGGTACAGTAAATAGTAGATTGGAGAGAAGTCAGAACAACTAGTGATGTCCACTGAAGCAAAAAAGGCGTTTGATAACCACCGGATACCCAGCTCTGACGGAAGAAGGCAGAGCAACAGGTGTGAGCGGATCCGTCCTTGTGAACGAGGGCGTCCACGTAGCTCCGTCACAGAGGCCGCCCCAGGCTGGACGCGCAGGGCGCCCGCACTAGCACACCGCTGCCTCCCATCCTTGGGTGCTGTGAGAAGCTGGGTGGGACAGTACTGGAATACAAGATCCTCGGCTCGTATATGGTGCAGTAGGAAAGCAGTGGAGAACCAGTGAGCAGACTGAACAGAAGGAGATTTCAGTAAGCCACTGACATGTAAGATGAACCTGTAAAATTGATTAAATGTGCAAGCAGTCTCAAGCTAAAATACAAGCTGGAAGACAAAACTTCGATTTATGAAAACAACAAAGTAGATGATAAAATACCTGGGAATGATCTTGTCAGCAGAGCTTGCGTGAGGAAAAGCTGTGACCCTTTGCTGAAAGACAAAAAAGTGTCTTTGCCCAAATGGAGAAACTTGAAGTGACAGGGTCCCCCAGACCCCCTGGGGTTTCGAATTTGCTCAAAGGACTTACGCAAGGCGTGTCTGGTCACCATCACATCTGTGACTTATGGCCACAAAAGGGTGGGGGCAAAGCAGCGTGAGCCAAGGTGGCAGCAGCGGAGGCTGGAGGCTGTGGCGTCGCAGAAAGGGGAGCAAGCGAGTGAGGATCATCATCAAGGCAGCATCACGCCGAGAGTCGCAGACTGCCGCTGTGCTGAGATGCGCCTCTCCTGTTTAGGCTGGCAGAGATCCAACAGTTTGACAGCAGCCCTGTTGACAGGTCGGGAAATGAACAAGTGTTGCTCTGTGCACTGCTGGGGGCAGAATGTTACAGCTCCGGGAGGGAGGGCAGCCCGGCAAAGCCAGAAGATTGAAGGACCCATCCATGCACCTGGGACCCAGAAACCCCACATCTAGGGCTCTGGCCCCAACGTGTCTGACCCAGGCACAGAACGATTGAGCCGTTCAGAGCAGCATTGTTTTACTAGGAAGAGATTGGAAGCCAGAGAAGACGCAGGGGGTAACATGGGGTACAGCGTGGCACTAGACCATCTAATTAAGGAGAGGAAGGGCTCTAGGGTGGTTTTACAGGTGTATTGTTAAGGGGAAAGAAAACAAGAATTGTGCCTATAATTTGTACCCATGTGAAAAAAGAGTTCTGTGGGCGGTTGAAACATGTGAAATACATACGTGTCTCCATCATATGCATCTTATAAGTATACTCTTATGGCCATGTATATGCAAATATATTTAATGTAAGAACACAAAAGATAAATTAGAAACTTAGAAATATTGTTACTTGTCAAGGACAAAGCAGAACAGGAGGACTGAGTAATTCTTTTAAATACAATTTTGGCTTTTTAAAACTGAAAATATTGTATGAATTTAAAAAATAAATAAAAACTAAAATTGAAAACAAACTAAAACAAGTGAATCTAAACATCAAATTGTAATCACAGGGAGAAATGATTTCATGACTTTCAAACATAGTAATCGTTCTGTGTATGTTCAGGGTCATGTATTGTGAGGACAGCAGCTTTGCACGACAATCTTAAAACATCATATTCTAAATTTTTTAAAGATTGATTTACTCAAGAGGCAGAGTGATGGAGAGGGAGAGGGAGAGGGAGAGGGAAGGAGAGAGGAAGAGAGAGAGACCGAGACAGAGATCTTCCCTCTGTTAGTTCTCTCCCAAGATGCCCACAGTAGCCATGGCTCGGCCACGCAGAATGCAGGAGCCAGGAACGCCATCTGGGTCTCCCGTGGAGGTGGCAGGCAACCACGTACTTGGGCCACGGTCTGCTGCTTCCCAGTGCTTTTTCAGGGAGCTGGATCAGAAGAGAGGCGGGGCTCAGTCCCGGAGGCTTTGAGAGGGGCTGTGGCTGTCCAAGCAGCAGCTTAGCCCATGCACCACAGCGTCCGCCCCGCACTCACTCATTTTATTCTCAGGGTTGTAGCCTCCGTGTTCCTGCCTTGCACTGACTCTTACAGATTCTAGGAGGAAGTGCCTCATAATACCAATGTGATTAGAATCCACAATTTCAAATATCAACGTGGCATAAAAATTAAATAAGCAAACCCCTGATGTTCGATCTGTGCTGGAAATATGTTAATTCATTATATATATTTATAATATAGAAATACATCACACACACACACACAGTATCTGTATTTTAGCTCTGACTGCTGAAGTGGCCTGAGAGCAATGGCACCGGTGAGCACCCATCACCTGGTTTGGGCTCCTCAGTGCCTGTGTTCGCTGTGGTTCGGGGCAGCAGTGGGTGGTGGCTTCTTCCAGGTCTGGGCAGGGGAAGGAGGAGCCGAGCTCAGGACTTGCTGAGCCTGGAGGTGAGCAGCAGTGACTGAGGCTGCTCCACCAAAGAACAGGGCTGCCACACTGAAGGAGCTCCATCGCCACATCCGGGGAATTTGACCACCAAAAATGTTGGGAAACAAACACATGGCAAGTATGAAAATACATGTGTTGGGAGACCAGGAGAAGCACCTGGCTCCTGGCTTCGGATCAGCGCGGTGCGCCGGCCGCAGCGCGCCGGTCGCAGCGGCCATTGGAGGGTGAACCGACGGCAAAGGAAGACCTTTCTCTCTGTCTCTCTCTCTCTCTCACTGTCCACTCAGCCTGTCAAAAAAAAAAAAAAAAAAAAAAAAAAAAAAAAAAAAAACATGTCCCCAAGGACAGTTAACAAAGAGGCACACAACAGCAGCCACTCCCTTGATAACGTTCAAGCTGCTATGATGATTTCTCATTCTAAAAATGGGTAATTAAAGGTAAAAACTAAATAATTTTCTAACATTTTGTTAGAAGTGATGGATCAAGATAGGCTTAAGTTCTCTCAACTAAATTTCTACTAATAATTGTAGAAAGAAAGATGCAATTAAAAAAAATCTCTGTTTTTGCAACCCTGGGTAAAATAGGCAAGGGGCATAAATACATCCCGAAGACATTAGATGACAGGTTGACAGAGACTTGGCTGTCTGTCCCCAGCAGATGGCTTGCTACTTGCAGAGGGGAAGCGCGCTTCATGCCGGAGTTACCTGAACGCCATCAGCTATCACTAGTGCTCAAAACGGCATTGCTGGTGGTGGAAGCTGATGTGTTTGGATAGCGATTCATCACCTAGAAAGTGCTCCTGCCCAAAGTGGTGCGCTTCAGTCTAATCAAGCACTCGCATCCCCGTCTAGATTGTTATAAACCTGGCTAATTGTCTTCCCATGGTGTCAGTTAACGTTTTGGTTATTCCTTGGGCGTACCACAAATTGGAAATGCTTTTAAGAGCTTTACAGCAGTGCCACAGGCCCTGTCTCTTTGATGCTATAAAATAGGCTGTTTACTGGGGAGCCAGGAATACGCGTCTCAGTGGGCTCGGCAGGCTGCTGAAGCTAAGTGGAGGTTGAGGATGACTCTCAGACAGCACCCCTCAGCACAGGGCGGAGTCACAGCCTGGATGAGGAACGTTGACCTGGTGCTTCAGGCAAGTCGGGTAAGAGGGAAGAAGATTCGTAAGGTGACTTAGGATGGTAAAAATCGTCATGGAGACCTTACCTGCCACCAGGTGTAGCTTGATTAAGCTTATCATATTCCTTTGTTAAAACAGGGACAGCTAGAATACCAGGCGAATCAGCTACACTGGCAGGGAAACCCACTGGTGAGCCAGGCAGTGAGTGCGGGTGGGGTTCAATTCCCAGTCAATGGCTACATAGTTGTACAGGCCTGTTCATTCCAGTCTCTTGTATTGATCAAAATGAAAGCTACTGGAATACTTGGACAAAAGCATGGATAATACGGATTCTCAAGAATGTAAATAATTGCCTTGATTCCCCTACCTTGTAGAAGCTGGTGTGATCCCAGCTGTTTTTGTACGTTGACCAGGTTCAACGGGAGGATCTACAGGAGCCAGCACGGGAGCAGGCAGCAGGAGCACAGCTGGAATCCCAGTTACTGGGGCCGCCAGCCCTGAAAACCCCGCAGGTAAGACCAAGACTGGCATCAGAGCAGGGGTCCAGTGTGAAGGCCCCAGATGGTTTTACAAAGCCAAAGTGAGTCATAAAATGGACCTTACTACAACACAAAGGATTGAGAGGAAACCAGCAGTAAGAAAATGAGTGTCGTTGTGACCCGTAGCGGGAGAGCACTGGCAACGAGGCACGGAGCCACAGGCAGAGCCTCACTGCTTGTGGGGCAGGGTGCAGCTGCAAGATGAGCTCCGGGCCGGCGCCGCGGCTCACTAGGCTAATCCTCCGCCTTGCGGTGCTGGCACACCGGGTTCTAGTCCCGGTCGGGGCGCCGGATTCTGTCCCTGTTGCCCCTCTTCCAGGCCAGCTCTCTGCTGTGGCCAGGGAGTGCAGTGGAGGATGGCCCAAGTACTTGGACCCTGCACCCCATGGGAGACCAGGATAAGTACCCGGCTCCTGCCTTCGCATCAGCGTGGTGCGCCGGCCACAGCGCGCCAGTTGCAGCGGCCATTGGAGGGTGAACCAACGGCAAAGGAAGACCTTTCTCTCTGTCTCTCTCTTTCACTGTCCACTCTGCCTGTCGGAAAAGAAAAAAAAAAAAAAAAGATGAGCTCCGGCTTGCACCCGAGCTTCGGGGGAAGCGTGGGCAGGGTGTTTGCGGTCGTGCCTCGGTAGCCGAAACGGGTGCTCCTGCATTGAAGTCCTGTTACACAGTACGTGGTGAATTCAGCTGTTGTCAGTTCATTAATGCAAATCATTCTATTCTGGTAAAATTTTATTTATTCAGTTGGGGTAGCTATCAGGGATAAACGCGGTGCTCTGCATTTAAGGTTTAGATGTTTTAGGGAGAAGTGGTATTTAAACACACGGAAGAGTAAAATATGTAAGCAGGGTACTAAAAAAAAAAACGATGGAGAAATGATGCAGATTGGAGATTTTCACAGAGAAGACCACTTCTAGGTAATTCTAGGGAGAGGCGTGTTCGGTGTTAAAGGAATGTGTGAATTTCATGTTTAGAATAAAGATCAGAACGTTGAGATCTGTGCATTACCAGACAAATCTGTGCACATTCCCTGAGCTGAGTAAACACTTGGGAAGTACCGAGTTTCTTTCAGGACACGATGTTCTAATAAAAGCCGGTTCCTTAGACTGCTTTGTCTTTGCTCTCTGAAAATCTCAGGCGCATCTGTGACCTCACTAGGAACAACCGCTGGAGCTGGAGCGGAAAGCCCCTCGGGGGAAGCCGGACCGGGAACAAGCCCTGGGACGTCAGGTAGGTCTGGGGAGGATATGGCTGCACAGCTCCCAGCACGCCTTCCAGAGCAGGCTGTGATGGGGGCTACAGCGAGCCACGGCTGAGGCCGGAGCCAGAGCAAGGGCAGACTCGGGGAATGCGTGCAGCAGACCCTGCGTCTGCGGAATGTCAGTGCTGCGTGCCACAGCAGAGAAGTGCCCAGGATGTTTGCCGTGAGACTGAGCGCTGTGTCCAGCACCACGAGCTCTGTGAGTCGACACAACCGCACAGCCCCAGTCACGCCAGGGCAACCTGGAGCAGATCAGCGAAGTCGGGCCTCAGGGCTTCCCAGGGGCAGTGTGGGGTGTTAGTGTGGCACTGCTGCTTAGAATCCACATCACGGATTAAGCTGTGAAATGCTGACAATCTTAGTGGGGTTTGTGATGGAGACACAGTGAAATAGGTAATGATGTGTGTCAAAGCATGTGTGTAACGCACAGATGTGAATGAGTATTGGTAAATTGGACGTGTCCGTAATTTTCAGTTGAAAGTGCATGTAAGTCAGAACCCGTTATCTCACGGCTTAGGAAGTTCCGTGAGTGAGTTCTGGCTGTTTATGCTTTGTAACGGGCACACGCAGGACGTCAGGCGGTACAACAGGTTAGGGGTAGAAGTACACCTGGTGACCCTGCGCTGGAAGCACAAGGTCTATAAATAAGCCAGCTGAGGTTGGCACAACAAAACAAAAGTTACAACAATCTAGAGTAAAACTAGATGGGCAAACTTCCTTATAAAATATCATTCAGTAGCACACATATTTTCAGTTAAAAATCTTGCCTGCTAGAAAATGAAAGCACCGTTACTCAGATAGTATGTGAATGAATTAGGAAGATTGTCTTTGTGTTCTTTGTTATTGAGTGCTTATGCACTATTAGGCCAATAATTCGTGCAACATCTAATGTCACAGATAATGGCCATGAACTGGTGACTCAGGTATTCTGCATTACTTGAAAAAGACTAATGTAGCATTCAGAATCTGATACCGTGTATGGACAATTTAAAGATGACTGGAATATTACTTGATATAACTATAATGGAGTTAAGTACAAAACAGTGATGTGGCAATCTAATATTTCCCCTATGATTGACCCTTAAAGGTTGTGTGAGCTGAAAACTTCTTGGGCTGGTTGCTATTTCTCTAAGTTCTGTAGTTTTCCACCTAAAATCAGAGACAACATGCTAAGGCAATTAAATATAAGTTGAAAATACTAAATAACTAAAAATTATGTTCATTTCTTTTGCACTTCATTCAGTATGATTTTTTCCTGTAATATAAGTAGTTGAGTTTGACACATTTCTTTTCTGAATAATAGACATGAGAAGGTTCTCAGACATCCACAAGGACATCAAATCAGAATGTTCCTCTTGGAACTGTGTGCAGAACAACCCTCACTATCTTTTATCTTACAGCATTTTTGTGGTTGAAAAAATTACTTTGATTTTCAAGCTTTCTTTATTGAACAGAGGTCTAGATCTTGAAGCTTGGAGCCATTCCATGCCTACTGTGATGCAGATCCATGTCTACAAAGCCGGGGTTTCCATCCACATCTGCTTCCTTATTGGAATTTGTGATGTCAGGATCTCAGAACCAGAGCATTCTGGTAGGGTTCAGGAGGGTTAGTGCTAAGACGTGAAGTCCAGGAGGAGGTGGAAGCACTTTGTGAAGTAGTTACGCATGTAGAAGATTTTTTTTTTAATTGTATTTATTTGAAAGGCAGAGTTAGGAGAAAGAGATGTCTGTCCTCTGCTGGTTCACTTCCCAGTGTGGCCACAACAGCCAGCGCTGGGCCAGGTGGAAGCCAGGAGCTTCTTCTGGGTCTCCAGTGTGGGTGGCAGGAGCCCAAGCACTTGGGCCGGTTCCCCTGCTTTCCCAGGTACATTCGCAGGGAGCTGGATTGAAAATGGAGCAGCCAGGAATGGAACCTGTGCCCGTATGGTTTGCTGGCATCACAGGTGGTGGCTTAACCTGCTATGCCACAGTGCCAACACTTAAGATATTTTTTAAAAAACTAGCCAATACGGGCTCCAGATTGTGATTGACGTGCCAGTGTGGAAGACGTCAGAGCTTAGGATGAAAGCCACAGGGCTCTTTCAGCAAGGGGTATTGTGCATAGGTGACAGAGGAAACCAAAACCTTGCTTAGTTCATGTCAGAGGATGGCCTCCGTGGTGGGGCTTCAGCTGAAATTGAATTCATGGTTACTTCCGTGCAGGTCGAGAAGCAGAGAATCAGCAGCTAGGCAGCAAGCTGGTCTGTAGACAAATGCAAGTCAGCTTGGCTCAGTTTCTTAAGAAGCACACAGGGGAGAGTTAGACACAGGATCGGCCTGCTGAAGGTACTTGTGTCATCTGGAGGAAGTGTCACCAGAGAGAAGTTGTTGGGTTCTTGTCTCAGCACAAGAAAGAATTCAGGCGTGAGACAGACAGCAGAGTAGCAAGGCTTCATTGGGGACAGGGCATCCATCAGAACGGAAGGGACAGAGAATGCCCAGTCACTCAGACTGGGGGAGAGCAATGTTATGTGGTTGAGTGGAGAGCATACACCTGCCATGCCCAGCGGGTGGCTCAGCAGAGAGCAGAGAGCTGAGCTCCCCGTCTCTGTTTAGGCTCCAGTCTTTAAGGCAGTCTCTCTCTCTCTCTCTCTCTCTTTTTTTTTTTTTTTTTTGTATTTTTTTTTTTTTTTTTGACAGGCAGAGTGGACAGTGAGAGAGAGAGACAGAGAGAAAGGTCTTCCTTTTGCCGTTGGTTCACCCTCCAATGGCCGCTGCAGCCGGCGCACGGTGGCCGGCGCACGGCGGCCGGCACACCGTGCTGATCCGAAGGCAGGAGCCAGGTACTTATCCTGGTCTCCCATGGGGTGCAGGGCCCAAGCACTTGGGCCATCCTCCACTGCACACCCGGGCCACAGCAGAGAGCTGGCCCGGAAGAGGGGCAACCGGGACAGAATCCAGAGCCCCGACTGGGACTAGAACCCGGTGTGCCGGTGATGCAAGGCGGAGGATTAGCCTAGTGAGCCATGGTGCTGGCCAAGGCAGTCTCTCTTTACCTTCTCCCCTCCTCCTCCAGGACAAAGGGTTTGCTGAGTGTTGTTACAGACAGAGGGAGTCTTGCAGGTGCTGGGCCAAAGGGCTTCTCTAGGGTGCCTGCCTTAGAGGAAAGATGTAATAATTTTATTGCTGAGTGTTATCCCGTCAGGTAACCCATTTGGCCCTGAGGAAAGAGAGTTCTCCTGGGAGCTTCCCTTGAGGGAAGGGCTGGGACACCTCGGAGGTTGTCGGGTCTGGGCAGGACTCAGGTGTGGGTGCTGGGCTGCTTCCAGAGTGAGCTTCTGCAGGTGCTGCTCCTTCAGGCCCCCTCACACACACAGGCTCATTCCAACTTCCTGTCTAACAGAAGGAAGTCAGGTAGGACAAGGTGAAGGTGTTTCAGATGTAAAGTTGGTAATATACATCTCCATCCTTGACTTACAGAACTCTAGACTGACTCCCACTTGGTGCTGCTCATTGCCACTAGAATGCCTAGTGAGGTCCCATATCTGACATGATCTGAATGAAATTCTTAATTTTCCTCCATGCCCACCCTCTTCTCCCAGGCTTCCCCAAATCAGTAAATGGAACCATGCCTGACTCAGCTTACTTGTGTTTATCCTTGTGCCCTTCTGTTCCTCTGAACTTCCTCCTACTGCTACTTGCATGCCAGATCCTGAACCCATTCCACCATCCTTGGTCTTCTTCAATGTTCAAGCCCAAGCCATTTTTGAATTCCTTAGGCTCCTGAGATCCACCTCATAATTTATTTGCCACATTTGTCACGCATGCCTGTTTACATGGAGAATTAAATATATTTGAATCTGATGTGATCATTCCCCTGTTTAAATTTTTTTAAAGATTTATTTATTTATTTGAAAGTTAGAGTTACACAGAGAGAGAAGGAGATGCAGAGAGAGAGGGAGGGAGGGAGGGAGGGAGAGAGGGAGGTCTTCCATCTGCTGGTTCACTCCCCAGTTGGCCTCAATGGCTGGAGCTTGCTGATCCAAAGCCAGGATCCAGCAGCTTCTTCTGGGCCTCTCACATGGGTGCAGGGGCCCAAGCACTTGGGCCATCTTCTACTGCTTTCCCAGGCCACAGCAGAGAGCTGGATTGGAACTGGAGCAGCCGGGACTTGAACTGGTGCCCATATGGGATGCTGGCACTGCAAGTTGTAGCTTTACCTGCTACACCACAGTGCTGGCTCTGCCTGCTACACCACAGCACTGGCCCCTTACCTGCTTAGAATTATGTCCCATTGCATGTAGAAAAATAGTTAATCTCCATCTTCTAATTCACAATACTGCATATCTAATCTCAGCTTTTAGTATTTCCTAACCACCTCCTTTGATTCAGCTACCCTCAGCTGTGTTTCTGTTTTCCCAGCAAGTTTGGCTCAGTCAGCCTGTGGACTGGATGTTTCGTCCTCCTAAATGTCATCTCCCTCAGGTTCACATCTTCCTCATTCTTGTTGTCAGATCTCATACAAAACGGCATCTTATCAGAAAAACCTTTGCAGAACAGGCAATCTGAAGTAGATTTTTCCAGTTGACAATGTCATTTCACTTTATGGCTTCCCAGTTAGGACTCTGAGGCGTTCCTTGTTTCGTTGTATCAGTTAGTGGGTGACTAGTTATTTCATTCACGCCCTCCCCATCCCCTCCAATTCCAGTGCTGTTTGAGAGCAGAGAACTCTCTAGGTGTATCAGCTTGTAAGGTTATGCTCTTTTTCTGTGTTTTGGCTTCTACTCTACAAATAGAAAGTAGTATGACAGACTCATAAGATTGTTGTGATAGTAAAAGAAGGTAATCATCAGGAGTTCCTGAGAACTTCTTCCACATATCACGATATTGATGTAATTGATATTAAATGACTAAACTTAAATACTCAACTACGTTACAGACTCTTCTGCATCGTCACCTGAAGGGCCAGGAGTAACTGAAACACCTTCTGTCGGATCAGTAGCAAGTGGAACAGTAGCTGGAGTGTCAGGGACTGCCACAACACCATCCAGAGCAAGGACAACTTCATCATCAGCTGAAGAATGGGGAACAACTGAAACATCTTCTGTAGGACCAGTAACAAGCAGACCAACTACTGAAATGATTGTGACTTCCAGAAAGTTGTCTGGAGTAACAGCCACAGCTACTTCATCAACTAGAGAAACACAAAGAACTGGAGCAATTTCTGTAGGATCAGGGACAACTGGCCAGTCAGCTAGAGTGACAGCAACTTCTCCAAAATTATCTACAGTACAAGCAACACCTGAATCTGCTAAAGAAACAGGAAGAACTGAACCACTCTCTGTAGAATCAGGAACAACTGTGCAGTCACCTAGAGTGACAGCCACTTCTGCAGAAGAGTCAACTGCATCATCAGCAGGGCCAGGAACAACTGAAACATACAGCGTAGGATCAGGAACAACTGACCAAACAGGTAGAGTAACTGGGACTACCACAGAATCATCTACTGTAATAGCAACAACAGAATCAACAGCTGAAGAGACAAGAACAGAACCACCACTCTCTGCAGAAACAACCACACAATCTTCTATAGTTACAGCCTCTCTGTCATCAGCAGAAGGACCAGGAACAACTGAAACATCTTCTGTAGGATCAGGAACAAGTGGACAAACAGCTTCAGTGACAGGAACTTCCATAAAATCATCTGCAGTTACAGCTACAGCTGCATCATCAGCTAGAGAACCAGAAAGAACTGAAGTAACGTCTGTAGGATCAGTGACAACTGCACAGTCAGCTAGAATGACAGCAACTGCATCATCACATGCGGAACCAACAACAACTGAAACATACACTGTAGGATCAGGGACAAGTGGGCAAACAGCGAGAATGACAGCAACCTCTACAAAATCATCTACATTAACAGACACAACTCAGTCATCTGCTGAAGAAAGTGGAAGAACTGAACCATTTTCTGCAGAATCAGGAACAACTGTGCAATCAGCTACCGGGACAGCAACTTTGACAAAAGGGTCACCTGCGTCATCAGGTAAAGAACCAGGAACAACTGAAACATCTTCAGTAGGCTCAGAAACAAGTGGACAAACAGCTACAGTGACAGGAACTTCCATAAAATCATCTGGAATAACAGATACAACTATGTCATCAGCTAGAGTACCAGGAACAACTGTGACAACTTCCATCATAGCAGAAACAACTGGCCAATCAGCTAGAGTGACAGCTACTTCCACAGAAGCACCTGTAGTGACAGTGACAACTGACTCTGCTGCTGAAGAGACAGGAAGAACTGATCCACTTTCTGCAGAATCAGCAACAACTAAGCAGTCATCTACTGTGAGAGCAATGTCCACAAAAGGGTCTGCTGCATCATCCAGTGAAAAGCCAGGAACACCTGACTCTTCAGGAGAATCAGAAACAACTGGCATTTCAGCAGGAGTGACAGCAACTTTCACAAAAGTATCTGAAGTATCAGGGACAAGTGCCACATCGGCTGAAGCACCAGGAACAACTGAAGCATCTTCCATAGGATCAGTAACAAGTGGACAATCTATTAGAGTGACTAGCACTTCTGGAAAATCATCTAAAGTGACAGCTACAACTACATCATCAACTAGAGAACCAGGAACAATGGGAGCAGTTTCTGTGGGATCAGTGACAACTGGACAGTCAGCTAGAGTGACAGCAACCTCTACAAAGTCATCTGCAGTAACCTGGACAACTGAATCATCAGCTGAAGATACAGGAAGAACTGAACCTCTTTCTGTAGGATCAGTGACAATGGGCCAGTCAGCTAGAGTGACAGCAACTTCTACAAAGTCACCTACAGCTAGAGTGACAGCTACTTCTATAGAATCATCTACAGTAAGAGTGACGACTGAAACATCAGCTAAAGAAACAGGAAGAACTGAACCTCTTTCTGTTGGATCAGGCACAAGTGCCCAGTCAGCTAGAGTGACAGCAACATCCAATAAAGGGCCTACTAGCTCATCAGGTGAAGAACCAGCAACAATGGAAACATCTTCAGTAGAATCAGGGACAAGTGGACAGACAGCTAGAGTGACAGAGACTTCCACAGAATCACCTGGAGTATCAACAACAACCATGTCATCAACTGAAGAAACAGGAACAAGCAGAACATCTTCAGGAGGATCAAGAACAACTGGCCAATCAGCTAGATTGACAGAGACTTCCAGAGAATCTTCTACCATAATAGCTACAACCAAATCAACAGTTGAAGAGACAAGAAGAACTGAAGCACCCCCTACAGAAAGAACTGAACAATCTCCTGTAGTCACAGCCTCCTCTTCATCATCAACAGAAGGATCATCTTCTGTAGGATCAGTAACAAGTGAACAAACAGCTAAAGTGACAGGGACTTCTACAAAATTATCTGGAGTAGCAGATACAACTTCACCATCAGCTGAAGAACCAGAAACAACTGAAGCATCTTCAGGAGGATCAGTAACGAGTGGACCAACAGCTAGAGTGACAGCAGCCTCTACAAAATCAGCTACAGTAACCCTGACAACGGCATCAACAGCGGAAGAGACAGGAAGAACTGAACCAACCCCTGCAGGATCAGGAACTACTGTGCCGTCTAGAGTGACAGCTACTTCCATAAAACCATCTACAGCTAGAGTGACAACGGCATCATCAGCTGAAGAAACAGGAAGAACAGGTTCACCACACTCTGCTGGATCAGGAACAACTGTGCAATCACCTAGAGTGACAGCGACTTCCACAGAAGGGTCAACTGCATCATCAGTAGTTTCAGGAACAGCTGAGCCATACACTGTAGGATCAGGAACAAGTGGAACAACAGCTAGAGTGACAGCAACCTCCACAGAATCATCTACAGTAACCCAGACTACAGCATCATCGGCTGAAGTATCGGGCACAACTGCAATATATACTGTAGGACCAGGGACAACTGAAGCACACACTGTAGCATCAGGAACAAGTAGACCAACAGCTGAAGGGACAGCAATAACTGCATCATCAGCTGAAAAACCAATAACAAGCAGAACAACTTCTGTAGGAGCAATAGAAACTGACCGAACAGCTAGCGTGCCAGGGGTTACAACAAAATCACATGGCATTTCAACGTCAAGTGCTTCATCTGCTGAACAAACAGGAACAGAGGAAACATCTTCTCTCAGTGCAGTTACGAGTACACAAACAGCTAGGGTGACAGGGACTTCCACACAGTCATCTACAGTAACGGCAACAACTGCATCATCAGCTGAAGAACCAGGAACAACTGCAATATATACTGTAGGATCAGAGACAACCACAGCCTCAGCTGGAGTGACAGCAACCTCTGCAAGATCATCTACAGTAACCCGGACTACAGCATCATCAGGTGACGAACCAGGAACAACGGCAATATATACTGTAGGATCAGAGACAACCACAGCCTCAGCTAGAGTGACAGCAACCTCTGCAAGATCATCTACAGTAACCCGGACTACAGCATCATCAGGTGACGAACCAGGAACAACGGCAATATATACTGTAGGATCAGAGACAACCACAGCCTCAGCTAGAGTGACAGCAACCTCTGCAAGATCATCTACAGTCACCCGGACTACAGCATCATCAGGTGACGAACCAGGAACAACTTCAATACATACTGTAGGACCAGGAACAACCACAGCCTCAGCTGGAGGGACAGCAACACCCACAAAGGGCTCTACTGCATCTTTGTCAGAAGATCCCAGAACAACTGAAACCTCTTCAGTAGGATTAAGAACCACTCGCCCACCAGCTGGAGTGACAGGAACTTCCACAGAACTATCTGGAATAACAGACACAACTTCATCATCAGCTGAAGAACCAGGAACAACTGCAGCTTCTTCAGCAGGATCAGTAACGAGTGGACCAACAGCTAGAGTGACAGTAACCTCCACAGAATCATCTACAGTAACCCGGACTACAGCGTCATCGGCTGAAGAACTGGGAACAACTACAGTATATACTGTGGGACCAGGAATAACTGAAGCATACACTGTAGAATCAGGAACAAGTGGGTCAACAGCTAGAGTGACCGCAACCACCACAAAATCATCTACAGTAACCCAGACTACAGCATCATCGGCTGAAGAACTGGGCACAACTGCTGTATATACTGTAGGGCCAAAAACAACTGCAGCCTCAGCTAGAGTGACAGCAACCTCTGGAAAACCATCTACAGTCAGAGTGACAACAGCAGCATCAGCTCAAGAAACAGGAAGAACTGAATCACACTCTACTGGACCAGGAACAACTGTGCAATCACCTAGAGTGACAGCAACTTCCACAGAAGGGTCACCTACATCATCAGTAGTTCCAGGAACAGCTGCACCATACACTGTAGGATCAGGAACAAGTGGAACAACAGCTAGAGTGACAGCAACCTCCAGAGAATCATCTACAGTAACCCTGACAACGGCATCAACAGCGGAAGAGACAGGAAGAACTGAACCACTCCCTGCAGGATCAGGAACTACTGTGCAGTCTAGAGTGACAGCTACTTCCATAAAACCATCTACAGCTAGAGTGACAACGGCATCATCAGCTGAAGAAACAGGAAGAACTGAACCACACTCTGCTGGATCAGGAACAACTGTGCAGTCACCTAGAGGGACAGCCACTTCCACAGAGGGGTCAACTGCATCATCAGTAGTTTCAGGAACAGCTGAGCCGTACACTGTAGGATCAGGAACAAGTGGAACAACAGCTAGAGTGACAGCAACCTCCACAGAATCATCTACAGTAACCCAGACTACAGCATCATCGGCTGAAGTATCGGGCACAACTGCAATATATACTGTAGGACCAGGAACAACTGAAGCACACACTGTAGCATCAGGAACAAGTAGACCAACAGCTGAAGGGACAGCAATAACTGCATCATCAGCTGAAAAACCAGTAACAAGCAGAACAACTTCTGTAGGAGCAATAGAAACTGACCGAACAGCTAGCGTGCCAGGGGCTACAACAAAATCATATGGCATTTCAAGGTCAAGTGCTTCATCTGCTGAACAAACAGGAACAGAGGAAACATCTTCTCTCAGTGCAGTTACGAGTATACAAACAGCTAGGGAGACAGGGACTTCCACACAGTCATCTACAGTAACGGCAACAACTGCATCATCGGCTGAAGAACCAGGAACAACTGCAATATATACTGTAGGATCAGAGACAACCACAGCCTCAGCTGGAGTGACAGCAACCTCTGCAAGATCATCTACAGTAACCCGGACTACAGCATCATCGGGTGACGAACCAGGAACAACTTCAATATATACTGTAGGATCAGAGACAACCACAGCCTCAGCTAGAGTGACAGCAACCTCTGCAAGATCATCTACAGTAACCCGGACTACAGCATCATCGGGTGACGAACCAGGAACAACTTCAATACATACTGTAGGACCAGGAACAACCACAGCCTCAGCTGGAGGGACAGCAACACCCACAAAGGGCTCTACTGCATCTTCGTCAGAAGATCCCAGAACAACTGAAACCTCTTCAGTAGGATTAAGAACCACTCGCCCACCAGCTGGAGTGACAGGAACTTCCACAGAACTATCTGGAATAACAGACACAACTTCATCATCAGCTGAAGAACCAGGAACAACTGCAGCTTCTTCAGCAGGATCAGTAACGAGTGGACCAACAGCTAGAGTGACAGTAACCTCCACAGAATCATCTACAGTAACCCGGACTACAGCGTCATCGGCTGAAGAACTGGGAACAACTACAGTATATACTGTGGGACCAGGAATAACTGAAGCATACACTGTAGAATCAGGAACAAGTGGGTCAACAGCTAGAGTGACTGCAACCACCACAAAATCATCTACAGTAACCCAGACTACAGCATCATCGGCTGAAGAACTGGGCACAACTGCTGTATATACTGTAGGGCCAAAAACAACTGCAGCCTCAGCTAGAGTGACAGCAACCTCTGGAAAACCATCTACAGTCAGAGTGACAACAGCAGCATCAGCTCAAGAAACAGGAAGAACTGAATCACACTCTACTGGACCAGGAACAACTGTGCAATCACCTAGAGTGACAGCAACTTCCACAGAAGGGTCACCTACATCATCAGTAGTTCCAGGAACAGCTGCACCATACACTGTAGGATCAGGAACAAGTGGAACAACAGCTAGAGTGACAGCAGCCTCTACAAAATCAGCTACAGTAACCCTGACAACGGCATCAACAGCGGAAGAGACAGGAAGAACTGAACCACCCCCTGCAGGATCAGGAACTACTGTGCCGTCTAGAGTGACAGCTACTTCCATAAAACCATCTACAGCTAGAGTGACAACGGCATCATCAGCTGAAGAAACAGGAAGAACTTCACCACACTCTGCTGGATCAGGAACAACTGTGCAATCACCTAGAGTGACAGCGACTTCCACAGAAGGGTCAACTGCATCATCAGTAGTTTCAGGAACAGCTGAGCCATACACTGTAGGATCAGGAACAAGTGGAACAACAGCTAGAGTGACAGCAACCTCCACAGAATCATCTACAGTAACCCAGACTACAGCATCATCGGCTGAAGTATCAGGCACAACTGCAATATATACTGTAGGACCAGGGACAACTGAAGCACACACTGTAGCATCAGGAACAAGTAGACCAACAGCTGAAGGGACAGCAATAACTGCATCATCAGCTGAAAAACCAATAACAAGCAGAACAACTTCTGTCGGAGCAATAGAAACTGACCGAACAGCTAGCGTGCCAGGGGCTACAACAAAATCACATGGCATTTCAAGGTCCAGTGCTTCATCTGCTGAACAAACAGGAACAGAGGAAACATCTTCTCTCAGTGCAGTTACGAGTACACAAACAGCTAGGGTGACAGGGACTTCCACACAGTCATCTACAGTAATGGTAACAACTGCATCATCAGCTGAAGAACCAGGAACAACTGCAATATATACTGTAGGATCAGAGACAACCACAGCCTCAGCTGGAGTGACAGCAACCTCTGCAAGATCATCTACAGTAACCCGGACTACAGCATCATCGGGTGACGAACCAGGAACAACTGCAATATATACTGTAGGATCAGAGACAACCACAGCCTCAGCTGGAGTGACAGCAACCTCTGCAAGATCATCTACAGTAACCCGGACTACAGCATCATCAGGTGACGAACCAAGAACAACTTCCATACATACTGTAGGACCAGTAACAACTACAGCCTCAGCTGGAGGGACAACAACCTCTGTGAAACCATCTACAGTTAGAGTGACAACTGAACCACCATCTGAGAGTCAAGGAACTACTGAAATGTCTTCTTTAGGGTCAGTAATGAGTGGACAAACAGCTAGAGTGACAGAGATTCCCATGAAGCCATCTACAGTGGTAGGGACAACTGAATCTTTAGCCACAGAAGCCGGAAGAACTGAAGCACTTTCTGTAGCATCAGAAACAACTGTTCGATCAGCTTCTGTGACAGCAGTGTCCACCAAATCTTCTGGAGTGACTGTAATAACTGCATCTTCAGCTGCAGAACCAGCAACCACTGAACCATCTTCTGTAGCATCAGGAACAAGTGAACAACCTCCTACAGTGACAGGAACCTCCACAGTATCATCTGGAGTAACAGCAACCACTCGCTCTTCAGCTGAGGAACCAGCTACAGCTGAACCAAGTTCTGTAGGAGTGGGAACAAGTGGTCAGTCAGCCAGAGTGACAGGGAATTCAGGACAGTCATCTGTAGTAACAGTGACTAGGACACCATTGGCTGAACAACCCACAACAACTGTTCCATCTTCTGTAGGAGCAGGAACAAGTAGCCCATCAGCTTTTGTGACAGCAACTTGGAGACAGTCGTCTGGAGTAACAGCAACAACCACATCATCACCTGAAGAACGAGGATCGACTCAATCAAGAAGGAGTGAACAGTCCACTACCGTGATGAGGACAAGCAGATCGTCAGTTTCATTGTCGGGGACCAGTGGGCCATCAACTGTCAGAGCAGAGACAGTCGGACCATTTCCTGGTGCAACCACTCAGGCAGGAAGTACTGCTGGAACAGCAGGTGAGGTTCCTGCACCCGAATGGGTGTCTATTTAGGAATATGACAGCGTGTAATGTGGACAGTGTAATGTCCCATCAGATTCCTAGTCCTTGAATTGGTATAAAAATCTCATTGTTGGGTATTAACAAATCAAATTGGCTAGTAATGATGGGAGCCTTATCATTATTGTACACACAATATTCAGACTTCCCATGATGCTTTTCTCTTCATCATGCTTCCTTTTAAACGTGTGATACAACAGGATGCTGATGGGCACCACTGCGAGTACAGGCGAAGGAAGCATGGCTTGTGTGCTGGGAGCTGTGCAGCCACGCCTTACCTGGTGCTCTGCTGTGCTCCGCCTTGAGCATGGCTCGGACCCAGGCCATAAAAAGGCTGGGTGATTTCACCAGGAACCTCAGTTTTAGGTCTTTGCCATCATCTAAATTAAAAGTTTATTTAAAGGGCAGTGTTGCTATGTTTACTAAAAGGAACCTTGTGCAAGACAATAATTGTTCACCTGTGCACACCAGAAGAATGACATAGAACCACCATGGGAGTGGGTACAAGCACCCGGACAGTCAGGCCAGTGGGCAGGAGAGCCATTAGCCCTGGAAGTCATTCCACGTGGTTCTCTGCTCGGGCCAGGAACACCAGTGTGTACACTGTAATTCAGGAAACCGGAAAATCAGATCCCCACCATCTGGAATGCGGGGATTTTTGTGAGGTGGTTTAGGACTCCAGTGGAAGAACAGGAAGTTGTCTTCACAGTGCTGATTGTGTTGGAAGATGAATCTTAAAGGAAAAAGTTTAAAACAAAGCAAGAAAGAAAAGGAGTTACTGAACAGCCAGGCCCCGTTCTAACTTCAGTAAGGTGTGATCAGTTTTCCAGCCACCAGGGGGGTCAGGGCTCCCTTTGCACAGTCTCCATGGAGGAAGTCAAGGCGAGTGTGTGGTCAGCAGTGGTGAGTGAGGTCTCAGATCAAGAAGCCTGGCACCAGAGCCTGTTGTCTCCCTCCTCATCCTCTCTCCAAGAGCTGTGGATCCAGCTACAGCAGAAAGCGAATATACCCCCAGGAACACAGCCACAAATATGCTAAATTCACCTTTTCAGCAGAAATCAGACAAGTAAAAAGGCCAATGTTCTGTGATAATAGGGCCCCAAATTGTACCATTTTATTACATTTAAAAATATTTTTTTTTGACAGGCAGAGTTAGAGAGAGACAGAAAGGTCTTCATTTTTCCGTTGGTTCACCCTCCAATGACCGCTGTGGCCGGCGCACCGCGCTGATCTGAAGGCAGGAGCCAGGTGCTTCTCCTGGTCTCCCATGGGGTGCAGGGCCCAAGCACTTGGGCCATCCTCCACTGCACTCCCGGGCCACAGCAGAGAGCTGGACTGGAAGAGGGGCAACCAGGACAGAATCTAGTGCCCTGACTGGGACTAGAACCCGGGGTGCCGGCACCGCAGGTGGAGGATTAGCTTATTGAGCCGCGGCGCCAGCCAAAAAACATAATTTTTTTAAGAAATTTGCCAGCTCTGTGCCAGGTGCTGTGATAGGAATGTGGGTGGGGCCTTGGTCCATCAGCGCCCTGCTGCCCAGGTGGAGTGTTAGGGCAAGAGTGGAGGTGCACATGCGTCCAGGTGAGACATGGCAGAGTGGAACAGGCTGTGGTGGGAGATGGACAGGCATGCATGGGTCCAGGACGCATTGTGGGGGAGCCAGCAGCAGGGTGTGGCCTTGGTTTGGATATGGGCTTGTTTATGAATTGTTTTCAGGGTGAAACTGTGGTCTCTAGGGTGATGACAACTGTTTGCTCACACAAGGGATTTTTTTTTTGACAGGCAGAGTGGACAGTGAGAGAGAGAGAGACAGAGAAAGGTCTTCCTTTACCGTTGGTTCACCCTCCAATGGCCGCCGCGGCCGGTGCGCTGCAGCCAGCGCACTGCGCTGATCCGAAGCCAGGAGCCAGGTGCTTCTCCTGGTCTCCCATGGGGTGCAGGGCCCAAGCACTTGGGCCATCCTCCACTGCCCTCCTGGGCCACAGCAGAGAGCTGGCCTGGAAGAGGGGCAACCGGGACAGACTCCAGCGCCCCGACCGGGACTAGAACCCGGTGTGCCGGCGCCGCACGCGGAGGATTAGCCTAGTGAGCCACAGTGCCAACACAAGGGATGTTAATAGAAGAGCAGGGTGAGGTGGGAAGATCCCTGGTTCAAGTCTGAACAAGGCCGATTTGAGATGGGAGAGAGAAGTCCAAATGAAAGTTATCTGCCTTGTTCATGAATCTGCTTTTCAGGGCTTTTCAGTTCAGGTCCCAGCGGTGCACCTGCTGTGACTTCGGCAGGAGCTGGGGGCGCGAGCTCAGCTGTCACTGCAGGTGCTGGCGTCGCTGCTCCTGCGCTCTGGGTCCTGCTGGGGAGCAGCCTCACAGGGCCCCAGTGACGTGAGGACTCCCGCTTTGGTTCTCAGGCTCCTCGGCAGGTGGCCCTGGCTCCACAGCTGCCCGGCAGAGTGTCCCTCCACGTAAGTAAGCGGTGACGGTAGAGGGGGTTGGGGCTGGTTTCTGTGCTCACTGGACGAGTAAGAATGGTAAAATAATTAATAAAGCCAGCTAAATAATCACAGTGTACCTTATATGGTATCTCACTGTGTTCATGAGGAACATAGACAGAGACACTGCCTGACTGGTTGAGTTTCTGTAGCAGGTCATGTGCAGCCAGTATTTTTGCCTGCTTTTTAATTTACTCAGTATATATTCTACACATATAAGTACAGAGACATCCAAAACACAGGAACGAAGACTTCTGTTGTGTAGTGACCTCACCTTCTAAAGCAAAATACATGTGATTTCTAACAACATCAGTAAAGCTTGCATTTAAAATAACAGAGTTTAAAATTTCTCGGTTGCTAACTACCAGAACTATAGGAGCAGGTGCTAAGAAGGGGTTTACAATTTTTTATAGAATGAAAAATTGTAGCATTTGCTACTCTGAACTGGCAAGATTTGGAACATCTTTGACAAAACCTTTAAATTTATTATTTATTTGAAAGAGTTACAGAGATGGAGGGAGATAGATAGCTTCCATTCACTGGTCCCCGCCACAGATGATTACAGCAGCCAGTGCCGGGCCAGGCGGAAGCCAGGAGTCCGAGCTTCCTCTGGGTCTCCCACGTGGATGGCAGTGGCCCAGGCACTTGGGCCACCTTCCATTGCTTTCCTGGGCACAGTAGCAGGAAGATGGATTGGAAGCGGAGCAGTCAGGACAAGAACTGGTGCCCCTGTGGGATGCCGGCGTTGTAGGCAGCAGCTCAACTCCTGTGCCAAAACACTGGCCCCATACTATTTTTTTGAAAATCCAAATTTTATAATATTCTTTCTTTTTACTGTTATTCCCTGAGATAAATTCACAGGTACTTAGAGGGCAGTCTCTCTTTCCTGGTGCTAAATAGAACGGACCTTGTTTTCCCTAGGCTATAGTACGTTGCTATTTGAGCTCCTGGACCAGGGCTATGCTCAGTGTCAGGCTGTTGGAGAAAGACAGCATTTTCCCCAAATGCAGGGTATCCGAGACGCCCTAGGCCTCAGTGACTCGCTCATTCATCATCAGTTTAAGCAACAGATTACTCACACAATTTTTTTTCTGGAAAAGTTTTGTTACATATATTCTAATTGCCATTATAGAGTCCAATTATATCAATTTGTGTTACAAACTAGTCACTAGAAAATAATTTGCTAACTCTAATTTAGGAATAGTTTTATTCAAATTACAATATACAAAAGAATTGGCATGATTTATATTGTAAAAATATGTTGAACACCATAATTGTATAAAAATTAACATGTGAATGACATGTCTACTTGACAGTGTCCATTAGGGCCAAGGTGTATTTTAATATTTTTCTCAACTCAAGACTTAATCTTTTATAAAATGGAACCAAACAGGAATTCCATCCATGGGTACACATATTTTATATGGAACAAAGACACTGATTAGTTTTCTGTTTGATAAATGGAAACTCGAAGTTGATTCCTCAAAGGAGATGTCACATATTTTTTAAAGATTTATTTTGTTTATTTGAAAGAAAGAGTTACAGAGAGAGGTAGAGACACAGAGAGAGAGGTTTTCCATCTGCTGGTTCACTCCCCAAATGGCCGCAACAGCCAGACCTGGGCTGATCCAAAGCCAGAAACCAGGAGATTTTTCTGGTTCTCCCATGTGGGTACAGGGGCCCAAGGTCTTGAGCCATCCTCTGCTCTTTTCCCAGGCACGTTACGGGAGCTGTATCGGAAGTGGAGCAGCCAGGACTGGAACCTGTGCCCATATGGGAAGCCAGTGCTACAAGCCAGGGCTTTAACCTGCTGTGCCACAGCGCCAGCCCACACATTATTTTCATAGGAGTTTTCTCACTCCGACTTGAGTTTCTAAGATAAGTTCTTGTGGGAGTAACATACTTTGGCTTTTTTGATAAAAATGTTGGGCCTCATAGCTTTTGAAGCTCCAAAGTGAATTTTTAATGAAATTCAAGAATATTTTGTAACTGGAACATGAGTTTAATCTTTCCTTTATCAGGCTCAAAAATCATAATTCCACCACTACTCTTTGTGGGTAAGTTGAAATTAACACGATACAGAAATATGTTTCTGTGCAGTGTAACTTGACATAGCATTTCTGTCCTTCCCTGTTGAATGCCGAAAATAACTAAGAGCTTTTAAATTCTCCCCAAGTTATCATACGTAAATTAATCTCTGTGAACTACATAAATAAAAATTTACATTTGCTAATCTATTTGTTTTTGAATTTCAGTGCCACCAAAGCCTGGAGCAACAGGTAAGAAAATATAATAAATGAACATTTGAAAAAAAAAAAACAAAAACAGTGTGACTTTAACTGGAATAGAAAGCATGGTAGCAAAACACCTTTTTAAAAAATATTTATTTATCTATGTTTTTGAGAGGTAGAGTTACAAAGGGTAAGAGGGAGAGGTAGAAAGATCTTCCATTCACGGGTTCACTCTCCAAGTGGCTGCGATGCCGGAGCTGGGCCGATCCGAAGCCAGGAACCAGGAGCTTCTTCGGGAGAGGCACCTGGCTCCTGGCTTCAGATCAACGCGGTGCGCCGGCCGCAGCGGCCATTGGGGGGTGAACCAACGGAAAAGGAAGACCTTTCTCTCTGTCTCTCTCTCTCTCACTGTCCACTCTGCCTGCCAGATAAATAAATAAATAAATAATAAAACACACAGGTCTGCTGCCTGTTCAAACAAGCTCTTCTTAAGAAGTGCGTTAAGTGGACATTCATGCCCATGCTGTCCTTGATTCTGGACTGCTGTCCAGTCTCCTGTCTTCTCAGATCGATACACTTCAAGTTGTGGCCCGTGGTTCTGTGCCAGCTGGTACCTCTGCTTATGTCTTTGCCTCACCAGAATACCTAACACCTGCTGCTGTCCCGCGAATGTGCTCCACAACCTGTGGTCTAACGGTGGAATCCTTTGGCAGTTCCGAATACCTGCCCAGCTTCTCACTATCCCCCTTTCCATACTCTCCTCCAATCCTCCTCCCTCCTGAATTACCTGGCCTTGTTCCAAACATTTATTTTATAAACTGTCTAAGAAGTTGTTTTCTCCTTCAATCAAGATAAATGTACTTTACTCTGTGTGTCTGTGCGACACATTTCCCTAACGTTATTCTGTGAGTCCTCACCCACGGTGGAGATCCAGTCCAGCTGCTGTCTCTTCCAGGAAGCCCCCCTTGATCCTGCTCACCAGACGTCATGCTCCACAGTTCTGTATTGTCTGGGGTCTGTACCAGAGAGATAAGGCACTAGGAGTAAACTGGCAAACACGAGAGAAAATTGCCTCTGCCCTTCGGCAGGGAACAGCAGGAAAGGGTCTCTTAATTGCAGAACACAGCTCTGCAGAGGGTTCGGGGGGAAACTCAGGTTCTGAGTCTGCCAAGTCACAGGAGGTTCCTTGTTAGCACAAGAGGTACAGGGTGTCGCTGTGGTGACCCTGGCTTTTGCACTTCAGGTACCACCAGGCCGGTCCCTGGCACAACACTTGGCCCAGGAAGCTCCCCCACAGGTGAGAAGGGGCTGGGTAAAATTTGCCACTGGGGGCCTCCTCTACGGAGCCGTTTCCTTGGGGTCCGTTTCTGGACAAGATGATCACTGCAGAGATCTGCAGTCCTGGTGTTTTCCAGTCCTGTCTGCTGTGTGGCCTCTGTCTGGCAGGCTTCGGCTTCCCTGGGAGGTGGTGCTGCTGTGGACGGTGGGACGGCGCCTGCTCACTCTGCGACTCCCCTACCTGCCTTGCTGGTCATTTCAGGGACAGGGAGGCCTGAATGTAGCCCGTCGTCTCAGCCGCACAGCAAACATTGCTGTAAACCAGAAACAGCTCTGAGTGGCGCGTGACAAGATCTGGGGCACTGGTGCTTCCATCTGCCTCCAGGAGCCCCACTCAGAGAACCCAGGCATCAAGTCACCACCCATCGGATACATATGTGCTGTTAAAAGACAAAGTCCTCCAACAGTAAGGTTTAGTAAAGTGTATGTGGGCAAAGCAAACCAGAAACGTGGTCTGTGAATTCAGCAGCGCCCTGAACCAGAGCAGATTCTAGAAATTCCAGCAATGTGATCAGAGGACATTTACAGAACCTTGGAGGTGAGAAATAGACAGCAATGCAGTTGGCTACAGCCTTGTCCACCGGCCAGCTGATGACTGTGTAACTGGTTGTTTGCAGCTTAATTACTTGACAGCCTACCAAGCCTTAGCAAAGCTGAGACACTGTGGCTACATTCTTGCCTCGGTCTGTACGGCCCTGCATGGGTGCTTAGTCCATATCCAAGGCCTCCTGCAAAGTCCTATTTTCCAGTATTGAGAAAAGTTCTGTTTCCTGTCACTGAGCCTCATGGCAAGATATCCAGGAGTCTCGAATTTCATCAGAAAATTTGCTGTGGGAAAGCCGTGCTACATGGGAAATATGTCCAAATCTTAACAGTAGAACACTCAAAGAGCTTCCTATTATATTTTAAAAATACAGATTTTTTTTAAATACAGTCCTCAGGTCTTGGCATACTGACTCATGTCTTGCTTATTTCAGGAACTTCTGGTGGGGTCTCAAGCGAAACTCTTGAACCTGGGAGTTACACTACAGGTGAGCTCCCTCTCCTAGCAACTCCGGGAGAGGGCTCCCTCGGCATATAACAGCTGCCGCCATCTTTCACTCTGTTCCTTCTCTTCTCTCTTAGAGGCCACAACTGCCGCCGGGACCACGGGAACGGGGCCGCCAGCAGGTGAGCCTTGTCGTTCTGAGGCTTTGGGTCCGATTGGATGAGCATCTGGGACTGCAATGAGGTGCAGCAGGATGTGAAGGCTGGGGGCTTGGCACATCAGGCCACGGGAAATTGTTAATCAGCCCGGATGGCCTGCGTCATGCTCCTTGGCCAAGTGCTGCTGAGTGCTGGACCCCAGAGCTTGCTCTCTGCAGACAGGAGTGAGTGTGGCTGCCTCTGGGTTCACAGCCTCTCTCTTCACAGGCACCACCGTCACCTCTCCCAAAGTTACCAGCAGTTCAGGAGTGTCCAGCACAGGTAATACAGCCTGAACAGACGTAAGCGGCCTTGTCATCCCAAGTGAGATTGCAGGGCGTGTGTGTGTATGTGTGTGTGTGTGTGTAGACTGTCATGAAAAGCAGTCACAAAAGATAAAACCGAGTAACCGTTCCCTGCCTGCTTAGCCACTCCCAGCAGCCAGGGGGACAGAGAGCAAGAAGTGTACCAGACGGGCGTGACACACGTGTCCATCCTGACATCAGTGTACTAGGGTGTGCACGTGTTTGTCAGGCCACTGAAATGCATGGGCCAAGGAGATGGTAGGAGAGAAGACCCTCATCATGTATCACGTGGGCCGTGAAGGCCTCACAAGGGTGTCCACTGGTGTGAGGCCGTGAGCTGCTCTCGTGACGCACTGGGACATAGTACTAGATTTTCCTTTTCGTGTTGCAGGCTTCACTGGAGTAGGCTTGGGGACATCTGCTCAAGCAGGAATTCCCAACATAAATAGAGCTGAAATAATACAGCTCCCTTTGTGGCCGCTCGGAGGAAATGTTCCTTCTGTAGGGTTGCTCTGAAAACAACACAGAATCCCTCTGCCCAGCACCTCTGACCTCTGCACTTGGTTCTCTTCTTTCCTCCCCCTGCAGCCACCACCTCCACAGAAGGCGTGGGCTCCACCAGGGCTGGGTTCAGCACAGGTGAGAAGCGGGTGCTCCTGTCTGCTTTGTTCACGCCCCTCACAGCCCCCGCAGGAGAGCCGCTAGTGAGACAGTTATTGGAGCGAAGGTGGCGTCTACTTTGCTGATGCAGCTGCATCATCTTCAGTTTATAAATTCGTCCCTGAAAGCCACTGAGAGGAGTCCAGATCACAGCTCTACCGCCGGCAGATGGGGGGCTTGTCCTGAGAGCCACACCTGCCCTGTATCAATGTCTCCTTTGCACAAATGAAGAGCCAAATATATCTGGAAAATGTGGGGTTCTGGGCACACCCAAACCTTCGTCTGCATCTGCTCGCACAGCAGAGCCCCTGGGGAGAACCACAGGGAGGAAGCCACCTGTTGCCCTAACATAGATGCCGGGAAGCTTTGCTCAAGTTGAGAACGTCCTCACGCCAGTTGCTTTGGCCATAGGACGGTTGATGAGGATAGACGTGGGGCTTGTCTGCAGGGAGGACCAGGGAGGCAGCTCTTGGATGTTGGGAGGACACAGTCGGAGGGAGGACTTGGGAAGGAAACACTGAGCCCGTGGTGATCACAGCCCCTTGTGTTTCAGTCACCACCACGGTGTCCGCAGGCACAGCTCTGGCTCCTGGCAGCCCCAGTGCACCTGAGTCTGCCGGCTGGGAGGGGTCTTCCCACTGCACTCTCTGCTTGGCTTTTCCTTTCCATGCGTGATACATTCTTTTCATGGCTCTTCAATATTTCCAAAGTCTGTCTTTCCTGTTCTCTCTCTCTCAGAGGCCACAACTACTGCAGGCGGAAATGGAACACCTGGAGCAGCAACAGGTGCGCAGTCACTGCTAATAACAACCCGCATAGACACCGGACTGAGAGGAGCCCTTGCCTGGGCACCCACTGAGCACTGCTGAGAACAATCCTAACAGCGTTCAGTGGCTGAAGTTCGGAAACTCAGACTTTGTTCTCGTTTCTCGTGCTGTGAGGAGTCTCCTCCCACGCGCGAGGCAGGCACCCAGCCCTGTGGCTGACAGTTCCATGGGTGAACCACTGAGATGCTTCCAGTTCAGTGGGTGACCCTGTGAGGTGGTTCCAGTCCCACAGGTGACCTAATGAGGTGGCTTCTGGCTCTGTTAGTGAACTCAAGAGCAGGGGACCCAATAGCTCCAAATGCCTTTCGCACATTTCCCATGGGCAAGCTGTGTTCCCAGGAGCAGGCACATAACCGTTGGCACTTAAAGCCCAGTTCACTGAAACTGCAGATAAACAGACTGCATGCACTTAGTTGCTTGCTGTCCTGTGTCCACTTCATGATGACCAAGAGTTGACCCGCAACTGTCCCTTCCTAAGCAGCTACCCCTGGCGCCGTCTCTGGGAAGACGGAAGCCGCTGACAGCTATAGCACAGGTGAGCGTGGAGGTCGGAGGGAGTTCTCCGCCGTGGCTCCTGAGCTGAGTGGCCCTCAGGAGACATCACACGCGCCTTTCTTTGCTCTCAGAGGCTGTGAGTTCTGCAGCGAGGGAAGGAACCAGCAGCACAGAGGGGCCGGCAGGTGAGCTCCGTCAGCCCCAGGCCCCAGAGCTGTCGTCATTTTCCCGTCTGGGTGGGCTGAAGCCAGCAGCTAGATAGGCGGTGGCTAAGGATGGAGGGATGCACGGTCGCCTGTCTCACGCCCGGGGCAGCTGTGCTGAGGCGTCCCAGGAGCACGGTGTCTAAGCCGGGCCTTTCTGCTGTGCCCTGCTGGGTGCCGTTCATCCTTTGTACCCCTGGCCGAGCCCCTGCAGCGCCCTCCCCAACTGCCGGTTCCCTGCTCTGCTCATCAGAGTCATGTGCTGATCCCTCCTGAGCGTTCTGTGTCCCTCTCCCACACACGTCAGCCACACGAGACAGAGAACTTCTGTTCTTCTCATGGGGAGGAGAGCATCAACAAGGGTGCCTAGAAATACGAGGCAGGCGCCAGGTTACGTCCCTACTTTGTCATCACTCCGTTAATTCAGCGGGTACCAACGCAGCTTCACGCAGGCGCAGGGAGACCCAGGCCAGGCAGGACTGGGGCAGGTGTACATGTCTCGTGCGTCTTTTCTTAACGCCCTGGTTATCACAGTCTCCCAAGTGACTCAGAACATCAGAAAGACGATGTTGTCTTCCTTCCTGGAGCAGCGGGGGAGACAGCAGATGCCGTGAAGCAGGGGACATGCCGGCGCTCCCTCCCCTTTTCCACGGACTGCCGTGGGAGGGAGAACTGGCAGGAAGACCTCCGTCAGTAAGGAGCCAGGGCTCTGCACTGTCCAGTCCCTTCGTGGCAGGGGTGCAGGGGTGCAGGCTGCTGGCCGCCTCCAGCCGGCTGCCTCCACCAGCTCCCCTGCTTTCTTCTCTTAGCAGCTTCTGGTGCAACCTCGGGGCCAACGGCGACATCTGGAGTTGGCAGCAGCTCCCGGAGCGCCGCGCCAGGTAGGATGCACGAAGGGTTAGCTCCTGTGAGAGGACGAGGTCCCAGGAACGCTGTTTTTAGCATCTGAATATCAAAGAAAATGCAGAAACCTGAAGCCCATCTCTGCTCTTCTGCCTCCCTCCCCAGGCACTTCTGCCACGCCAGGGAGCCCGGGGTCTAGCGGAGAGACAGGTGAGGGGAGATCGAGTCCCCTTCCATGACCAGTGAGCTGGCTGGGGGCACCTCTGTGGCAGCAGGGGTGGACAGGTGGGCCCAGAAGTCCGTTGGGGGGGGGGTCCCTCGTGGGTGTTCACCTTCAGAAAGAGAGGTTTGCAGGGCCAACTCCCTGCGGTGAAGCCACATGGCTGCTTCTGGTGCCGACTGAGGAGCTAATGCAGTGTTCACGCCTGTGTGTTCCTCACCTTTGCTGCTCCAGGAGACCCCGGGACGGCGGTTCTGCCTGGCAGCTCCCCTGCAAGTAGGTTCACGAGCAGGAGAGAGCGTAGTCAGTAGAGCTGCTCAGTGCAGTAGCAAGAGCTCTTCCCTGACACCCCAGTCCTAGACCACACCCCTCGCAATCGCTCCCTGCAGGGGTCACGAGGCACACAGGAGGCAGCAGCGCACCTGCGCCCGGACCGAGCTCAGGTGAGAGCCGGCAGCTGGTTTGCAGGCTGGATCTCGGTTCCCACTCTGGGGGGCTCCTCCGGGCAAGCCGTGTCTGCCTGCAGAGAGCTGTGTGGGGTTCTCCATGAGTCTGCTTGAGTCTGGGATAGATGTTGAAAAGAGCAGATGGATTTGGAACAGGTTTAAATCTAATTTAAGAAAACATGTCCGGTCAACTCTGCTCGGGCCCTTGCTCTGCAGAGTAATTATTTGCGTACTCTTGTCTTTTAGATGTGATTTTGTGGGACTAAGAACGATATTGTCCATCCTGTACCCGTTTGCCCTTGTAGGTTCCACGTCAGGGTCAGCTGAAGCTTCCAGGAGCACACGGAATTCCAGTCCTGGTTAGTGGAGGTGTTTCATACACCCAGCTGAGACTTCGCGTTACTCTAAAACACATTCCCGTGGTCCCGTATGACTGAGGTCCTAGCATTTGTGATTTCTCTTACCCACTTCCTCAAGCAGTCTCTACAGAGACATCAGGGAGTCAGGTCAGGGAAAGTAAAACAGACAAACAGAAGAGAATCTCTTCTCCCAAAGAACTAAACAATACAAATGGGCTCCAAAAAGGAGTTTTGCCATAGATGGGTTGAAGGTTTGAGAACGTGCAAATTGAGAATATGGGCTTGGTATTTGATTCTCCTTGCATAAAGAAGCGCCTTTGCTTTACTAAACATTAGCACCGCAAGGAGTGGAATAAAATAGGTTAGTCATTACATCACAGATTTGGGGGATTTCTTGTGATTTTCATATGACTCTGATAACAGATGATAAAACTTTTTCTTTAAAGACTGAGTCCGCTGAGGTTTGCATATTAAGATTTTGGAATTCCCTGACCTAAAGATTTCCTTAGATACATCTTTGATAGGACGGAGCCTGTAGCGAGTGGATGTATCAATGGGGAACGGAGTCATCTTTGGTAAACCATGTCCGAGCTTATCTTTGCATATACTATTTCCAGGCAGGTGAAGGAGGTTGAAATATGAGGGCATTTGGAATTGGGGGAATTTAAAATAGAGAAATTTTGTTTAAGTTACCAATGAAAAGAATGTGTTCACTCTGCTGAAAAAGAAAAAGGATATAAAGTAGTGTGAAATGGTCAGAAAATGACCATAATGCAGAATTCTCGTGGAATAAAACCCGGAAGTAGGGAGACCAGCACTGCAGGAGAAGATGCTGGGAGGGATTTCTGGAGTTCCAGAGGAAACCATCTGTTCCAGGCTGGGGGTGGTTGGAGACTACAGTAGCAGTCAGGTAGGACGGCAGAGGGTAGGCAGAGTACACCATGCATGGGCCAGACAGAACCTGCTGCTCTGAGTTGCTGTCACACAACTAGAGACCCCAGATGACACTCAAAGGCACAGAAGGCACAGTGCTGAAGGGGAAGGAGAGATTGAAAGCCACCAGCATTCCTTCAGCAAGGTGAACCATGGTAGCTATGGTGATCAACATGTCTCATAGGAAATGTCCCTCGTTTGCCTTTGTAGACACCACTGGGACATCCAGTAAAATCACTGGAATCTAAGAAAGTTCCCAGCCAGGTAACAGAAAGCTTGACTCAAATGAAGTTTATATGCTGAGCATCCTGTTGGAATCCACACTGCAGTGCTCCCGATAACCCACCTGTGTCTCTGTGAGTGATATCAGTCTTCACCTGTAAAAGAAATGTTTCAGTAGACAGAGTGAAACAGGAGAGCTTGACTTTATTCAAGACTGTTGCAATAGAGTGTAGACCACTGTAGGACTCAGCATTGCTTCAGAAGGAGGCAGCAAAGTTTGTAATGCTGGGGTGAGCTTGTGGAACCAACCCAGAGACATTAGAGCAAGCAGAATCTGTGTGATGAGGTCCTCTGTGCCTCCTCATGGACTTTTCGTCTGGTGGAAGTTCAAGTCCAGCCTGCATACGGTGACCAGGAGCTCTCCAGAGGACTGTAGCTCAGAGCAGGAGCTGCCGGGGCTGGCACCGTGGTTCACTTGGTTAATCCTCTGCCTGCGGTGCCGGCACCCAATGTGGGATGCCGGATTCTGTCCCAGTTTCCCCTCTCCAGTCCAGCTCTCTGCTGTGGCCAGGGAGTGCAGTGGAGGATGGCCCAAGTCCTTGGGCCCTGCACCGCATGGGAGACCAGGAGAAGCACCTGCCTCCTGGTTTTGGATCAGCGCAGTGCTGGCCGTAGCGGCCATGTGGTCGAGTGAACCAATGGAAGGAAGACCTTTCTCTCTGTCTCTCTCTCTCACTATCTATAACTCTACCTGTCAAAAAAAAAAAAAAAAAAAGTGAGAGTTGCCATGTTCTTGATAAAGATGAAAGAACTTCCCAAAAGATCACGAAAATGTGTATAATGAGACGCCTGTGCATGAATTGCGAAATGTGCTTCCCCAGAACAGTGGCAACTTTGAGTTCTGTTTTCCATGAAGTTTTGGAAGAATCTTCACGTTCATGCATTTCGAGGCTAGTGAGAGACTAGAAGATTGCCACCTCAAAGCAGCAGGGAATGAATTAACGATGACAAAGACTTCTAAAGGAAAGACACGAGGGGAAGAGAGGCCAGGGTCCCCGACTAGCAGGAGTCCGACTCAGGTGTGTCAGGCTGAGGGAACATAAGGCCATCTTTGGCCACACAAATGTGTTCCCTCTCTTATAACCACTTACCTCCCAGAACTAACACAAGAGAAGCAGGAATCCCGAGTCCAAGAAGCCAAAGAGTAACGTTTGAATCTTTTTATTGAGAGCGGGGGGACCTGGCACCGAGTCATTGATCAGGGTCCTGGGAATATTTTCGCCACAACTCGCCGAGGCAGGGAGGTGCTCAGGTAGCCCTGCTGTTGTCTTTGTGGCAAAGCCGCGACTGAGCGCTGCTAGATGCAGCCCTGTCCCCAAGCGCTCTGACACGCTAGCTCCATGTGGCCATGCACCTCTGAGACCAGAGTGACTGCCTTGCTCTTTCCTTGTTTGTTGTAGGCACCTCCCAGGAAGCATCACAGACAACCACCGCTCCTGGAATCACTGGCACAGGTGAGACCTAGAGAAATCAGTTGTCAGAGGACAGGTTAGCTTTGGGGATGTCTCCTGTGGCTTCCTCATTGCCGTGTTGGCACCCCTTGTTCCTTCCTCTGCAGCCGTTGCCTCCACAGATGTCAGAGAAACCTCTGGACCAGCAGTGCAGACAGGCGAGTGTTAGCTGTATAGTGAGTGTGTCTTTGAAGACTTGGGGAAGAGTTGAGTTTGGGGAAGGGAATGTTAGGGAAGTAGCAGGAGAGAGGGACGGGATTTGAAATGTCCCTTTGCAACATAACTTGAGTGCCAATAGGGACCCTTTTTTCTCTGTGTTTCTTTTGGGTTCATGCTTTCATCAGAGTTCCCCTACTGGAGTCAAATTAGCACAGTTTGAGAATTCTGAAAAGGAAGTCAGTTGAGATTTTTGATAATGATGGCTCTGGAATCACCTGCGCTACGGATTCCATTTGATGCGTCTTTGTGAGGAGTCAGCCTCCCAGATGGAGATAAACCTCAGTGGCGTCAGGATTCTCATTAGGCAAACGTCTTTGCATGCCCCACTGTGCTGCTTTCATGTCAGGTGAAGTCAGCAGTAACCAGGGAGTTTCCCACCCAGGCCAATGACATTGATGAACTAGGAGGAAACTTGGGATGATTAGGGGGCTCGGACATTAAGAATCTTTGTTTCCTCAGTGAAAATTTTCATGCAAAATGATATTCGCAGTGTCGTGTTTTACAAAGGGAGGAACTGTAAAAGAACCTGCCATTTTCAGAAAATTGAAAACCCCAGCCTGCTGGTAGATTTTTTAGGAAGAACTTTGCAAGAGGGGATGCCGCGGGAGCTCCTGGGTCTTCTGTATGGCAAAGCTGTGATGGAATTGGCCTGAAACAGGGGTAAAAACAGAGCTGTCCTAATATTTTCATATTCTGTAATGAGATTATTACAGCAGATGTCTTAGTTATAACACTGAAAAGAGAAAACTGGATTAAATGGAAAATGAACAATTGGAACATTTTACATATGCTGCATCCTATCCCCAACTTGGAATTTTTATGAAGATGAGTTGCTCAGAACATGGGATACTGGTAGGAATGGGGAGTGAGTGTGGAGGTGTGTTGTCTAGTTTACATTCTGTTAGAAGTGAGAAGTGATCGGGAGTGAAGTAGCTGTCACGTGGGAAGGCCGGGTAGAAGGTCTATGCCATGTGTGGGCTAGTTAGCATCAGGTGTTAAGGTTGAGGCCATAGAAGGAACAGCCAGATGTTTGGATCTGTCCTAGTGCATGGTTTGAATGCTTAGCCGGGTACACAATGCTGCATTGACTGTGTTTGGGAACATAATGCATGAATGAGAAAGAGAAAAATGGAATTTGATAGAAGTGATAGATCAGCTTTGGAGAGTTCGATTTTGAAATGCTCTAAGACTTAAGGCATTCATGTCCACTAGAATTGATGAGGGAATGGAACACAAATGAGAGACCCAAACTGGAGATGGAGATACTTTAGGACAATGACATGGATACCTGGGCCCATCAGCATTCCATGGGTCGGCCAAGGGAAGAGACTCTGCGGAATGGAGAAACTAAGTTTCAGCACCTGCCAGCGTGTCTGACTCGGGATTAACAGATTCCTTGAGACCCTAGTTTACTGTGCAGGAGACAATATGATTCTGTGTGGAACTGGAATCTCAGATCAGGATCACTCTAACTTGCTGGGGACCTTTATCCTCATAGTGATTACTCTGAAATTGAAGGAAACTCTCGGAAGTACTGAAATCCCAAGACTCCGAATCCTTGCCGTTCGTTGATGCTGACTTGTAGCTAGCGTAACTCTCGAGAGACAATGTCCTCGACATAATGGGTGTGAGCTAGGGCAAGAGCAAGGGTAGAGTTTGGCGAAAGCTGCTATTTCCAAGATCCTGACTCTGGACAGGAAGTTTTCTGGAGGACTGCATTTGACCACAAGGAATTCCATAGAAACCCAAACTGTCTCTTCTCTCAACTTCCTCTTTTCTTTCTTCACTCTCCATTATGTGCCCAGGACAGTGCGGCTTTGCACCCAGCCAGGAACCCGACCCCTGGAGTAGGGCTGATTGTAGGTGGCCTCAGCCTCACCAAGCGGCTCAGTCCTCCTGCCCCTGCCTTCCCACTTCTCGCTGCTTGAGACATGAACTATGGAGAAAGAATAAATGGTGTCACAGAAACACGTGGGTCTATCCTAAAGTGCGATCTTTACCTGATCATAAAGACACTGCTTATGCTACCGACTCTTGCTTCTGTCTCCCACACCAGGTGCTGCTGGTACAGGCTTTGGGACAGCAGCCTGACCTGGAGGTTTCAAAATTGAGCCTTCCCTGGAATTTTTCTTGAAATAGCTCTCGAAACAGGATGCAGAGCCAGTGTAATTTAGTTTCTCCAAACTCTGTCTTCTCAGTTTTCCCTTCCTTGTTCCACAGAGGCCACCACTTCCAAGGAACACATTCCAACCACTGAAGCAGAGACTTCCCCTGGTGAGTGTCCTCAAGTTTTGCAGCCCCCGTGGCTTTTCTGTTGGAGTCGGCTCTCTACAGAGCATCGGCCACGAATGTGCATGTGGCAGGGGAGTGGTAGTTTTGCTGTCCAGGACACCTCGTGAGGCCAACCAAGATTCGATCCCAGGTTATCCCCAGAGGACACAGTAGAGGTGTCCTCTATCAATGCCTGCCGTCTGTATTTTTCTTTTGCCATGTTCTACCCCAGACTTGGGAGAGGTCACCAGTGGCAAAGAAGGTGATTAGAGATCATGACAACAGTGGTTGAAAATATGATCAGGAAGACTTTGGTTAAATGCTTGACCCTTGGTCACATACTAAATAATTTTTATTTAATGTATCCTTTGGAGAATTAGGGGCTGAAGGCACTGGAAGAAAATCATGTGCACAGAAAAAAAAAGTCCTTAAATTTACAGTCAAAGTCATAATGATTCTAGATCTAGAGAAATGAGACCTCTGAGGCCGTTGTCAGCAGTCTCCCCCATTTTTACCTTGGACCTTGAATCAAGAGGGAAGGCAGTGGAAAACATATCCACTCAAGCATTTGGTGCAAGAAAATTTGTCCAAGGTCTTTCTATTTCTTAAGAGACAAAAGATGCCATGGTTTCCTTAGGTTGAGAGAGGCTTTGTCAGGCTCTGTGAGACTTAGTCTCTCTTCTTTTTCAGTTACCAGTAGGGAAGCCTCTGGCACGAGTAGTCCTGGAAGTTCCAACCCAGATAAGTAACCCTTAGCAAGATGTTGTAGTTACCTAATCCTGGACAAAAAGGCTCTGCCCTCTGGATCGGGCGTTCTGTTGTAGCTGGCACGGAGCAGCCCCTACCTCACTCCTCTTGCTCTTCCCAGAGGACCAGTGAGTGTCCATCAGTGGTTCTCAGCCCCTGTGTTGAGACTCCAGACCTTGTATTCCACACGGGGAAGGTGGCAGGGAAACAGGCATAGGGCCACGTCTCCTTAGGGACCTTACCGCTCCAAGCATCTAAGGTTGCCATCTTGCTCGGGGTTACTGTAGCTGCGCCAGAGCCCACAGATCAGGATGTGAAGGCACAAAGGGGTTGGTGCTGTGGGGAAAGGGGAGGCCAGGGTCACCCAGCCTCCCCCCACAAGGCAGACCACGGGTGCCGTCTGCACCGAGGGTGTACTTGTTACCTTTCTGTAATTCGTTAAGGCACTATGTGTGTAGCTGTGGTGCTCACATACAGAATGTCCCTCATTTGCCATCGTAGGCACCACTGTGGCATCCAGCAAAATCACCGAAACCTCAGGAAGTTCCCAATCAGGAAAGAGAAATACTGGCTTAAAGTTTATTTACAGCCTTCTTGCTTCTGCATCGCAGTGTTTGGACAACCCCTCTGAGTCTCTGTGATAGAGTATAGTCTTCAGCCATAAAAGATGCGCTTTAGCTGACAGAATGAAACAGGTGAACATGACTTTATTCAAGACTATGCAATAGGAGTCAAGACCAGTGTGTCATGGGAAGACTTAGAACTCGGTGCAGGGCAGTTTGCAGCGCTGGGGTGAGGTCGTGGAAACATTCCCAGAGACTCTGCAGAGAGGTGAACGTGTGTGGTGCGGTGGGTGTGAGTGCTCACGGGCACCTACTCTGCTGGGAGTTAGGCACCTGCCGTCTCGCAGAGACTGGGAGTGAGGAACCGTAGCTTTCCTGAGAACTGCAGGACTGAGCTGTCGCTCCAAGGTCTTCGATAAAGGTAAAAGCAGACTCTCAAAAGATTGTGGACAGTGTGTATGATGAGAAGCCTGTGCATGGACTGCAAAATCTGTCACAGGAGAATAAACTGACATTTTAATTGTGTCCAGAAAGTTCCATCTCATTCTTATGTTAGGATTCTAGCAAGAGACCAGAAGATGGGCATGTGAAAGGAACAGAGAAGGAACTTGTGGTACCAAGGTCTTCTGAAGAAAGACTCTGAGAAAAGAGAGGCCAAGGGGGCGTAGCTTAGAAGGATCCATCAAGCTGAGTGCAGCTGAGGGGGCATCTTAGCTGTCTCGGTCAACACTTTCCCCTCTTCTATGTTTTCCATTTTTTCTATATTTTCCGTTCCCCCAGAACTAATCCTGGAGAACCAGCAAACAAGGTTCTCTCTCTTTTTTTTTTTTTTTTTTGACAGGCAGAGTGGACAGTGAGAGAGAGACAGAGAGAAAGGTCTTCCTTTTGCCGTTGGTTCACCCTCCAATGGCCGCCGCGGCCAGCGCACCGCGCTGATCTGATGGCAGGAGCCAGGTGCTTCTCCTGGTCTCCCATGGGGTGCAGGGCCCAAGGACCTGGGCCATCCTCCACTGCACTCCCTGGCCACAGCAGAGAGCTGGCCTGGAAGAGGGGCAACCGGGACAGAATCCGGCGCCCCGACCAGGACTAGAACCCGGTGTGCCGGCGCCACAAGGCGGAGGATTAGCCTAGTGAGCCGCGCCGCCAGCCGGTTCTCTCTCTTGAAGAAGCTCCATGTGAGGAATGCTTTTGTCACTGAGGGAAGAGGGACCGAGACATTGACCAGGTCCAAGGAATCCATCACCTCGGCTTTCTGAGTAGGGAGGTGCTAAGATAGGGACCTTCTAACATCGTGGTGGCAGAGCCGGGAACAAGCACCAGCTGGTACACCCCTGAGCCCAAGGCTCTGCGATGCTTGCTCCCTGGGGACGTGGCTTAGGGACTTGCTCTTCCAAGACCAGCAAAGGTGCATGGCTCCTCCCTTGCTTGTTCTAGGCACCTCCCAGGCAGCATCGGAAACAACGGCTACAGGAATCACTACCACCACAGGTAAGGCCAAGAGAAAGGAGTCACTCCCAAGAGGGTGATCTATGAGATGGTCGCTCCTGGCGTCTCCACTCCCCTGTTCTCTCGTCATTGTCCCTCCCTGAGCAGTTGCCTCTTCCGCTGCCGTCAGTGAAACTTCTGGTCTGGAGTGCACACGGGTGAATGTTGACCGTACAGAATTCCCATGACCGGTGTGGCCTGGAAGGTCATGGGGAGAATTGAATTTGGGGGAGGCAGTGTAGGATGGGAACAGGACAGAGCGGCTGGGACAATGCTGTTAAATATCCCTGAGACGTGACTTTGGAGGACTACTTGGGACGGACCCCTTTTTCTCGGGGCTTACTTGGATTCAGGCTTCCACCAGCTCCCCCAGGAAGCCCAGTCACACATCTTCACAGTTCTCTGGTGGGAGTTAGTGCTTTGAGGTTGTTCAGTTAACAGCTCTGGAGGTGCCTGTTCTAGGGGTTCCATTCAGTGCCTCCCTGCGAGGAAGTAGCCTTGCGGATGGTGATAAGCCCTAGTGGGCCCAGGAGTGTTTTAAGGAAGTGTCCTGGCATATACTACGTGCTGCTCCTACACAGGGTGAGGTCACCAGTAGCCAAGGAGATTCCAACCCAGGGGAATGACGATGGGAAAACGTGGAGGCAGCCGACGGTGTTGGGGGGGTTATATTAAGAACTTTACAAAACTGTGGAAGTCCCTTCACTTTTTAGTATTAGGCTAGCAAGAAACAAGATTATCTACGTCTCAAGGAGCAGAGAAAGAACTTGTGATGATGAAGTCTCCCAAAGGAAAGATTCTTAGGAAAGTTGGTGAAACCAGCTGTGGGAAGAAGGCATCCTGAGTTGAGTCAGTGTGAGAGGAACACGTCTTGGCCAGCACAGATGTCTGCTCCCTTTCTACCAACTCTTGCCCCCAGAGCAGACACAGGCAGACCAGAAAACCAGCTTTCATGGGGCGAAAAAGGTTAAATGCAGAGAAAGCGGTCGTCAATGAGAGGGGACCTGGAAGTGAGACAGTGCTCCGGGTCCTGGGGATCTGTCACCTAGGAGCCAGGACAGGGGCCTCCTGAGTCCTGCTGACATTTGCAGGGTGAAGTCCTACACCCAGGGGCATTGAGGGGCTTGCTGCTGTCGAAGTGCCTGGGAGCAGGCACCCTGAGACCAGAACAGGCACAATGTCCTTGGCTTGCTCCTTTAGATTCCTCCAGGGAAGTCCCAGAAATGGCCACTGCTCGTGGAAATGCTACCCTAAGTAAGGCCAAGAGAATAAGTCATTGTTTTCTAGGGCCAGTCAGCAGGCAGGATGGGTGACGGGGCTCTCGCCCCTTGCGTCTCTAGTGTGCTGATTGCACACATTCATGTATCTCTCAGTGGTTGGTTCTTCCACTGGCATCAGGGAGACCTCTGGCCCTGCGGTGCAGACAGGTGAGTGGTGGCCACGCGCCCTTTTCAGTGACCAGGTAGCTTTATAAATATTAGAACAAGAAGAATTTGAGAAAAGGAGTGGCAGCACAGGAGGCCAGGAAGATGGTGTTCGGTGTCCTTCTGAAATGTGACTTTTAAATGCATCTAAGGACACCTCGTTCTCTGGGTTTGCTGTGGTTCAGGGATTTTTCATTAGAGCTCCATCCTGAAGATGCGTTTGTGCCTGCTGAGAATTCTGATTAGGGAGTTTGTCCTTTGAGGTGGCTCATACTCTGGGATGACCTGTACCAGGGATTTCATTCAATGATTCAGTGCATCCTGTTGAAGAGGCAGCCGCGAGAAGTCGGTAAACCCCAGTGGGATCAGGCGTCATTCCGGATAAGCGTCCTTGCATGCGCTACTGTGCTGCTGTCACATCAGGTGAACTCACCAGGGACCCAGAATTTCCAACCAAGCCACATGAAGACGAATGAAGCAGGAGGAAACTTAGGGTATTTGGGACTCTTCGTGAGGATTTTTGCATCCTCAGTGAAAGTTATCAAGGTAAAAGAGATTTTCATTGTTGTGCTAAAAAGCAGGGAGGCATAAAAGAACCTGCATTTACAGGAAGTGATGAGTCCAGACCTCTCATGGAACCCCAGGCAGAGGTAGCAAGGCGAGGTTTGAAGGAGGAGACCCTGAAAGGTTTTCTGGAGCTTCTTTAGGGCCAAGTTGTAACAGAATTATCCTGAAATCAGGGGAGTGTCCCATCAATTTTGTATCTGATAACAAGAAAATTGCAAAAGAGACCGCCGTTCGAACATTAACAAAACTTGATTGTACTGGCCAGGAGGAGCAATTGCAAGGTTCCCAGGTTGGATTTGTTTGGTAATATTAATTTGACGTAATATGGACGAATGACAGGGAGGGTGAGTGGAGAGGGTAGAAACATGTCTTCCAGATTGACAGCTGTTAGCAGTGAGAGGTGACCGGGGCTGAAGTATCATTCATGTTGGAAAGCAGAAGGCAGAAGCAGTGAGCCACGCTTGGGCAGGCTGGCGTCAGGTGGTCAGGCAGAGGCTGTGAGGAAGACTCCTGGAGCTGTCCTAGTCCATGTGGCAGGTGCAGAGCTGGACAGGTAACAGTGCCATTGAGCATGCTGGGAATGTAGTGGAGGACTGAAACATAGATGGGAACTGGTGGAAGAGAGGGGTTGGGAGAGGGTTGCATCTGAAAGTCTTTGAGGTTTTCAGGAATTGATGCCCAGCAGAACTGATGAGAAGGCTGGACCCAGAACTGAGCTGGGAACTGGAGGCAGATTGGTCTTTGTTGGTTTGCAAGTCTGAGATTATCTCCAGCAATTCCACGGGTAACCAGGCTCATCAGCAAAGGAAAGGGGCCCAAAAAGGAGAGGATTCTGGCTCATGTTTTGGCAGAGTGTTTCACTCACGACACTGCAGGCTAGAGGAGTGCAGGCAGCTGCCCTGCTGTACATAGATGATACACTTCTGATTTGCAAGCTGGACACCTCAGATCAGGGTCACATTTACAGTTCCAAGGACACTCTTTTCTTCTTCTTTTTGAAAATAATAGTTGTTTCTCCCTACCTCCCCCCCCGCCCCCGTCTGTCTGTCTGTCTGTCTCTCTCTTTATTTATTTCTTTCAAGATTTATCTCTCTATTTCAAAGGCAGAGTTACAGAGAGGTAGAGGCAGAGAGAGAGAAAAGTCTTTAACCTGCTGGTTCACTTCCCTGATGGCCACAATGGCCAGAGCTTCACTGATCTGAAGCCAGGAGCCCAGAGCGCCTTCTTGGTCTCCTACATGGATGTAGGGACCCAAGAACTTGGACCAACTTCTGCTGCTTTCCCAGGCCATAGCAGAGACCTGATAGGAAGTGGAGCAGCTGGGATCCGAACCAGCGCCCACATGGAATGCTTGTGCTGCAGGCAGCAGATTTATGCACTATGACACAGTGCCGTCCTCAATAGTTGTTTCTTTAACAGAACACAGCTTCAAAGTTATGAAGCATGAAAATATCAAGATTCTGAATCCTGCCTGTGTTTCTTGATGTTGGCATGTAGTTAGCAGAATTCTAGGGAGGTATTGTCCTAGACAGAATGCAAATGAGCAATACAAGTTGGAAAGAGGACGGCGGGGAAGCAGCTGTTTCTGTGATGCTAACTCTGGAGCAGAATACTGGATGGTGCATGTTGACTCCAAGGATTTCTGTAAAACAGGAAGAACATGTTTGTCTCCACTGGTGACCTGAGTCCTAGAGAGAGATTAAATGGGCTCACAGGAACACATGAATGTGCCCTAAAGCGTGAGCTCCCTCCAGTCAGGAAAACCTTGCTTCTGTCACTTCTTCTTCCTTCTCTCCTATAACAGACTCTGGGACTGCAACCTCACCTGAAGGTCTCAGAGCAGGTAAATCAAGTCACCCCAGGAGTTCTCCTGAAAGTGGCCATAGGAAGAGAATGCATGCTGCCTGCTTCAGGGTTTCCAAACTTGGCATCTTCACAGTTTGCCTCCCTGGGTCCACAGAGGCCACCACTGTCCAGGAACACCTTGCAGCCACGGAAGCTGGGCTTTGCTCTCGCGAGTGCTCTCAGGGTTTGGAGTCTTGGTGGCTTTTCCATTGCAGTTGACTCCCTGCAGACCATGAATGCAAATGAATGTGGCTGAAAAGTGGCAGCTTTTATATTCATAACATCTCATGAGACCAACAGAGTATTTTTCCTTGGTGTTTGCTAAAGGACAGAACAGCAATGGCCTTATATAGATACATCCTTTCTGTGTTCTCTCTCTGATTAGCCAGGTTCTACCCCAGACTTAGAGATCACAGCAGTATTTGCTGGCACTTGTGTTCGTGAAGGTTCTGGTGGACCCTTGGCTCTTGTTCACAAGTTAGAGAATGCTTGGTTTTCCCCTGATTTTTGACCCCCTGGGGAATCAGGGGCTTAATGTAGTAGAAAGGAAATCATATGCCTAGAATACAAATTTCCTCAAACTTTGTGTTCAGAGGCTAGAGGGCTCTAGCCCTAGGGAAAATGAGGACACTGTGACTTTCTTCCCCCATATTTGAGCTTGCAGTCAGCAGGGTGAGCGTTGGAAGGTACGCCCACTGCAGCGTTTGCTGCTGGAATACTCTGTTAGGACTGCTTCAGAGACGGGGAGGACTTGGTCATACCACACTCTCCTTAGCGTGAGAAAGGCTCTGTGATGCTTACCGAGGCTTGTTGTCCCCTCCACCACTGGGGGTGCCTCTGGCACACAGTTGGTCCTGGACGTTCCAGCCCAGTAAGTGACTCTTTCTGTCCTTTTCCGAGTCTGGAAGCCTGAACCTGTTCTCGGGAATGTGCAGCCTGTTGAAGCAGGCACCAAGCGGCCCCTCCTTCCCGCCTCTTGTCCTTGCTTTAGAATCCTCTAGTGTCCATCGCTGATTCATAGCTGTGCTGCTCAGGTGATGACACCCAGCCTTAGCTTGCAGGTGTGTCAACATTGACGTGCAAGTTGAAGGCCCAGGAAATAGGGCACCATCTCCATAGGACCTTAACTCTCTCAGCCACCTAACGCTGCCTTCTTGTTTCAGGATTTTGTGACTCCCCCTGTGTCCCTGGGCAAGGTTGGGAGGGCACCTGGGGCACAATGCAGAAGGGGCATGTTGGGGTTGACAGCCGCCAATGCACCAATGCCTCCTCCCACAAGGTGGGCCTTGGGACCACTTATTTATTAATCATTGGTAATGCACAGAGGTGCTCTCTGGGTAGTTACAGAGCTCGCTCTGTGGCGTGGGCAGTGCCTTCATTTTCCTTTGCAGGCACCACTGTGTCATCCAACAGAATCCCTGAACTCTGGGGAAGTTCCCAGCCAGGTAACAGAAATACTGGCTGGGGTGGAGTCTAGGTGCTCAACTTCCTTCTGACTTCTGCCCTTTAGAGTTTCAGATAACCCACCTGTCATCTCCCACTCTTACAGAAAGTTTGTGCCAGACAGAGTGAAACAGGTGAACATGGCTTTATTCAAAACTGTTGCAGTAGGAGCCAAGGCCACTGCAACAGGGGAGAGCTAGAACCCTCTGCCGCTGCAGCAAAGGCCGGAGTTGGCAGAGCTGAGACGAGCTCGTGGAAACATCCCGAGACATTCGAGTGAGGTGGCTGTGTGTGATGAGGCCGCTGTGTCTGTTATTGGCACCTAATCCTGTAGAAGCTAGGACCCTCGCCCCCCCACAGAGCCAGGCAGACAGAGGACGTAGATTTCTGGGGATCACTGGTCAAAGAAGAAGCCCCCAGGTCCTCAATGAAGAGGATAGGTCACTTCCCAGAGTACGTGGAAATACGTATTATGGAAAACCTATGAATGGCTTGCAAAGTTTATTGCAACAGAATAAACTCAGCTTTTAATTTCATTTTCCAAGAAGTTTTGGAAATCCCTTGCATTCCTGAATTAGAAGGCTAACAAGATCTTGGACCATTTACATCTCAAAGGAGCGGGGAGGATACTTATGATGACAAAGTCCTCTAAAGGAAAGGCTGGAAACGGGAGGTCAGGAGGCTGCCTCTGAGGAGAAACACAAGGCCGTCTCAGTCAGCACCAGATGTTTTTCCTGGGATTTGTCTCTCCTCCCTCCTGCAACACACAGAAAAGCAGGAAACCATGCTCCATTACGTAAAAGTTAGGTCTGAGGAAAGCTCTCATCAGTGAGAGAAGGGGCGGTGGGCGTGACAGTGGGGCAGGGTTTTAGGGCTCTGTCCCCTCAGTTCCTTGAGCAGGGAGGAGCTAAGACAGGGACCTCTCAGTGTCTTGGAGGCAGAGACATGAACTAGCCTGGTAGTCTGTTACAGCAGGCACAGAGACGTGAACTAGCCTGGTAGTCTGTTACAGCAGGCACAGTTCTGCCCCTGCTGCACTGCTCTTGGTCTTAACTAATGGTCATCGAGTGTCCATTGAAAAGTCCACCTACTGGGTTCTCAAGAGGGACTCCTAGCCTTTGCTTCCAGCAGGGGTAACATTGTAGGAAAGATGAAGGTTAGGGAACTGGGCGGTGTCTCTTTTGGGAACTTAGCTGTCTCTACCATGGTAGGTTGCTACTTTGTTCCCAGTGTTTGTAACTCTAACAGAGTTTCGAAGGCACCCAGGGAACATCTCTGAAGTGGGAATCTATTCCCAAAGTGCCCAGACCACCGAGCTGCATCCGCTTGGCGTGCATTATTTTCTCTTTGGTAATTCACCAAGGTGTTCTTCGAGCTGCTATGGTGCTCGCTGCGACTCTAATGAAATGTCTCCCATTTGCCTTTGCAGGCACCACTGTGACTGCCAGCAGAGCCTCTGGAACCACGGAAGTGTCTATACCAGGTGAGGGAAACAGTGGCTCAAATGTAGTTTCTGTGCCTAACTTCCTTGCTTCCACACCACAGTGCTTTAGCTCACCCATCTGCACCTCTGCGAATGAGTTTCACTCCAACTATAAATGAAACACTGCAGTAGGCAGAGCAAAACAAAACAAGTGAACATGACTTCGTTAAAGACTACTGAGTCGGGGATAGTGCAACAGAGAAATACACACCTCGAGGCTGCTTCAGCAGGCAAGGGAGGGTTCAACGCTGGAGTGAGCTCAGGGAAACATTTCAGAGGACCTTCGAAAGAGGTTTGTGTGTGTGTTGATGTGCCGTCATCACACAGATCTGTGTCAGCTTATTGGCACTTAATCCCCTACCTTCCAGCGGGCCTGTGGAGATGGGGGCCTTAGCAGGAGCTCCCAGGTCTTTGCAGAAGATAAAAGATAGTTCCGAAAGCATATGGACAAAGCATACTTTCAGATCCCGTGCACGGCTTTCAAACTATTGTGAAGCGGAATAGGATCCTCTTTGAATACATTTTTTCCAGAAAGTTTTTGAAGTCTCCCAGCATTTCTCTGTTAGGCAACAGTCTGTTAGATTCACATCTCAAAAGAGAAGAGAAAAGATGACAAAGTCTCCTCATGGAAAGACAGAAATGATGGGGGTTGCAACTAGGAAGAAACCCACCCCGTATTGAACAAGCAGAGAGCAACGTAGGCCATGCCGGCTAGGACAGTGCTGTCTCTCTCTCTGGTGTTACTTCTGTCTCTCTGCATATAACACTGGGGAACAAGGAAACCAGCTTCCACTAAGTAGAGGAACTAAGTGGAGGAAAGCTGTTGGCACTGAGTGATGGGAGACTGGGAAGTAGGCACTGATAAGGATCCTAGGAATGTATCAGCTAACTTCCTCGAGCAGGGAGGTGCTCAGATAGGACATACCAATGTCTGTGAGGTAGGGGTGTGTGTCGTCCTCCACCCATGTCTGCTTTTCATGGAGTTGGCTTAGGGACATGCACTTCTGAAACTAGGAAATTGAATACCCTTCTTTTGCTCATTTTAGGCACCTCCAAGGAAGTGTTGGTAACAGCCACTGCTCCTGGAGTTGCATCTGTAGGTAAGGCCAAGAGAAATCATTAATTGTTTACCGGATGGGTGATGGGCCGGCCTCTCTGGCTTCTGCAGTTTCCTGTTTTCACACTCTTACTCCTTCCTCAGCCAGTGCCACTCCCACCAGCATTGGCAAGACCGCTGGACCTGGAGTGCAGACAGGTGAGTGTGGGCCATGCAGCCTGTTCTGCAGTCAGTATGGCTTTGGCTGACTTGGCAGGAGTTGGATCTGGGGAGAAGAGTGTTGGGAAAGAAGCAGAAGGGGCTGTGGAGATTGTGTTGTGTCAGCTTAAATGTGACTTTTAAGTGCAACCAGGGATACTTTCTTCTCTGGCTTTCATCCGATCTCTCCCCAGTGACTTATTGAGAATTCTGCACAGGGAGTGAGTCACTTGAGGATGTTCGTATCCCTGGCCCTGGGATTACCTACACTAAGGATTCCCTGGGGTGTATCCTTCTGAGGAGCAGGAATGAAGGTGAAAGGGGCTGCAAGGCAGGTGTGCGTCTCTTCGTAACACCTCCCAAAGCCAACCCAGCTTTGCTCCCAAGCTTTTCCTGAAGGACACGGAAGAGACGTGGTCCTGTGGGCACATCTGTTTAGTACGGTTTTTTGTTTTGTCAGGTTCTACCCCACAGTTAGAAGAGGTCACCAGTGGCCAAGAAAGTGAGTCAAGGTCACAGCAGTGGTTACCAGCAACTGTGCCCCTGCAGGTTTTGATGTAGATGCTTGACCCTTGGTCACAGATGAGACCATGCAGTGTTCCCTGTTTTTGTCCCTGGAGACACAGAAATGATTATCAGCCTGGATGCAGACTGTGTACATGTGCGATTATAGATCTGGAGAAGAGAGTCGTCTGAGCTATTGTGACTTCTCACGGCCATGTTTCCTTTGAGCCTGCATTCAAGTCATGCACTAGGCTACACACCTCCTCAGACATCTGGTGCAAGAAAATCTGTTAGCAGGATGTCTGAAGTCGGGCAGTGTATCTAGGTTTTCATTCCAGGCCTTTGCTTTCTGCTTAGAGAAACATTCTAAGTATAGCCACCTGTATGGTGCACCAAGTGGTAGCGTTTATTTAAAAGGTGAAGGAACACACACACACACACACACACACGCTTGTACACACGCGCTCGGGCACAGGTGAGGAGTGGGCCCCATGGATAAATGGAGTGGGTGAGGGGGAGTAGAGAGAGGGTTGCATTTTCCAGCCCATGGCCCTAATCTGGCTGTCTCATATCAGGTTCTACTGCCTCCGAGACAAAGGGCAGCCTGATGCCACCAGGCACTCCTTGGGAGGAAACGGGCTGTGGCGGGCTTTGTGAGGCTGTTCCTTCCCTCTCTTGCAGGGACCACTGGGGGAGCCTCTGGCACAGCAGGTAGTCCTGGAAGTTCCAGCTCAGGGAGGTGAACCCTCAGTTAAGAGGCTGCAGTTGTCTAAGCCTAGAAAGGGGAATCTCTTGTCTGGGACAGGCAGCCTGCTGCGGCATGCACAGAACAGATCCCCAGCCCAGTCCTCCTGGCCTTGCTGGAGGGTCTCCCATCTACGTGTTCTGTGAGGAAGTCCTAGCATTTGCTTCCATTCAGGGGAACATTGCAGGTGAAGACAGAGACTCGGGAAATGGAGAGCTTTGTTTGCCTTCTTATCGTGGGACTTTGTAATCCTGCCAGATTCCCTTTGTCAGGATGCGAAGGCACACAGGCATACTGCTGAAAGAGGGGAAGGAAGCTGTAACCACCCAACACACATCCCATAAGGCAGACCGTGCGGCTGCATCGGCCCCGAGGGTGTACTGATTTCCATTTTGTAATTCCAAGGTGCTCTGTGGGCAGCAAGGGCTCTCACTGTGTCTCCTAGGAAATGGCCCCTTGTTTGACTTTGCAGACTGCACTGTGGCATCCAGCAGAATCACTGGAATCTCGCACCCAGGCACTGTGAATACCGAGTATACTGGGGCTCGTGTGCTCACCTCCTCACTTCTGCACCAGAGCTTTCAGTGAGCCATCTGTATCCGTGATGAGCACTGGTCCCCACTCTAAAAGCAGCACCTTGCTAGACAGAGTAAGAAGTGGACATGAATTAATCCCAGACTGCGCACAAGGCATCAGCTGCATCAGAGAGAGAGAGAGAGAGAGAGAGAGAGCGAGCACACATGCGCTCAATGCTGGTGCAGCAAAGGCAGGAGTTTGTCATGTTGCAATGAGCTTCTGAAACATACCTGTGATGAGGCCTTATAAAATGCAGCAGAATGAACACTTCCTTGTAAGACTTTATGTATTTATTTGAAAGTTAGAATTACAGACAAAGTAGAGACAGAGAGAAAGATCTTCCATCTGCTGGTTCACTCCCCTGAGGATCCAAAGCCAGGAGCCAGGAGCTTCTTCCAGGTCTCCCACATGGGTGCAGGGGCCCAAGGACTTGAGCCATCTTCTCCTGCTTTCCCAGGCCACAGCAGAGAGCTGGATCGGAAGAGGAGCAGCCGGGGCTAGAACTGGCACCCATTTGGGATGTCGGCACTTGAGGTGGAGGATTAATCCACTGTGCCACAGCACTGGCCCCAGGAACACAGTGTTAATTACATTTGTCTGTGAGGTGTTGCATGTTCCCTTGGTTTGCAGCGTTAGGAGGCTAGCAGGAGATGGAAGGTTCAAAGGAGCAGGGAAAGGATTTGTGAAGACCTTGCTTCTAAGGGGAAGACTCCAAGACAAGGACGCTGGGGGCTACAGCTAGGAAGAGGCCCTCCTGCAAGGAGTCAAACAGAATTGGCCATCTTGGCCAACACAGATGTCTTCTCCCAAGCCTTTAACTACCCTGCTGTGGAACTAACACAGGAGAATGAGGAAACCAGGCTCCAGGAAGAGAGAGAGATCAGTGTGAGGAACTTAGGCGTCACTGGGAGAAGGGGGACCATGGCAGGGAGGTGTGATCAGCATCCGAGGAGTCTACCACCTCCACTCCCTGGTGTGCTCAGAGAGGGACTCCCAGTGTCTCGGTGGCAGAGGCGCGAACTGGCACTCGTAGATGCAGTCTTGCATGGAGTACTGTGAGAAGTTTCCTGCGTGATGAGGTGGCTCCAGGATATCCTCTCAAACCAGAAATGGCACGGCTCTTCCTTTGCTCACGTCAGGTACCTCCCAGGAACCGTCAGAAGCCAGCACTGCTGTGGGAATTGCTACCACAGGTATGGCCAGGACAAGTCAGGCATCATTCCCGGTGGCCTTTTAGAAGACAGATGGCTTCTGTGACAGTTGCCTCTTGTTCCTCTTTCAGCAGTTGCTTCTCCCACTGGCATCGGAGAAACCTCTGGACCTGGACTGCAGACAGGTGAGTGTGGGCGTGTACCCATTTCAATCATCCGTGTGGCTTTGTAGATCTTGGAAGGATTTGAATTTGGAAATGGAGTGGTAGGGAAGAGAGGCTGGTAGGATGGTGTTAAATGTCCATTTGAACAGTGACTGGAGTTACATAGAGAATTACAGAAAAAGAGGGGTCTTCCATTAGCTGATTTCCTCCCTAAATGGCCAGACAGCTGGGGCTGGTCCAGGCCAAAGCCAGGAGCCTGGAACTCCATCTAGGTCTCCCTCGTGAGTGGAAGGAGCCCAAGCACTTGGGCCATCTTCTGCTGCCCTCCCAGGCACAGTAGCAGGGAGCTGGATCAGAAGTGCAGCAGCCAGGACTTGAACAGGTGCCGGATTAACCTGTTGCACCACAGCACCAGCCCCTGAAAGGTGACTTTGGAATCCAACAGGGACAATTTTCCCCCTGGATTTTTGTCTCTTAAAGAATCAGAGACTCAAGGCACGGGCGGCAGATCATCTGCATAGAGGATTCTAGAGTTAGGGAAGTGGGATCCCTGGAGCCTGTTTGACTTTGCTCCCCCACGTTTCCTGTGAGCCACACCCCTCAAGGAGCGCCTTAGAAAGTGTGTCCAAACATTTGTTGTGAGAGAATCTGCGGCGAGGTTTCCTGCTGCTTCAGAATCCAAGGGAAAGTTGAGGGTCCCATGCTCTCCTTGGGAGGAGGGAGGCTTTCTGGGCATGGGAGACTCAGCCTTCCCTTCACTCATCCCATAGGGGAGCCTCTGCCCTCCCCCCCAGTTAGTCCTGGAAGTTCCCACCCAGGTAAGTCAGCCCTTCCCAGCGCCTCTGATTGATTGCCTGATCCAAGAAGGAACCTCTTCTCGGGAACGGGCAGTCTGTGCAGCTTGCACAGAGCTCTCCCTCCCTCCTCTTGCCTTGCATAAGGGACAGTGAGTGTCGAGCAATGATGTGCACCTACTGTGTTCTCGTGCATGACTCCTGGTCTTTGCTTCTGTGTGGGGAAGGTGGCGGGGAGGGGGGAAGGTGCACAGGTACAGGGCAGAATTTCCTTAGGGATCTTACTGCCCCGTCATCCAGTGTTGCCTTCTTGTTCTGGGATTTCGACTCTGCCGGAGCCCCAGCCCAGGCACCTAGGCACAGCACACTGCTGAGGGGGCAGCAGACAACGCAAGCTTCTGAACACTCCTTCCACAAGGCAGCCCATAGAGCCACACCCCCCGTAGTGTGAGATTGCTCTCTTTGGTCGTTCACAGAGGTGCTCTGTGGGCAGCTGTGGCTCTCACAGTGGCTGATAGGAGATGGCCCTCATTGGTCTTCGCAGGCACCACTGTGGCATCCACCAGGGGCACTGGCCTTTCGGGAAGTTCCCCACCAGGTACTGGAAATAAGGCTCACGTGACACGTATGTGCTTAACAGCCTGCCTGTGAGAGCCTGCAAATCACGTCCAGGCCACGGTGCTCCAGTGCCTCTTCCCGAGTGTCAGCCCCCACCTGTCGAGGCAGTGCAGCACCAGCCCAAGAGAAAGAGTGACCCTGACTGTACTCAGAGCACTGCACTGGCAGCGAGAGCCACTGCAACGGGGCACGGAGGCAGAACTCGTGTTGTTGCAGCAGATGCAGCAGCTGCGGTAGTGATCTCGTTCAAAGCTCCCAGAGGACCCTGGACAGAGGCGGGTCTGTGTGGTGAGGCCCTGGGTGTCTTCTCAATGGCTTTTTTTTTTTTTTTTGGAAGGTGGGTCCCTACTATCCCAGAGATACCAGGAGATGGAGTTCTTTCATTCTGAGAATTTCTTTCATAGCAGCATCCCCAGGTCCTAAAAAAAGATAAAAGGGCACTTTCAAAGTTCATGGAAAATGCATCTTACAAAAATCCTATGCATGAACTGTAAAAATTCTGTGCCAGAATAAAGCCACCATTAATTTCCATTTTTTTCTAAGAACTTTCAAAAGTCCCCTTGTCAGGCTGGCATTGTGGTACAGTGGTTAAGCTGCTGCCCGTGAGTGCTAGTTCAAGTCCCAGAGACTCCACTTCTGATCCATCTCCCTGTTAATGAGCCTGGGAAAAATCCCATGCCAAATTCAGTCGGGCTGTGGGCACCATAGGGCCATCTTGCTCTACACAGATGTGTTCTTCCTTTGAACTTGCCTAACCCAGTGGACACAGGAGAATCAGGAAACCAGGGGCTACGATGTGAGAAAGGTTCAGGAAAGCATTCATCATGGAGAGAAGGGGGGCAGGAGAAGTCAGTGATGGTCCATCATGGCCTCTCAGAGGAGCCAAGGGCTGATGGGGTGGTCCCCTGTCCTCCTCCAGCTCCTGTTCTCACTCTTGTTCCCCCCAGGCAGTTGCTGTGTCCCCTGATGTCCGAGTGACCTCTGCACCTGGAGTGCAGACAGGTCAATGTCAGCCATGAAGCCTCTGCCGTGATCAGTGTGGCTTTGAGGGACTTGGAAGGAGCTGAACTGGGGGAAGGGAGGGGTCAGAAAGCAGGGCTGGGGAGATGCTGAGAGCTATCCCTTAAATGTGGCTCTTAAGGACAACCAGGGAAACCTTTGCTCTGGATTGCCTTTGGATCAGAGTTTCCTCTGGGACCCCCTCCTGAAGACCCACACCTGCATGCGAGTTCTTAGAAGGGGGTTGGCTGAGCTTGTGTGTATTAAGGGCTCTGGGGTTTCCTGTGTGAAGGATCTGGTCCCTGTGTCCTTGGGAGGAAGCAGCGTCCCAGGTGCACACACACCTCACTGGGGTCAGGAGTCTCCCTAGGTCAAGGCACAAGTGTGCTGTTCCCACACCAGGTCAAGTCAGCAGTCACTGAGGGTTTCAGAATGAGACAACTGCAGAGGGAGGAAGAGGAGGAAATTCAGGGTTTCTGGGGCTTTTTCAGCATTTTTGTTTTCTCCAGGAAAATTACCAAGAAAGACACATTTTCAGTATTGTGTTAAGAAACGAGGTGGGAGTGGTGTTGTGGCCTAATAGGTTAAGCTGCCGCCTGCAGTGCCAGCATCCCATGTGGGCACCAGTCAGAGTCCTGGCTGCTCCACTTCCGATCCAGCTCCCTCCTCACGTACCGGCGAGAGCAGCAGAGAAATGTCCCTGTTGCCTTTGCAGGCAGCCCTGTGACGTCCACCAGGAGCACTGAAACCTCACGCAGTTCCCAGCCAGGTAACAGAAATACTGGCTCAGGCGACATTTCTAGGCTGAACACCCTCTGGCTTCCTCCCCACAGCAACCCCTCTGCATCTCTGTAAATGAGTGTCAGTCTTGACCTGTAAAAGAAAAATGGCAGTAGGCAGCGGGAAACAGGTAGACTTGACTGAAGTCAAGTCTATAGCAATTGCATTCAATCCGTTACAACAGGAGAAGAGAGACTGAGCTCACTGCTGCTGTAGCACAGGCAGCATCTTATCATGCCGGGAGGAGCTCATGGCGATATTCCATAGACACCGGGCAGGGTGGTCGTGGGCTGAGGCCCCTGTGTCTGCTCATTGGCACGTACCCTGCAGGAAGCCAGACTACCCTCCCCTGGAGACAGGGAGATGCAAGTTCACAGTTCAACACGGTAGTTTCCAGGTCTTCAAGAAAGAATCAAGGGTACGCACATGCGTGGACTGGAAAATACCTGTTGTGATAGTTCAAATCTTCTCTTCACTTCTTCCCTCAAGTTTTGGAAGCCCACTGCATTGCAATCTTAGAAAGGTGGTGGGAGACCAGACTGTTTGGAACTCAAGGGAATATGGGAAGAACTGATGATGACTAAGGGTCTCAAAATGGGATGTCACAGGGCTGTGTCCCAGGTGGAGTCAAGCTTAGGGGACCACAAGAGCATCTTGGTGCACCCAGATGCTTATCACCCTCTCTCAGAAGTTCTGTGCTAGAGGAACACACAGAAGTAAGAGAGGCCGGCGCCATGGCTCACTAGGCTAATCCTCCGCCTGCGGCACCGGCACACCAGGTTCTAGTCCCAGTCGGGGCACCGGATTCTGTCCCGGTTGCCCCTCTTCCAGGCCAGCTCTCTGCTGTGGCCCGGGAGTGCAGTGGAGGATGGCCCAAGTCCTTGGTCCCTGCACCCCATGGGAGACCAGGAGAAGCACCTGGCTCCTGCCATCGGATCAGCGTGGTGCGCCGGCTGCAGTGCGCCAGCCGCGGCGGCCATTGGAGGGTGAACCAACGGCAAAAGGAAGACCTTTCTCTCTCTCTCTCTCACTGTCCACTCTGTCCAAAAAAAAAAAAAAAAAAAAAAAAAAAAGTAAGAGAAGGCAGGAGATGCTGTTGTTACTGACAGAAGAGGTTTCTGGTCCTGGTTTCCTTTTGTTCAGGTTTCAGCTCACTGGCAGGGAGGCCCTCAGACTAGGACTTCGCAGTCCTCACAGAGGCCTGTTCTGGCATGGGTGCCTGCAGTCCAGCACCCAGTTCTAGGGGATGCTGGCTGTGTGTGCAGGTGGCTTAGCAACGTGCTCCTCTCATACCACCCCGTTCGACTGGTCTGCACTTGCTTCTTCTAGGCACCTCCCGGCAAGCTTTGGAAACAACCACGACCACAGCCATCACTACTAGAGGTAAGGCCAAGAGAGTCAGCAGTCATTCCTGGCGGCCTCGCAGAGGCGCATGGGTTTTGTGACAGTCGCCTCTTGCCACTCCAGACTCCTGCTCTCACACCCTTTGTCCGCCATCAGCAGGTACCACCTCCAGTGGCATCCAAGAGACCTCTGGACCTGGAGTGCGGACAGGTGAGTGCCGGCCAGGAGCTTGGAGAGGAAGGGAGCAGCGGGACGGAAGCGGGGGCCGGAAGGTGCTGGCTGGTGTCCGTCTGACGCATGGCTTTTAGCTGAACGAGGGACACCTCTTTCTCCTGGTTTCCTTTTGTTCAGGCTTTTAGCTGCACTCTCCTGCTAAAGACCAACACGTGCAGTTGAGTAAGAATTCTGAGAAGGGAGTGCGTGGAGGTCGTTTATTTTACCAGCTCTGGAATCACCTGTACTAAGGATTCCAGAAATCCAGTGTCTCCTTGGGAGGAGGTGGCCTACCAGAGGCAGGGACGCCTCAGTGGGGTCGGGGTCCTCGTAGGTTGATGTCCTGGCTTGCACTCCTGTGCTACACTCCCACATCAGTAAGGGCAGGTGGACCTGAGGGATTTCCAAGGTAAACGAGGGTAAATGATCTAGAAGGAAGGTTACAGCATTTGCATTCTCTTACTTTAGGAATTTTTGTTTCTTTGGTGGAAATTATTTCAGAAGTGTGTTGTAAAACAACGAGGCGTAAAATAATCCGCTTTTTCGGGCAATTGTAATCATGAGTGCTCGTGGAACACAGCCCAGATTCAGAGAGAAGGGGATGTTGGGAGTCTCCCTGGAGCTTGCAGATGGCTAGGTTGAGACAGGATTATCCTGGGATGGAGGAGAGGAGGAGCTGTCCCATCAGTGTTGTGTTCTGCACTGAGAGGATTCTGATGGAGGGCTGGGTTATCACATGAAGAAATTAACACTGGATTCCACGGCACTGAGAAGCAGGTGCAAAGTCTTCCGTTTTTGTTGGTCATGACATGAAGGTTCCTGAGTTGGGAAAGAAAGCAGTCATCAGGGAGCTGTGCTGTCTGGTTGGAGTCTGCCAGAGTGAGCGAGCCTGGGACAGCGTGGCTGTCCCGCAGGAAAGCAGAGCATCAGCAGTCACTGGTCAGGCATAGGTGGCTCATGCATCCGTCTGCTCAGAGCCACCTCTCACACCAGGGCGTTCTGCAAGTTCCAACACAGGTCAGTCGATCCTTAGCCAGAGGCTCTGAGTGCCTGAGCCTCTGAGGGAAGCTTCCCTCTGCGCTGCCAGGCCTTTGCGGCATGCACAGTACCGCTCCTGCCTCACGCCCCATGGCCCTGCCTAAGGACAAGGAGCGTCCATGAGTGACGCCTCCTCTTTGCTTCCTTGTGGGGAAGGTAGCAGACGAAGCTGAAGGCACAGGCACAGGGACAGGGCAGAATCGCTCTAGGGCTTTTACCTTCCCCAGCCCTCAGACGGTGCCTGCTTCTTGTGGGACTTTGAAACTGGCCAGGAGCCTGAGGGTCGACCTGAAGACACCCTGGGCTCACTGCTGAAGGAGGGAGCAGAGACTGAAGACCACCCGGCACTCCCACCAGACAAGCTGTGGCGCTGCGTCTGCCCCGAGCGTGTATTTGTTCCCTATGGTCATTTCGTAAAGGGCTCTTGGGGTGGCCTTGCCACTTGCTATGTCTCCTAGGCGACACCCTGCATTTCCTTCTGCAGGCGCCTCTGTGGTATCCACGGGCATCACGGCCACCTCAGGACGTCCCCAAGCAGGTACTACAAAGACCGCGCAGGTTTATAACGCCAAACCCCCTTTGCACTGCCACACCGCGGTGCCCCAGACAGCCCGTCTGTCTGCTGTGGGTGACCATCAGTCATCACTGTAAAGGAAGTGTGGCACCAGACGTGAAACAGGTAGACTACTGCCAACCAGTCAGGCCCACCGCCGCAGGGGAGAGAGACCAGGGCTGCGGCGGCACATGCAGGAGGCTGGCGATCCTGTGGGAAACTGGCAGAGGGCATCGGAGAGAGGTGGCTCTGTGGCCTGAGGTCCCCTTGTGTCTGCCTGTTGGGCCCCTACCCCCGTCAGAGCCCTGGAGTCAGAGGGCTTTGCTTTCACGAGGATCCCATTTCAAAGAGGCAACTCCCAGGTCCTCAAAGAGGACAGAAAGATGGCTCCGAAACCTCACGGAAAGTGCTGGCTGTAGAAACCTACGTGTGGGCACCAGAACCGACTCCTCTTTTAATTCCGCATGTCCATGAAGTTTTTGGAGCCCCCTGGCTTTCCTGGTCTGGGAGGCTATCGGGAGACGAGAAGGTTCCAGTCTCACAGGGGCGGAGGAAGCAGCTGAGATGACAAAGTGCACCGCAGAGGGGAGACACCGGAGGGCGGGGCTGCAGCTAGGAAGGGACAGGGCTCAAGTCAGGCGGAGGCCGTCTCGGCACAGATGCGTTCCTCCAGGAACTTCTCTCTGCAGAAATAACATGGGAGAACCAGCAAGCTAGCTTCTGTGCGGCGAGGGAGTCCTGGGAGCTATCACGTCAGACAGGGAGAGGGCAGGGGCAGGAACCGGCACCCACACGGGCAGCGCGGCTCTCACGTGCTGTGAGATGCTTCCTGTGCGGGTGGCTTAGGAATCAGCTCCTCTGAGGCCACACAGTGCATGTGGTCTCTCCCTGCTTGTTTTAGGAACCTCCAAGGAAGCAACGGAAACGAGCAGCACGCCTGGAATTCCCACCTCGGGTAAGGCCAGGAGAAAGCCCCTGTCACCCGTGCTGGCTCTCGGAAGACAGCATGGTCCCGCCTTGATGTTCCACTGCCACGTCCTCACGCTCTTACTTCTCCCTCAGTGGGTACCGCATCCAGCACTGGCAGGCAGACCTCCGGGCCTGGGGTGCAGGCAGTGAGTGTCGCCCGTACCACCTGTTCAGGAACCAGTGTCAGGCAGACCTCTGGGGCTGGGGTGCAGGCAGTGAGTGTCGCCCATACCACCTGTTCAGGAACCAGTGTCAGGCAGACCTCTGGGCCTGGGGTGCAGGCAGTGAGTGTCGCCCGTGCCACCTGCTCAGGAACCAGTAAGGAAGGTGTGGTAGGAAAGCAGCCGGAGGGAGGCTCTGAGACTTGGTGTTAGATGTCCCTTGGGAACATGAATTTTAGGGGCACCTAGGGGCCCCTTATCTCTAGGTTCGCTTTGGTTCAGGCTGTCGGCAGAGCCCCCTCCCGGAGACCCATCCCTGTGCCCTGAGAAGTCCGAGAGGCTGAGGTTGTTCGTCCCAGCAGTAGGTACTTAGTGGGCTCAGAGACTTCTCGGGCAAATGCCCTGTGCTGTGCTGCTCTCAAATCAGGTCAGCTCACCAGAATTAAGGAGTTCCCTACCCAAGTTACTAAAGGTGAATGAATTACTAGGAAATGGGGCACTGTGGACTCTAGCGTTTAGAATTCTACCTCTTCAAGAACAATTACCAAAGAAAAGGGTATTTTCAGTGTTGCGTCTAAAAGCAAATAGGTCTAAGAACCTACCATTTTCCGGAAATTCTAAGCATCCATCCTGTTCATGGGACACAACCCCGTTGGAGGAGGAGGACCTTGCAGGAGGGGATGCTGGGAAGGTGTCTGGAGCTTCCAGGTGGCAAAGCTATGGCAGAACTCTCCTGAAATGAGGGGCTGAGAAGAGTTAGCCCATCAGTTTTGTGCTCTGTGGCAAGCATATGACAACAGACGGCTCGGTTCTGAAGTGATTGACACTTGACACCACCAGCAGAAAGGAGCAGTTGCGAGGTTGCATGTAGTTACTTCCCATTCCCACCTGGGAGTGTCTGCATGCATGATTGGTCATCCCACGGCTGGAGAGAGTGCGGTGGAGGCAAGGCGTCCAGCGCCGTCATTTTGAAGTAAGTGAGGGTGGGCCCTGCAGGGAAGCAGAGGGCAGAAGGAGAGCTAGCGCTCGGAGAGGCTGCCCTGCTGGCAAGCGCGCCCGGATGTTCGCTCAGCCTGGAGGAAGCTTAGGGACCTGTTCTCAGTGGTCAGGAAAGGCACACGGCTCCCTGCCTGCGTGTTTTAGGGACCACCAAGGAAGCCTCGGGCACAACCACCGCTTCTGCGGTTACTGCCACAGGGAAGACCGAGAGCGATGGGCGAGCTTTCCCGCTGGCCGCTCAGAAGTCGGGGCGGCCTTTGCCAAGGTCAGCCCTCACTTCTGCAGCTCCCCTGTGCCCACACTGTCCCCCTCAGAGCCTGTTGCTTCCACAAGCACCGCGGGGACCTCCAGATCTGCAGAGCAGGTGAATACTGACCGTGCCCTCTGCAGTTCCAGCGTAGCCTTGGCGATGTGTGCAGTTTAATTTGGTGGTGGAGGGTGGCAGGTAAGAACTAGAGAAGGTGTGGAATGTCCCTTCAGAAGGTGACTTTAAAATTTATCAGGGACACCTTTTCTTCTTGGTATTACTTTGGCTTCTTATTAGACCTCCTGTCCTGAGAAACTGTTCACGTCCTTTAGAATTTTTAAGTGTATTTTCAAAAGAGCAGTATTATTTCCTGAAGTCTTTTGTAGATTCCTCCAGTATTCCTTCAAGGTGAGAATCAGGTGACCCACCTGGACTGGACTGCGTTGTATATTCCACAATGTGCTTTCCTTCCTCCTGAATTTGTGCCATCATTTGTGCTATACTCAGAGATGTACTATGCATACTGTTAGCTAAAAACTCAAAATGCCACCCATTTATTCCCCCATAGAAACCAGAGTCACAGCAAAAGTGAATTAAAAAAAAAAAAAACCCTGAAAATAATGCAGGCCATCTGGGCAAAGCCATTATTCCTAAATGCTTCTTTAATAACTTCTGTATGCTGGAGTAGGTAGCAGACATGGAGAGCAAAAATATTCCTTTGGCCATTCATTTGTCATTGTATGATCCTTTGTAGGGGTGGAGGGAGAGATTATTATGGCACACAGATTGCTCCTATGGAATAGTCAACATTAACCTAAAATGATGGTTTCAGAGAGTGGGGTGATAGTAAAATGTTCGTTTCTGCTTGTAAGCTGGCATTGTGCAGTGAAGGCGTTGGGAAGGGATGGTTGAGGTTACCACGGCCTGGAGAGGGAAGGGAATTCCTAACAGCTCTTGGCAGCAGTGACATGGGTGGGTGCAGGAATCAGCAGGTGTGGGGCCAGTGCAGCAGGTCAGAGAGGAAACGGAATTAGAGTTGAGTAGAGGCACGTCCGTGGGGACTCATTTCCAGACATAAAGGAAATACTGCCTTATGGAAAGATCTTACTACGAGAATGTTAGGATCAGCCATTGCTTTGTGGGAAATTGCTGTCACAGATGACGAGAGTGTTTTTCTATGGTTGCTTTTGCAAGTTCTAGTCAGGGAAGACCGTGCCCTGCGTTTCTGCCTAACTAATCTCGTGGAGCTGATTTCTAGTAATCTGCTAAGCACCTCTAATTAGCAATCCGCTTAGCCTGCTTCCGTAAGGAGTTGGACATTTAGTCACCCCACACTGGAGATCTGTATCTCATTTCTTAGTTGCTGGGTTAATTCGACCTGAGCATATGGAATGTTTTAAGCTGTCTTCAAATACTGTTTTGTTCCCAGGTCAGTCCTCTACGTCATAAGAAGAATTTCAAAATTTAATAGTTTCAAGGTCATGAGTAGATTGTTGGCTTGACTAAAATATGTTCTGTGCAAAGGCCCAACAGGGATGCCTATGGTCAGTTTAAAGCACTTTATGTAGATTGAGATGTGCAGGTACTTCATAAATTTCACGGGAAGATG